ACGGGCAAGCGAATACAGAGACGGATTCCCCGTCAAATCGCATTGAATCGAAGCGAAACAGTTAATGGGATTCAAGTACATATATATGTTTTGGAAAGTGAATGATTCATAGGGAGATATTTAAGCGATTGACATTTAAGCTAGAGAGAGGAATATGTGCGTAAGCTTTCACATGTGATCAGGAGTACATTTTTATACAGATATAATAATAATAATAATAATAATAATAATAATAATAATGATAAATGGTTAAATTGTTACTATCCAAATAAAACTATCTGTTGAATAAATTAATTGAAATGCTCGACAAAATTAACTGCAAACAAACTCAATTGTAGGAGAGATACTATAATAGTACGGCATTTGTAATTACTGGAACGTTATTGTTTACATTTTCTTTAAATATATATTAATTTAACCTACATCAGTGTTTTAAATGTCAACGTAGTAACTTCCATTATTTCTCATTTTTCCATGAATATATTCCTTACTTAGATACTTACTTAAGCCTGTTACTAAAAATGGAGAATAGGTCACCGACAAGCATTCTACAACAAACTCTGTCCTACGCATTCCTTTCCAGTCATATCCATTTGTGATTCATTCCTCTCATATCTGTCTCCATTTCTCAGCACAATGTGTTCTGTGGTCGTCCTCTCATCCTTTGTTTTTATCATTGAGGATAGTAAGTAGGGGCTTGCCCTGGAACGCAGTTGTGTGTTATCCTCAATGTGTTTCCCATCCACTTCCAACACTTCTTCCTTATTTCTTCCTCCACTCGAATCTGATTTGTTCTCTCCCACAATAGATTATTGCTGATAGTGTTTGACCAACGGATGTGAAGTATTTTGTGTAGACAGTTGTTAATAAACACTTGTATGTTCTGGATGATGGCTTTCTTAATTGTCTGAGTTTCCACCCCATACAGTAGAACTGTCTTGATATTTGTATTGAAAATTCTGACATTTGTGTTGGTTGACAGTTGTTTTGAATTCCAGATGTTTTTCAATAGTAGATATGGTGCTCTTGCTTTACTGATCCACGCCTTCACATCTGTATCAGATAGACCGTTTTCATCAATGATACTGGCCAGACATATAAACGTTTTTATGTCTTCCAAATCTTCTCCGTCAATTGTGATTTGATTTGTGTATGTTGTGTTGTATCGGAGAATCGTTCTTTTCCCTTTGTGTATGTTGATACCTACTGCTGCTGAGGCTGCTGCTACACTGGTCATCTTCTCCTGCATTTGTTGTTGCGTGTGCGATAAAACAGCCAGATCATCTGTAAAGTCTAGATCGTCTTGAATATTTTCCTAGTACGTCTAAATTGCCAATAGTTTTACCTCTTATTTAAATTAGATTTAATCATCAGTCATTTGTCTCATAATATTTTCCATTGTTATCACGATGTTTTTTCTACTTTTAAAATAAAGCAGTTTAATTATCAAATCATTTGTTTTTCGTCATAAAAGATGAGACAACAATGAAACTCTGCCAATATTCTACAGATAGTCATATGCTGATTGCTTAATTAACAATGATACTATTAATATGTATTGTTCTTATCAAAAACCTAAATGTGATGTTGTTTTTTAATCAACAAGTTTTGATTCAATTCATTGTTAATAATAATAATTCAGCAACAAAAATACATTTTAACAGTTGAGATCATGAGTCAGTTGAAGCTAGATCACAGTGGAAAGTCTGGAAGCAATGGATGGCCTTTTCATCCTATTGTGGGACTCCTCGGTAGTGCGCATCCACAATCCCACCTCGCGAGATTTGAACTCAGAACCTATCGATATCGCGCGCGAACGCTTGACCTCCCGCAATAGGACGTAACGGACGTTTTCCATGGTGGTCTAGCTTCAACTGACTTATGATTTCGACTGTTATAATTACTATAATATCCACAAAAACCCCTTCTGATACTAAAAATATATTTCTCTAAAATTCTCTGTAGTGTTGAATTATGTTCTTCAGAATGAGTACTGCTATCACTATGAAACGTCATATGCAAATAAGATAATTTGACTCCTCTAATCTGCTTAGATTAATGATGAAGTTTTCATTGTCTTCCTAGACTACATCATCAGCATATACTTTTAGAAATAATTATCGCTAACAATATTGCATGATTGTGGCATTATATCGTTAATTGACTTGACTTGGAATTGTATCTATGGAAACAGACCCAGTAGTTTTGACTTTTAAGCGTTTACGACGAAATCTAAAGATACTGGCTTAGATCCCACGTAGGGTTGTGGCCACTCATGGATGTTTATTTGAACAAATGAGTATTGATACAAAGTGGCACCGAATATATATGGGCCACAAAAGTCACTTGATTTGTATGCGAGCTGTAATACTGTCCGGGTGGCAAAACCGATACAGGTGGTTTACTTGGAGGCCACACCTGGAGCCTTCGACTCAAAGGTCTGATTCACAAGGCAGTGAAGCAATGTAAGGAGATGCAGTCCCATGGTAGCCGGTGATCAATATCTGGTTCATATTTCATTTGTTCCTTTAGGATACTGGAGCTCATGTGCACCATTGATTTAGAACCAGGGTTTCCAACTCCTCTAGTTGGACTCTCCGTGTCCACCAACTCGGTTAGAGCGTCAGACATTAGCTTTTTGTCCTCTCATTTTCGTAAACAACAGTAATGCCACTTGCAGGCAGTGAGTAGGGCTTCCCTAGCAGTGGCTGTATACGCGTGGTCATGTAAGAGCATTTCGATAGGGAGAGCTGACTATCCACACCCTTGGTCGTACCTGGGTATGAAGTGTACAATGCTAGGATAAGGCAGATGTCCAATGTTCTCCGTTTTTTCAACAATATCTCAACTGAGAATAAATAAAATTTACACATATTTTTTCATTTTTCAAAGAAATGCAATTTATAAAGCAAATCCCTCTGATGCTATCCAGCTAATTAAGAGTGTCAATAAAACTATAATCATCTAATTAAAAATTACTTGAACTAGAAAGAAATAATTTATAAGCAGTTACATCGATATAAAATATCGTCAAAAATGAGCTTAACTAGCCTCAAATGAATAAAATCTTCCTATAAATGAAAATAACTTTATACCACGTCAGTTACCAATAGTCATTTAACAATCAATTAAAACAATGAACTCATCAATAACAGTCCTAAATAGCAACGGGAAGATACAAGCAGGTGGCTATCAGTAGCTGAATGGATAAGGCGATGACGTTTGAAGCGAATAGTACTGGGTTCGAGTCCCAGAGTGGACATCAACTCAGATGCGAGTAAATGGAACTGACTAGTCCCAAGTAGGACGAAACTCGTGTCCTGAATTCCACTGCCAGCCACTATCCATATTTGCTTATAATGCTTGTGACTTTAGGCAATACCGAGGTATTCCGCACGGGATGTACATATGCCAATAAGAGACTGATCAATTGTAGTCTTAAACGTCAATGAGAAGATACCAATAAACATGTTAATTTGAAGATTATATTTTCAACATCTAAGCAAACAATAACTGATCAATTTCTTGATTTTCATAATTCTTTCATCTAAAAATACGTTATGATTAAATTGCTCTTACCTGATATTAGATAGTTGAAGATATTTGACAAAAATACCCTGATAGACAGTAATTTACAAACTAATCAGTACTCATTAATAACAACTTTCTACAATCTTGAAATAACTGATTCTCTTTGTTGGATTCTAATCAACATCACTCATTATCATATTAATGACCTTACAATTGAACTATCCAGAGAACGAGTGACCTCTCATACAATCGAGTTATCTACATTAAATTATTACTAAGTAATACTGATGATGTAGTCTAGGAAGACAATGAAGACCTCATCATTAAGCCAAGCAGATTAGAGGAGTCAAATTATCTTATTTGCATATGACTATTCATAGTGATAACAGTACTCAGTTTCACATTCAAATATTTGTCATTCTGAAGAACAATATTGAACACTACACACTCTACTAGAGAAGGGATTAAACTACACAAAACACTTTGCATCCGTTGGTCAAACACTATCAGCAACAACCTACTGTGGGAGAGAACAAATCAGATTCGAGTGGAGGAAGAAATAAGGAAAGCACTGATCTGCGTCACAACGCAAACTCTCGCTTGCAATTCTCAATGCTAAACAAAGGATGAGTGGACAACCAAAGCACACATTGTGCTGAGAAATGGAGACAGATATGAGAGGAATGAATCACAAATGGATATGACTGAAAAGGAATGCGTAGGACAGAGTTTGTTGTAGAATGCTTGTCGGTGACCTATTCTCCATTTTTAGTAACAGGCTTAAGTAAGTAAATTTTATAATCATAATGCCAATCAAGTAACAACAAAAAACGACAACAACAACTATAAATTCTAACTAACTACATGTTATTAATCAAAATAAAGAAGAAAAATCCTACACATATTGATTTCTCAAAATGATGAAATCCAAATTGTCCTGAGTAATCGACAAAAGAAATATTCATTATTCTATATGCATTTATCATTATTGTGTTTATGTGTGTATCACAACTAATTTTGGTTCAATACTATTTGATCAGCTTACAATTGGTAACTATTATTATTATTATTATTATTATTATTATTATTATTATTACGAGTGGACACGTGATTCATAAAAGTATTGACACCATTCCAAAAAGTATAAAAATGGTATTCAATTGAAAGAAACAAAAGAGTTCTATGTGAAAGACAGTTTCATTCATATACACTTATATGTATACATAGTTGTATAGAATTACATATAAATAAATACATATACAAGTATACTGACTGCTGAACACTTTCATATAATACTTATTACATCCATCTTATTATTATTATTATTATTATACATATTTGATTAGGTATTTCTACTATGTTAGTGATGACTGTGAAAGTTTAGAAAATTAATCTTTATTCATTTTGAATGATACCAAAATCAATACTTTTGTTGGAATATTACTTATAGTGGATAGATTATTGTTGAAATGTCTTTAATTTTGGATCTTAAATATTTAGTTGGATTAACTGGTAAAGGGGATCGTAGAATTAAAGTTTTATTTCGAGGTAAGTTTATGATAAATTAATTCAATATAAGTATAGATAAATTAATGATTATTATGAGAATGGGGGGTTTTGTGGAGATTATAGTAAAATATAATGGTTTAATTCATTAGTCGATCATAACTAAACCACTATTAAAAACCTGGAAGTACTGAGAAACCGTGATCATTAGAGTTGGATAGAGACAGGTATCTACCTCACATAATAGATGAATAGTTGTGAAAGATCAATTGAAGTTAGACATTAACACCGTTAGATACCAGGTTAAGTGCTCACAAGCGAGATGGGATCGTGGATGTGCACTGTTGAGGAGTCCCATACTGGGACGAGGTGGCCATCCAGTGCTTTCAAGTTTTCAATCATGGTCTAACTTAGATCAACTCATGAATTCAACTATAAGAAGTAATGATTATCAGTTGATGATTCATGTCATATTTTAACCATCAAATATAGATAAGTAATATGAGGGAGCTCATTGAAACTTTGAGAGTATTTATTCTAAAGAAAAAGAAGACTAACGGAGTAAAACTAAGGAATACAGGGTAGTTATTTTGTCCTAGTTTAAGACTTCTAAGGACTAACTACTCATCGACAATTTGGATTTCTGAAAATCTAAAGTAATTAGTCGTTTTTATAAATTTTGATAGAACAATAATAAAACGGATTTGATTTGATAAATTTGGTGTATTTTATATAATTGACCTTTATTAATTTTCATATAAAATACTTTGATAAGTATATATATATTCAGAGAGGGATTTTGTGAATGTTATAGTAATTTAGTAGTTGAATTCATGAGTTATTTGAAGCTAGACCACCATTGAAAACCTGGAAGTACTGGAAGGCAGTTTCGTTCTACTATGGGACTCCCCGTGAATTGGTTGAATTTAAACATTAAAACTGTTGGACGCCTTAGCAGTGATCTAGAAGTTAAACGTTCGTGCACGACACCGATAGGTCCTGGGTTCAAATCTCGCGGAGCGGGATTGTAGGTGCGCACTGGTGACGAGTCCCATGCTAGAACGAAACAGCCGTCCAGTATTTCCAGGTTTTCAGTGGTGGTTCAGCTTCAGTTGACCCATGAATTCAACCACTAAGAAATATAAATGTATATGACCAGATTTCTCGAAACGTATAGCACAAATACACCACATTTTCACCGATTAACTTTATCTTCTTATTTTTTTTCTATCGAAATTTCTGAATTTATTATTAGGATAGTGGTAATAGGAGAAGTGACTAATTTTCGGTTGCTATGTAATCTATACTGTTATCCTACATTACCCTTTCTTGGTTTTCTTTTTAAACTAACAAACGACTCGGTGAAATTGTTTGATTTGATTATTTCATGTATAAAAAAACCCGGTAGATTTAATTCCTTAGTAACCGTTTCTATATTCATTTAACTAGTAAGTAGTTTCAAGTTTTCAAATCAATCCATTTGAAGCAATTAGTTCCTTTGATAAACTTCGGGTAGTGTAATAAGGAAATAAAGATTCGCAGAACTATACGATGATATATTATCGCAATACATTTCAAATAATCTGATCACATATAATGTACTTGTTAAGAACATTTCTACATAAAAATAAAAGGTCAACTAGACTTGGAATGAAGGTTAAGAGGAGACATAGATAATAAAGAAAAAAAATGTGAAAACAGTTTCGAAACCGGTCATCTCAAGTCATTTCCGATGAAAAAACTTAAATTATCGCATAGTGACACCGTTTATTTCAGCAGATGAATTTGAATATGAATATACGAATATGTCATTGTTTCAAATAAATATAATCTAACCATGATCTGAATCATTTTATGAAAGAAAATAGTGATATATATTAACTGCTAATTAAAAGGGTACTGAGATTAGTTTGTATAAGAATCCCAGGTAAAAATATTTTGGTGGTGTTGAATTCTCCAACATCAATAAGTTCTATGAATCTTCTTCATTTTCATCAATAGACCTACTCACAGTTTCGAATGGATAATCGTCAAAAAAACTACTCAACTTTTTATTAAGATATCTTGTTTATTTATTTATTTTAACACATAGATATTGGTACAAGGAGGCACCAAATACATATGCGCCACACAAATCTGATTCGATATGTGTAAGGGCTGTGATACTGCCCGGGTGCCCATACCGAAGCAGATGGTTTTCTTAGGGGGCCACTCCTCGAGCCTTCGACCTGAAGTTCTGATCCACAAGGCAGTGGAGCATCGTGAGGAGATGCAGTCCCATGGGAGCCGGTGACCAACAACTGGTTCATACGCCATTTTTTCCTTCAGGGTACTGGAGCCCATGTGCACCATTGGTTTGGAATCCGGTTAAAGCGCCGGATATTTGCTTTTCGTCCTCTCATTTTTGTAAACAACACCCTTGCCACAAGAAGGCAGTGAGCAGGACTTCCCTGGCAGAGGCTATATACGCGTGGCCATGTGAGAGAATTTCGAGAGGGAGAGCGGACTCTCCCCACTCTCGGCCGTACCAGGGCATTTGAGTGCTGATATCTTGTTATAATAAGTTACATAATTTATTCCTATAATAAAATATTTATGAGTATAGAATTTCAAAACTGACTTCAATTGAACAGTTACATTCTTAAGAAATAGTTTTTTTCTGGCTTTTAAATAAAATTGGTTAGTGATTAGCAGCTGAATTTAAAACATGTGTTTCGTCCCATTTGGGACTCATCAGTTATATATACTTGGATCCCGGTGTTGATATTAACACTGGGAATCCAATCCACTTCATTACACTTTATATGCCAAATGTTTTTATCTTTTGGTTTACGCTAATCAAACTAATTATCCATACTTTGAAATTACTTCATCTCAAAATGTTCTTAAGAACAGTAATTGGCTACATGGTGCGAACTTTTAAACATTGGATAACAGATTTTAACCCCCTCTATTTCCTATTTCAGCGTTGTCGGCTGAATATTTTAATTAAGACATACGAATAATATATTCCCAAAAAAGTACTTAAATGTATACTAATTTTCCAAGTGAAAGAAGTTTGTTGTCTACCAATTGGTTTGTCATATTGTCTAGTTCTTAGTGCTATTCGAATTCTGTTAAATAAGTTTGTTATATAACTAAATAGTCTAAGTGATTTGAAATTATGGTGCAAATTTTTCTAACATAAGCTGAAGGCGATCATCAAGAATGCATCTCATATTAGATAGAGCTTGTGAGTTCTGTAATATCAAATAAATAAATAATTTTCCTGTAATCTGTTATAGAGACGACAGACATTCCCATTGAGAAACTTTGACCAAATAATCCTTAATTTAGGTTTGTGACTTTCGACAGATAACGTCCAATCACTGAATATCAGTTTAAAAGTTCTATTTTCATTTAATAACCATATTGACTGTTGAACCAATTAATCAGCATTTAAGTAGGAAAGAATTAACATTTATTGTCAATAGTAAATGAAGCTCAGGACTTGGAAGTAATCAATAAAATTTAAAATGTAATTGAACCCATCATTGACTACTACATGAAGAGAAAGTCAGTCAGTGGTTAGGTTTAATCCTGTATGTGATCTTATATATTCCTGCTTCTGTTTAGTTCTAATCTAAGATGGAATAGTTATTCAGTTTTTATTAGTTACGGTGGTTCTCCAGTCAAATTAAGTTTATGATTCAAACGATTTTTAGCATCAATTTAGCACAGATTACTATTTAATGGTATGAATCGGAGAAGAAATGCTACAAAAATATATTATGTCACTGATTTGATAAGCTTTCTATATTGTAGTAAGAATAGATATGTTAAAAGTTATATTTGTCAAAATGTGAGATAACTAGTATTTTGGTTGAATACTAGTTTTAAGATATCACTATTTCATTATTACTCTGTCAAATAAGTAAATTTCGAATACGGGATATAATCACCCCCCCCTACTCGTTGCTTTGTCACTGATGATAAACTAAATAATATATTTCTCAAAATTACGTCAAAAAACTAGCACATTACAGTACAATGTTCAATTTGTAGCGGTAAATAACTGTTATATAGACATTCCGCATTTCTGCTAGTCTTGGTAGCTTTAAACATTTCTAGATGGTATTCGGTCAAGTATCTTAGCGATACTTCAGCAGAGAACACATGAAATTATTCTTTCCTCCTTTAGATAGTCAGCTTAATGGCTTAACGTTCACCTACCTCTGTCTAGTTATCATAGTTCGCCTGCTTTTTGATCTTACAGGTACAATGTTTAGTATCAGAACCGTTTAATTACATTATATCTAATATTTTCCCAAAACGTGTTGTCACACTGTATAAAGCATGAAAAAAATGGTATAACTTTATGAAGTACGAAGAAAACTCATTATTTACTTAACAGAGTTACAGTTCTTGATAGGATTTCACAATGAAATACAATGATAATTGTTTACGTACACAAAATTACTGAAGTTTATTTTAATGTGTTGACGCATTAATAAACAACATGTGATCACTGGTCATTCATCATCATCATCATCACACACAAACAACAGATGTACTGTTAAACCATCTTGTTTCGATGGCAATTTGTTAAAACTAATCTTATTGAGTTGTTAATGAATTATTTATCAACATTAGTGATTACTAATATACAACTACTAATATTTACGCTTCCGAAATATGACACCGACCAGCTACTTGAATGGACATCCCTCACCAATTATGTGGCCTAGATCTGATTAGCTCAGAGTATTATTTAGCATAATTGTAATGCAAATAAAATGAAAGTTACACTGTCTAAGAGATTAGTTAACATTATCAAATCCATGCAAAATTATGGATTAATTTAAAATTGTACAATTGAATATCGATCTAGTGAGACCTGAAGGTCATGGGTTCGTTCCCCTTTAGTATTTCTGGTGCAAACTGTTAAGAAGTTTCGTGTTAGGCTGAAACAGTTGCGTAATCCTCCCTAATTTTTAACAGTACCACAACTAAGATCAATCTATGATCAGTATAACCTACTAATTAAACCAATCTTCACAAAATATCTTCAAATGAAACTATTTTTGTTACTGATATAGTAATTACTTTAGATGTGACATTGAGTGATACAGATTCCAATTTTTAGGAAGGAAAATTAGTTCTGTTAGGATTGCAGATAGATTTTGAAGGTCGTCTAACATTAAACTTTGGTTCAAGGCTTCCTGTAATGAATGATCTGATATCTAAAGCGTGTATCTTCATAACAAGCAACTGAATGAAAAAAACAGATGGTCACTGTAGTTACAGAATATGAAATTAGGTAAATTCTGTCCATTTATTCTACAATATACCAAGTAAGGAAATTAGCATAACACTTCTCACAATCATACAAACCTAATTTAATAAAGCAAAAAGAGATTTCAACGATGAAAATTTGCTTTTCAACCAAATAATTTACTAAAGCTGGAACATTTTGATTTCACCTACTCAAGCCTGAACTCTGTATGCGGAGAGATAATGTACAATCTTTCATCCTTCTACGACCTTAACAGCCGTCCCAGCATGTTTTGGTTCCATCTTCTATTATTTGATTTCTTTTATTGATTTATATTATATTCTTGAACCAATCAACTTAAAAAAATATTGAAAACTCAGAAGCACTGGAATGTTTATTCGTCCTCGTATGAGGTTCCTCAGCAGTTTGCATCCACGATCCCGTACACGGGAATCGAACCCGGGACCCTCATTCTAGCACGTATCAGGAAAAGATATTTATTGTGATTTAGCTTAGGCAGTTGTATAGAAGATATTTTTTATCGGTTTCGAACATTTTAGTTGCAAGATATTGCCAATGTTTACTTAGTTAATCACAAACTATAAACTATCTGGCGTTACGCTTTTAATTTAGTGCAACAATATACGATGCTCTATCTTAAACCTCATTGGTTCACTCATAGTTGTCAGTATAATATACTTTCACCTTTATTTCTTATTATTCTGGCCATGTTTTCGCCTATTTCGAACGGCAAAACTGGAAATATTAACAGAGGTGTTTGTGGGTTTCCTAATAGAATAAGAGTATACTACAACACGAGTTAAAGAAATTTTTCCGAATTTATTTATTAATATAACTGACTGATCTTAGTTAGACAACCAATATAAACGAGTAGGCACTGACTAACTGTTTCACCCTATTTAAGGGATTCCTTATCAGTGTGCATTCACGACCTCGAACTCAGGACCTTTGGTTTCTTGTGAGAACGCTTAGATTCTATACATTTGAGCCAGAATTCAGTGGTTCACATATTTGACTTTCATTAGTTCATAATATTGTATAATCATCTAGTATCCTTACTGTCTTACATTTGACATGGTTGAACTCCAATAGTCATGGCTTCTCTCTAGAACATCGGAATTACCTCTCGAAATTAGTTACTAGTGAGCACCTGAATAATAAGTATAAATAGTTTGTTGATATTTTTCTGGATTTCATAGTCAACATCACTGACTGACTTTAGTTAATAATCAAAGTCCAAATTTGATTATTACCCTAAAGAAGTCTAGACAAGCTTGGTGAAATTAAATATCGGAATTAATTTAAATTTCAATAGCTAATATTATTTCAAACAAGCGAACGGTAATTGGTTTGAGTCCTAGAGTGAACATCAACTCTGGAATACAGGTACATTTGGCTGATGAGTCTCAAAATAAGATGTAACTCACGTTCTGGATTTCACTTTGTTAGCCACCATCATTCTTTGTCTATTTCAAAGAAAGTTTTCATTTATAATGTCTTTAACATATTCAACATTCAATTTCCGTCAAACTATTCGTATAAATATTGGTAAGTACTACTACTAATGTAAATCTAACTATTATTCTCCATAACATAACAATTTAACCTTTGATTAAGTCATAGTTATCTCGAATGAAATAATCACAAACTATCCCTTTGTTAATTGTTTTGCTTTGCTTATTATTTTCAAATCTGTTTTGTTTTGTTTCTTAAAAAATTAAAACAGAGGCTAAATTGAATTCAAGAATTGCTACTGGACATGATAGTGTTTATTTTGGACAACGTATTAGTTGGCCAGTTAGTCGTTCATTGGATGATAAAGATGTATTAATTTTAAAAGCTTATCAAATAAGAAAAGGTTTACCAGATAGGTAGATTCTATTGTATTCAATGTAATTATCTTTTTCTTTAAAAATTGTTATGAGTAGTTAGTCAATAAAATGATCTGTTTATAGTTTACATCAAGGATTGATTTTAGCTGACAATCAATTTAATACTCAAAACATTGGACAATTGTTTTGTTTTAGGATGAAGCACCTCAATAACTTACAAATTCGTTAGGGTTCGACTTACTTACGCCTGTTAATCCTCATGAAGGAGCATAGGCCGCTCAACAGAATTCTCCATCCAACCCTGTCCTGGACAATCCTTTCCAGCTCCTTCCAGTTGTAATTCATCCTTTTCATATCTGCTTCTATTTCTCGACGTAATGTCTTCTTTGGCCTTCCTCTTTTCCGCTTCCCTTCAAGATTCATGTTAGGGCTTGTCTCGTGATGCAGTTTGATGATTTGCGTAATATATGTCCTATCCGTTTCCATCGTCTTTTCCTCATTTCCTCTTCAGCTGGAATCTGGTTTGTTCTCTCCCACAGAAGGCTGTTGCTGATGGTATCCGGCTAATGGATGTTGAGTATCTTGCGAAGACAGCTATTTATAAATACTTGTACCTTCTTGATGATGGTTGTAGTAGTTCTGGAAGTTTCAGCTCCGTACAGTAGAACTGATTGTCATGACGTTCGTATTGAAGATTCTCACTTTGATATTGATTGAAAAGTGTTTTGAGTTCCATATGTTCTTCAATTGTAGGAATGCTGTCCTTGCTGTGCCAACCCTCGCCTTTACGTCTGCATCTGTTCCTCCTTATTCATCGATGATGCTTCCCAGGTATGTGAAGGATTCTACGTCTTCCAGAGTTTCGCCATCAAGAGTGATTGGATTGGTGTTCTCCGTGTTGTATTTGAGAACTTTGGTTTTCTCCCTTGTGTATGTTGAGGCTTCTGGTGCAGAGACTGTTGCTACACTGGTTGTCTTTATCTGGATTTGTTCATTTGTATGCGATAGGAGGGCCAGGTCATCTGCGAATTCCAAATCGTCTAATTGGTTCTGAGATGTCCATTGTATTCCGTGTTTTCCTTCAGATGTCGAGGTCTTCATAATCCAGTCGACCACCAGAAGAAAGAGGAAGGGAGGGAGTAGACAGCCTTGTCTGACTCCAGTCCTTACTTGGAATGCATCTGTCAGCTGTCCTCCATGCACGACCTTGCACTATAGTCCGTCGTATGAGTTCCGGATAATATTGACAATCTTCTCAGGAACTCCGTAGTGTCGAAGAAGTTTCCATAATGTCCTCCTATCTACACTGTCAAATGCCTTTTCATAATCAATGAAGTTGATGTATAGTGACGAGTTCCACTCAACTGATTGTTCGACGATGATCCGTAGTGTTGCAATTTGGTCTGTGCACGACCGATCCTTTCGGAATCCAGCTTGTTGATCTCGAAGTTGGGCATCTACTGCATCCTTCATCCGGTTCAGCAACACTCTGTTGAAGACTTTCCCTGGTATTGACAGTAGTGTAATGCCTCTGTAGTTTTCACATTTGCTCAGATCTCCTTTCTTTGGAATCTTGATGAGGTGTCCTTCTTTCCAGTCCATTGGCACTTGTTCCTCCTCCCAAATGTTTTGTAAATAGAAGGTAATGCATGTTTGTAGTTACTTCGATGTCTGACTTCAGTGTTTCAGCTGGTATGTTGTCAGGTCCTGCTGCTTTCCCTCTCTTCATTTGTCTGATGGCCATTCTGATTTCTCCCGTCGTTGGTGGGTTGACATCTATAGAAAGATCCGTGTGTGCTGCTTCGATATCCAGTGGATTCATTGGAGCCGGTCTATTCAGGAGTTCCTCGAAGTACTCTACCCATCTGTTCCGCTGTTGTTGGATTTCAGTGATTGGCTTGCCTTCTTTGTCTTTGACCGTTGTCTCTGGTTTACTATATTTCCCTGCTAGTTTTTTCGTTGTATTGTAAAGCTGTTTCATATTTCCTTGTCTTGCAGCCTTTTCCGCGGTCGTTGCTAGTTCTTCCACGTACTTCTTCTTTTCGGCTCTAATGCTCTTCTTCACTTGCTCGTTTGCTTCTGTGTACTCAGCTTGTGCTTGGACTTTCTCTGCTCGTGTTTGGCTGTTGTTAACTGCTGTCTTCTTGTTCTTCTTTTCTTTCATCCTGTCCAGTGCTTCTATAGAGATCCATTCTTTATGATGATGCTTCTTTAGGCTCAGAACCTCTTGACACGTTGGAGTTATTCCTTCTTTGATACCTTTCCAGTTGTCCTCCATAGTAGATGCATTGATTAAAGACTCGATTTAGACTATAAGCGGTTAATATGACTCTACAAAATAAGATGAGCTCGTATTATTGTAAAAAATTAACTTCAATGTTATGTAGTTGAAAATTAGTTTTTAATGATAAGTCGATGTGAATAAGATGAAACGTAAAATATAAAGAGTTTGGCGGCCCTTAATCTGACTCTCATTGGATTGAATGAATGATAGTTATCGAAATATACAAATCGTCAATCCTCGTATATAATCATCGACTTAAATCGCGTTAGTGAATAACGGAAGTAAATAAGTCAAATACGAGGATGAAGTTTTGAATACGTTTATTTCGTATAATCGTTGATATGTACAGACAATCGGGAAGACGGAACGAAGGAAGCGAATAGGAGAGAGAGAGAGAGAGGAGAAAAACGTAATGACATGCAGTGGAGAAGGCATGTGAACCCACTCATAAAAGCCAATCGTGAATCGATATTTATATTCAGACCAGAAATAGGTTACAAGGCGTATGATGAGTAGGATAAGAAACGCACATACATACGCTTACATTAAAAATAGTCAAGATTGATCTACAAATAATTGACACTGTTCGAAATATTACTCAAGAAGAATGAATAAGTTAGCTTGTACGGTAGCCAGTATAAGCCATGTAGGCTAAATATAGCAACCAAAACTACAAGAGCGCTATCCAGTTACAGTCCTTCTTCGGAATGGTAAGCTTAATTTATAGGGTTCTGTTGTACAACCATAAGTATGTAAATTAAGCTTTCACTTGTAATTTCTGTGCTTCGATTAAAAAGTAGATCTTTAAATTTGTGTAAGATTCCGTAGTTCTTACTAACCTACTTATGATTAGTAATGGAAATGTACATGTCATATTTTTCTAATTCTTAGTGTAGATCACATAATATCTGTCAACTTCCAATGCGGCCACTAGTCTAAGTAACTTGGAATTGCGTGAAAAACTTAACTTATTTCCTGAATAACTAAGCAGTTATATCTCTGAATGTGATGTTGAGTGACATGGGGTTCTAGCCGCAAGCAGAGAATTGTTATTTTCAAACAGGTTTTCCTATTGATTATATTCAACCATCTAACATTGTATATATTTATGTGATAAAGCTGATTATTAAACCTGATCATCAACTAAATGTTCATTGTATCTTACCTCAGTTTACTAGGATCCTTGTCAATCAATTTATATCCACTGACTCGAGATGTACATTCAATATTTCGAGAAAATCTTGTGGATAGTTCAAATCATCCAACTGGCGTAAGTATTGGTGATATTTACGTTTTAAAAAAAACACTACCATTGTTTTATTTGAACAGTCAACTGCTCGTCAGTCAGTATTATTTAGACTCGACTAATGACGGTTTGTTGAAAGAACGTTAAGAATTCTCCATAAACTTAGTTACTACTGACTTTATGGTTTACAAGTATGTCAGTATTATTCAACTTATATTTTCCGTCACGGGATGACTTCAGAAAGAAAAAAAATTGAAATGGGAACTACTGGATGTACAACTTAGTGGCCTAGATGTAACATTCTCTTCATTATGCATGAATGTCTTATTTCTTTAATGGTTGTTATACTAAATTTAACCAACGATATGAACTACAAACTGGATGAACTTTACATATCTCCTGAGCTATCAGTAATCACATACTCATTTGTGACGACAATCGAAAAGTTCAAAAGTTCTGAAGTGAAGTTCTAACAAGTGAATTTTAATCACTATGTGAATGGGACTGATATCGCCCATTTCACTATGTATTATTTATCCTTTAAATATAAACTGTGATGACAAATTTAATAAGGGGGAATTACTTAAAGGTCTTAAATATTTATGCAACTTAAGTTACTCATCTTGTGGATTGATTTCGCCCCTCTCATATAAAATACAAAACACATCTCTATGTTAACTTTAATTTGGATAATTCCTCCGTTACACTAAAGTATTACAAATCATTACATTTGTCACTACTAAGTAATTAATTAAGTATCATCTTAACTCACTCATTCAGGGCTTAAATTGTAATCATAATTTCTTTTCTTTTCACACTATTACATTAGATATTATTATTATTTGAGTTACGATATCAATCACCTGATAGTACACATGGTGATCTAGATGATGATCTTGCTAATTATCCGCTAGCGGACACAGATTATGGACTTGAAGATGCAGAATATGAAATTCATCAAGATCAACCCCCACCTTTTAGGTAGGTCATTTTAGTTATTTTGTAAACTATTAATTTATTTTTCATCATCACTTAAGTCAGTACCATTTAGTTGAGAATATGCATTATTCAAGAACATTATGAAAACAAAACAAAACTCATTCATGTTTCGAATAAAATTAAAGTTTGTTCCATACATCAGTTATCTGGTATCTCATTTCATTTTCTTCTCATTAGCATCAATTTGTCTTAAACCGTTCGTGAAACACAATTATATGAACGAAGTATATTCTTAAAGAGAAAGAATGTATTTGTAAAATTTCAGCAAAAGTATTTGAAGTAATTTCATTGTTTTGCCTGGCAATCTGGTCCAAGCTTTTCCAAAGAAATATTTTTTTTATTGAGATCATGAACCGATTGATGTTAGATCACCATAGGAAATCTAGAAGCACTGGACGGCCGCTTCGTCCTATCGTGGATGCGCACTACTAAGGAGTCCCACAATATGACGAAACGGCCGCCCAGTGCTTCCAGGTTTTCCATGCTGGTCTAGCTTCAACTGACTCATGATTTCAACCATTGAAATTACTATAATATCCACAAAATGCCTTCTGACATTAATCATACAGTTGACATGCTTTAACTTTAAACGATGTACTTTGCCCTATACCTGGTTACTATTTGGATTATTAATTTGGATGTAAAAATTGTAGAACTTGAAGAGAATATTCTTTGTTCAACTATTATTCTTTCAATATAATTGAGGATCTTTAAACAATCATTAAAACCTTGAATTAGTCATTTTCTAAATAAACATAGAGCATAGAAGTTACACTTTTGATATTAAAAAAACAAACAAAAAGCAAACAATATTCCATCGATTAATCAATTATTATAGTTACTGTTTATGCTGAATACTTTCGGAATGTATCAGACAGGGTACATTGCTTTGACCTTGACCTTAAAAAATGGTTGGTTTTATTTACGGTTCCAATATTTAGTTTCCAAATTGATTTCATGACCTTGTATAATCTTCTGTACTTAGAAATTGTTTCTACATTAATACTAATAATAATTGTTACTATGTCTGTTATTACTAAGTGACCTGAGATTTTGTTGTTGTCACTTGATTTCATACATAATCGATAAACTTAAATATTTAATAAACTTTGAATGTGTATCCCAATTTATCGTTAATGTTATTACAAAACAGTAGTGTTTGTGTGTGTGTGTGTTTTCATAGATATTCTGTTCACTTATACATAATTCATGAAAAGATCAATACAGTTTAAGTACTTGTCTGAAAACGATATCTACAATCTGTTGATGATTTGTACTATCATTTGAGACAGTCACTAAACACAAACTAATCACTGAATAGTTATTGGTACATTTCCAGTGGTGGTTAGGGAATTTGATCGACAATTTGTAAATTAACTTATAAGTTAGATGATTCGCTATTGTGATCCATATCAATTTATGTTGGATGATTTAAAACATACATTTTAATAGCAATATTTTTCTATCTCTGAGAGAAGAAAAAACCAACTTCATTATTGTCCTAAACAGACATTACCAAAGATTGTCTAGATGGTATGAGGTTGTGGAGATTGTTGAGTTCTAGTTGAGATCATGAACCGATCAGTGTTAGAGATAATTCTCGGAGTTCTAGTGAGAACCTTTGACCAGTGGAGTTGAATCGTGTTGGGTATGAGGCAGATACCCACCAAGGATAATGGAAGATGGTCGCGCAAGATGGTGGATTGGTTGAAGTCAGACATTAACACTGTCAGATCCCTGCTCAGTGGGCTAGGGGTTAAACTTAGGTGACTGAGGCCGGATGTCCCGGGTTCGAATTCTGCGTGTGGGATCGTGGGTGCTCACTTTTGACGTGTTCCATACCAGGCCACCTAGTGCGTCCAGGTTTTCACTGGTGATCTAATATTGATCGGTTCATGATCTTAATTAAAATCTCGATTGTTTAAACGTTGTTAGTCGTTTCTTTAATCATTCAACCTAAGTATGCAATGCAGAGAGCTGTTTGATTCACATAGATGCTTTGAAACATAATCACTTTAACTTCACTATATTAGAAGATCATGAAACTTTTAAATGAAACACCCCTTAAATGGTTTATGTTCATGTCTGATGTAATTACTTATAAAGAGATCTCAATAACAAACTGAGGACTCTAAATATGGGAATTAGGTCGATGATCCAACTGCTCAACACTTAAACGAATGAGATGACTAGATTGAATTTTATACGGAGAAGTCAAATCAAATGTCTGATAGTCCATAAAAACATGTTATCTAATCATCAGTCTAAAGCACAGACAAAACTATATGTTTATCAAGAACGAGAAGACTCAGTGGTATTAACAGTGAATTAATCTTTATTATAAAGCTCCACTGGTTTCCCTCAACATGTGATGTCTGAATTAATTAAGAATTTGAACCGCTGCATTAAAAAGAAATGACACAACAAATATACTTATCATCAAATTATTCAAAGTTATGAACTATTACTTCTAAACAATTCATATTATGCTTTTTACATTCTTCAACTTAAGGTAAAATCAGTTTTACGTTAATTCTTCCTATATTGATTCATGCTTTTCATTTCAGTTCATATATTGAGTTGAATGATGATTTCAATCAAATAATAGATCGAGAACTTGCTCTTGCTGGAGGTGACGAATGGGAGGTAGAGAGTCAACTATCTGCACCGGAAAGAAAGTAATATATCACTTTTTTTCTCATTCTCGATTCTAATTGGTTATTTAGTAGTTGCTTGGATCCATTTATCACTTACTGAATAGTCTTATTGTTTTATTTTTAACTATAAATGTTATGTATTGAAACGAGTTAGTTAACCAATTATATGGCATTTTATTCGTGAAGTACTCCTCAGCATAGTGTTTAAAACATTTGCTTACAATTGAATGACAACCGTTACATTTTCAATCATGATGATGTATCTATTTGATAAAATTTAATTGATGCATACATGCGACCTATGGTCACAGTTTACCATAGTTTGTTCCCAAACAGTAAGCAATAACCAAAAAATTATTAACTGGTTAAGACTAGTTCATATCCTTCTGATAGGAAACTATTTTTAAGCCGTCAATAGGATAAGAATCACTGGTGATTAGTTTTGTTTTATTCGATAGACAGATAAGTTCGAAATTGAGAAATGTGCAAAAGAATCTGTTATAACGCTCGGATTTTCTTCATCTTTACAAATGGGATGTTAATATACTTTAGAAGAATATCTACACTAGATTCCATTCTAGTGTCGATTCTGTAGGACTTCAACATAACTCAGATCAAGAACACGTGATTAGCGTGATTAGTACGTAAGTATATTTCCATACCAAAATACCGATAACAAGCCGACACAATCCAACAACAATCGCAATAATAATAACTCCTATCAGACTATCTACACGTCTGACTAAGCAAACAATCAATCATTATCATTCTCGCCCACACATCAGAATTTCATGAATATCACATAAAGAAATTGTGATGAATAGAAGCAGTCGAACGGATTTACTAACTAGGAATTCCCAGAATAGTGCAATTTAAGGCAGTCAGAATTGAATGAATACAGCTACACCTATTATATTTGGGATTTATAATAAGCGCTCAATCCAATACAAAGTAATCATTAATCAATATGAAATATCCAATTAGAAATGATATATTTGACAATAAAATACTAAGTCGAAATTTTTCAGTTCATTATAATAAGTTAATAGGTCGTAGATTCGAATCTTGCGAGGCGCGATTTTGGATGAGTACTGCCGAAGAGTCCTACACTAAGACGAAGTGGTCATCTTGTGCTTCCAGATTTTATATGGTGGTCTAACTTCACATGACTCATGAATTCAACTATTAAATTACTATGATATCCACAAAAACCCCTTTCTGATTAAAATTCATTATAAGTTACTAGTTAAAAATATTAGGTATTTGAAGGTTTAACTATTGATATAATGTAACTTATTAACCAAATAAACACCTATGTACTTTATTATTGAGTCACCTTTACTATATTTACAGCAATACTTTAAGACAAAGTTTACATTAGAATAAACAAGATATTTTTTGGTTCGTTTTTTTTTCTATTAGCAAAACGTAATAAAGATTATTGACTTCTATTTACATCAATGGATACAATCGTTAGTAATTAACTATCAAATTGGCAGGTCAAATGAAATCTTTTTTAAACAAAAAAAAGACAGTGATGGATGTAGCGCTCATTTTCGTGGATTAGTTGAAGTTAGACAATAACACCGTTGGATGCCTTAGCATTGGTCTAGAGGTTAACGTTCTCGCGCGAGACCGAAGGCTCTGAGTTGGAGTCCTGCATGCGAGATCGTGGATGCGCACTGTTGAGGAGTTCCATACTAAGATGAAACGGCCGTCCATTACGTCCAGGTTTTTAACGGTTGTATAGCTTACATCGACTCATGTGTTTAACTATTAAAATCAATACAGTCTCCACAAACCGCATTGTGACCATAATTATCGTTTAAACAGCTAAGTAATATTGTAATGAACGAGAACACAAGTGGGGAATAATCACTTGTATTTCAATGCAAAATTACAGAGTTCTTTGGGTAAATGTAAAAACCATACGGTCAAAATTTTATTTAAAAATCTTCTATCAATTGTTTCAAACCTTATCGTTCCTTCAATACCATAAATATTACTCTCTGTTTCCATTTTCTTCGATTCGATCTTCTCAAATTTCTGTTGCCAGGCCGTCCATTTTTGATCGGCGTTATATACTACTTATATAGACATAAGTAGCATCCACTACAAGATAATTAGTTTCCAGATCTAAAGTATGATAGATCATATTATTTGATTCGGTTTGTTGCTAATTTGGATTCACGGCAATAAATTATAGTTTAAGTGAATAATTAGATGGTTACATAGATTCCCTGTTTCATTAACTATAAGCTATTTCATTTTTCTCAATCCAACATGTCAACTGTGGTTGATTTTCTCCAAAACACCATGATATTTACGAATTTTCAATTCATACTACTTCTGTCCTTTAAATACTAAACGTTAATTTATTATTACTGCCACAACAAAACATACATTTGCCAACACAAACATTTCTTAGAGGGAAAATAAGCTGGTTTTATATATGATTCCCAAAACGATTTATACGATTTATAGATTAAATGAAATGGTGTCGTAGAGATAAATTCGATTTATAGTATATAATACCTGTCAGTGCTTACTAATGCGGTGTTTTATACTTAGAAGAAACCTCTAGTACTCCTGATGTCAATTTATGACAAACTCCATCTACAAATGTACAGATTATTTAAACTGGATCTTTTCCGTTAATAATATTAATAGGTAATTACTTACTTATTTACTTACTTACCTACCTTCTTACTTCCTTACTTGCGCCTGTTACTCCCAATGGAGAATAGGCCGCCAACCAGCATTCTTCAATCCAATCTGTCCTACTCCTTTCTTTCTAGTTCTATTCAATTGTTGTTCATTCTTTTCATATCTGTCTCCATTTCTCGGCATAATGTGTTATTTGATCTTCTCCTCCTACTTTGGCCTTGAGAATTCCATGTGAGAGCTCGCCTTGTGACACAGTTGGGTGCTTTCCTTAATGTGTGTCCTATCCACTTCCAGCACTTCTTCCTGATTTGTTCCTCCACTGGGATATTGTTTGTTCTTTCCCACGGTAGGTTGTCACTCCGCCTGGAGCCTCTCGAAATTACTGTCGGTCCCAAGCTCACTAAAAATCACTAACCAGAAAAAAGATAATTCAGATATGAATATGTGTGTATCATATTTTTTTTTACATAACAGAGATCCGCGTATTATATCCATGCTTGGTCCAACTATCTACAAATCAAATCAGTTCCAGGTGATTTGAACATTTTTTTCTTTTAAGATAGAATCAATTCAATGTAACTACATATAACTGCTGTGTTTTATTTATTATTAAGGACTTACTAGCGTAATTTAGGGTGATATCATTTATATTTTAATAACTTAAAGGCAACTATATATTAAATAATTACATAGGAGTGTAGGTCTAGGCTTAAATAGTACGCATCCGTTTTTCATACCCTTAAAAGAAAGTAATGTCGTTTGTTTCGTATTTGGGTAAATGGATTATTATTATTATTATTACTATTGTTAGCCATTAATTATTTTGTCCGCTCATTGACTATTTCGTCCACAGTCTATAGGATCGATGATCATCTGTTTTACTAATGACAGTGAACGATGATCGATCACAAAAGACCTTAACGCCTATTAGTCCTTGATTTCTTTTCACTCTCGTATTCAGTTGAAAGACTAAGTTAGCAACTTTATTCATTTATGACTTAAAATTTATACAATCGTATACATCCAATATCTGAGAGCATAGTAATGTAAACAGGAAAGTGCAATGCGTATATGATTATACGTATGTGAGACTGAACAACAATACTAACACAATGGGATATACTCATCCTTGATGAAAGTACATTAGCTTAACCAATTCATATACATCACTTTGACTAAGCAAGTAATCGTTTTGATCTCTCCTTTCTAGATTAATTCTGTATACCTTGTTTACGTAGATATTCATGATTTCATGTATTGGTTAATGATATATTCGACAGAATTAGTCTTTTCTGATTTCTAAACTGCCGAAAATGAAACATCAGTTTAAAACCTTATGACAACATTCCTTCAATTATTAAGCTTATCACTTAATTATATGACATTAAACTATAAATACTAATGAACATATATAATAGATACCAGATTGAGTGACATAATTTCAATTACTTTTCTAAACCAATTACATTACAATATATAATAGACACTTATTGTTTGCTGCTTTAAAAGTAACTACTTCCTATCTGAATGTATGACATTACCTATTATAAAAATGAATGCCTCACAATAAACCCTAGGGAAAATGGTTTTTCAACTTATCATGAAGTAGACATTAACAGCTTTGGATGCCGGCTCAATGTTCCAATAGTTAAGCGCTCGTGCGCGAGACTCATAGATCCTGCGTTCGAATCTCGCGGGGGGGGGGCGGGATCGTGGATGAGCACTGACGAGAAGTCCTACAGTAGGACGAAAAGGCCATCCAGTGCTTCTAGGTTTTCCATGGTGGTCTAGCTTCAATTGACTCATGATTTCAACAATTGAGATTTCTAAAATCTCCACAAAACCCATTCTGATAAACAAATTCTTTACAAAACTAATCCAATTAATCATTAGTAGAAACTACCCTCTCATATCCTAATCATTTTATTCAAATTTATACTACTTTAAATAATAATAAGTAATATAATTGATAATAAAAATTAAAATTATTTTTAGCTAGGAATCAATGTAGTTGAAGCTCGAAAATTAGTTGGAACTAATATCAATCCAATGATTACTGTAACCGTTGGAAAATCTGTACAGAAAACAGTTACTAAATATTCAACGAATTGTCCATTTTATGATAATTATTTTGCATTTGATTTTGCTCGACCTAAACTAAGTGTACTTACAGAAATAATTCGTGTTCGAGTAAGTTACCACTTTATTATTATTATTATTATTATTATTATTATTATTATTACTATTACTATTATTATTATTAAGTAATTCACCATATTGATGGAGCTTTTTTCTCTGAGCTGGATGATTTGGTCGTCGTTCAGAAGAACGATGAAAGCTCCACGACCAAACGATCCAGCTCAGAGAACAAAAATTCATCAAAATCATCCACCTGAGCTACAAATCTTCTCCACCATCTCATCATTCATCATATATCTGATATTCAGCTATTACAGATATCTGAAAATAGATCTAACAGTAAATAGATATCCTCTGAAGAATCAACGATAATTAGTTTACACTAAACAGTTGTTTCATTCTAGTTTCAGTTCTCTTGGTAGTGTGAACACGTGAATACATATAAAATCTAGTACACAGTCATGATATTTCATCACAAGCACAATACCTTGAAATGTTAAATGGAAATCAACTAGATCAACAATCCACTCCCATTCATTTTACGATACATCGCGATCAACAAATGTCTTAGTCTTAAGATGAATGAATCCACATAGCATTGTTTTTCACTAGAATTCAAAAACGTCTTTTATTGAAGTTCATTACAAATTAGCACACTACTGATCATTATTTGTCAAGATGTTTTGGTGAAAATATATTCAGAAATAAAATAAAATACCAAGTAGGTCGTTGTAAATATAATCGAATGTTTCAAAAACCATCATAACTTCATGATAATCGAAATGGGTGTTAGATTTTAGGCAAGAATAGTGGAATAGTTAGTAAGTTAAGCAAAATGATGATTCACGCATTACATATTTGCTATTAGATATATAGAAAAAATCAAATTTTTGATTGTGTCGAAATTTCATACCTCAGTTCAGACAATGATTAGTAGAGATACTGTAGTGTGGGTTACTTATATCCATATAAGTAGTTTATAACGGTGATCAGGCATAGAATGTATTTCAGTAGAAGATCGATCAGGAAACGACGGAAACGGAACGCAGTCGGTACAGAAACGCATGAACAATGAAATCTGAGACAATGGACTGATATTTGCAAAAGGAACAGTTAAGTTTGAGATGATGGATTAGCATTTTGCAAATTAACTATTTACTATATGGTTCTCAGATTTTAGTGAGATGCTCTGTAATTTCGTGTCAAATACATTCGATTGACCCCACTTATGTTTTTGTTCACTACAATACAAGAATACTTAATTCATGAAGTAAGATTTTGTTTGTCGGATTTTAACCCTCTCAATACGGTAAAGTTTATAGGTAGTATGATAATCACGTAGTGATATATTTAAATCTAAATCCGAGTAGAAAGTAAGTTATCTATTTAGTGAACTAATATACAGTGATTTCAACGGCTTAGTGACACTCATTTATTAGTTACACACCTTACTTACATACTTTTAGCATATTTTGTAACATTTTAGTCAAATGAAACATGTATCTTTATATTGTTATTAGGTATTTAATATGCGATCTCATCCATTAGCCCGTTTGTTACCTGGTAAATTGATCGGTGAATTTATTACTGATGTACAAACAGTTTATAATGAAAAAGGTATGTTCAGTTTCTTTACACTTTTGAAACTTTTCAGTTAATAATTCAGTAATTAAAATAGTAGAGTCAGAGTATTTCAAAATTTTGAACGAAGTGGTTTGCTTAAACCTCTGGGCTACCTGTTCCTGCTTTCTAGATATTTCAAGTTGTTAGTTTCAATACGTCATTATATCTATTAATCGTATAACCTATTAGGGTGCATTTCTGAAAAGTGTACAACCTTTCGTTGTACAAGACACCGAAGGCCCAATCAAAGATATTGTGGTTGCTGGCAATATGAAGCGGAAAAATGTGGATTAACTGCACTACAAACACCTAAATGGCGATCACTCAATATCTATCGTCAGTATCGACCAAGAATTAAGAAATGGAAACTTGTTGAAGTACTTTATACTGAGAATTCTAAGTTGTACCAAAAATATAATATTGAATAAAGCTAATAATAATGTAATAATAATAAGTTATTACTGTATAAACTGATCTGTAGTATGATTTACATTTCTACCCATTATCTCAAGAGTAGATAATAAATTTCCCTCATCGGGATCAGTTAATAGATCTTATCTAATATCTTGTATTTCACAATTGATCATAATTCACGTATTTAAATATCGCATACTTTCCTCTCAACTAAGTCCACTACGATTTTGAGATGGTGGAGAAGATTTATAGCTCAGGTGAATGATTTTGGTGGAGTTTCGTTCTCTGAGCTGGATGGTTTGGTTGTGGAGCTTTCATTGTTCTTCTGGACGACATCATCAGCACGAACTTCAGATAGTAGTGAAGCGTTCGAATTCCTCCACATGTGGTTCACAGCTTATCCTGTACACTTTGATGTTGATTAGATCTTGTTGACCTTAAACCTGTGATTGTTTACTTCTTTGTTTTGGTTGTATCTCCCATTGATTTGATTTTTGTTCCTATGTTTGTGCATAATTTTCCTGATTGTTTGATAATTTGAATCGATTTCAATGTGCTTGTTGATTGCTAATCGACCTGTGCTGTATGGGTCTCTAATCTACTCATAGTAGGGTTTGACAACTAATTTTCTGCTGATTTATATTCACTATTAAGCATCTAAAAGTCGGAAACAAATTAACTGAGAAGTAATGCACTTCAGTCCCTCAGCTGGTTAGATAATAAAGGTATGTTACATCAAAAAATGAAAGTAGCTAAAGGAACGCTAAAATTCACGAAGCATAGGATTTTATATATAATTTATGAACGACTTTTGAGCGACGCTAAAGTGACCTTGAGAGTGTCTACCTACTTACCAGGACTAAATGAGGGTTATAAAGCAGTTTGAAGAATAAGGATTATGATTTACAGTTGATGTTTGGGGTTAGGAATTAGATTTATGGTTTTCATCACGAAATGACATCAGCTATAATGCCAAGACTCTATTTAGTAAAATAGGTGAATGAACTTCGCGCCAAAATCTAAGACCTATTATCGTAAATCTGATTAGTTCGCCCATGAATTATAGTCTCGCCTACGATACTACATTGAATCACTTGCTTATTGATGGTATAATTTAACAATTGAGCTCTATCGTAATTCGACTAAAATCAAAGTATGATTCACTAAGTCTGCTCAATCATACCACGACCCTGAACTTCCTGAGCACGGTCATATAGCGTTATGTGTATACGTTATCAATAAATACCACACCATAAGTGAACACTTGTGTTGATTTTCTTGTGTACTGTTAGTGATGTCAACTTTTATTGAAACTTACCTTCAAGTCAAACAAATCCAGCTGATTATTGATAAAGATGGTTATTTTTATGAATTTCACAAACATGTTTAAAGTTCTTAAGTTCAACTGTATTTTAACGTTATATTTTAAAACAGATCATGCAGTATTAAATAAATGGGCAGTGATTATCGACCCCAAAGATCCATGGAAAGGTCCTACGGGCTATGTTAAACTTGATATGCATGTCATAGAAGAAGGGCACCAAGTTAAAGTAATTTTATGTTTATTTAGGTATTTATGTATTATTCATAAATGTAAAAGCTTCGAAAAATAATGCTGAGTTATTACAAACTATCAGTAAAAATGTTTATTGTCAAGATATTGACTATCGATAGAGCTTGATTTTTAAATGTCACATAGAAAGTTTAAGTGGTATAGTATAAGACTGAATCAGTCAAGATCTAGAGGGCGATTTCAAGGTCATGACATACATGACTGTCGACTATGTGATGAATAATTGTAGTGAGAAAACCGTCACTGCATTAAGATCTTAAAGTAAGGGTTAAGGTAAATGGTTAGATTAGGCTAGGTATAGAATATTTCTAATCTTAATCCTAAACCTTATACACTAATCTTAACATAGCACTTTAATGGATAAAATCCTTTAGCCGAGTTAGAAAAATTTATAAATTATAATAAACAAAGTCCAGAATGTAAATACTTTTTTGTTTATTATAAATCATTCACTAATTATTCCTGTTTTCTGATTGACTGAGAGGGTTCAGAAGTTTAAAAAAGACATTTTTTCCATCAAGGACTAATCATTGATCATAGTAAGGCTCGGATACCACTTTCATTAAACCATAATTTAGATCAAAGATGGATGGACGCGCATTTCGTCGTATTTGGGACTCGTCCTAAACAATAATGGGAAGATACAAGTAAAACAACACCAAGTGAACATAATTTCACTGTTAACAAGTTATCTAAGACATTAGTTAACATTTGATGTATTTAAATAACTCAGTGAATTTGCTATGTTTGAAGAGATTACGATCTCACCTAAAACCGGCGAACGGAATGACGTTCAGTAACGCAAAACCAGGACGCACTAAACTATTGCACTTCCCCCCATAGACATGCTAACTAGAGGGAGAAGACCAGTTTCAGAAAAGAGAAATGTATATTCCATAAGTAGCCCGGAAGTACGAACAAATAAGCACACAACTCAAGCATATATATATAAAGTATAAAGATGACCTAGGGAAATGTCACAAAATAGCGTATTAAACGAGGAAATGAACCAATAAGGTCCTTTCAAGTGGAAAGTACAAACTAAAGGTAAAAGTGTGCGCTTTTGGCGCGGAGATCAGAAATTCAAATTTTCAAAATAAAATTACAAAAATAAGACGCTTACCAAGTGATTTGCTGAGTATTTAACATCCCCAACATAATTAATCATTAATTTTGACTTATCAATATAAGGGTTGTGGAGATTATTAAGTTTTTGATTGGGATCATGAACCGATTGATGTTAGACCACTGTTGGAAACCTGGAAGCACTGGATGGTCGTTTCGTTCTACGTTGGGACTCAGCAGTGCGCATTCACGTCGACTGGTTGGTGCTAGACACTAACACCATTTGATGCCGGTTTCCCTAAACTGATGATTAACATGTGTGCTCACTAGCGACTAGCTTCGTGAGGGAATTCTCAGAGTTCTGGTGAGAAGCCATGACCAGTGAAGCTAATCCGTGACGGGTAGAGACAGGTATCTACCTCAGTACAATGAAGATGGTCCCGCAGTTTCGTGGATTGGTCGATGTTAGACACTAACACCATTGGATGCCGACTCAGTGGTCCAGTAGGTTAAGCGTTTGCGCGCAAAACGTGGAGGCCATTGGTTCGAATCCCACAAGCAAGATCGTGGATGCGCAATGCTGAAAAGTTCCAAAATAGGACGGAACGGCCGTCTAGTGTTTCCGGATTTCCAGCGATGATCTAACATCAATCGGTTCATGATCTCAACCAAAAATGTTTTGATTTAATTCTGTACTATTAAATTTTAATTCATATAAGAAATAACTAACTTCGTTTCTTTTTTTATTTATAAAAAAACGAAACTTTTAGAGAATTCGAAGAGAGAAACCTGATCATGATGAAATAATTGAAAAGTAAGTCTTTATTGAGTTTTTTATTGAGTCGATATGACTATTCATATTCACACTTATAACAATGTTTAACCAGAATTATGACTCAAGAAGAATGAATAAATTGGTTTGTCTGGAAGATAGAATAAGCTATATGGGCTTCACATAGCAACCGACACTATAATGAAACACATCAAATCTAATTCCTAATTCTAACATTCAAATGTAAATCCTAATACTTATTACTCACATTAATCTATAACCTTCATTCAACTCAAGTAAGTAGGTGGATATCCCAAGGTCATTTTAGCATTGTTCAAAGATCGTCCATAAATTATGGTCGCACCAATTTAGCGTGTTGAGCATCATAACACCGTTATTTTAGTCACTGATAAGAGTTTAAAAACCACTTATAATAAGACTGACATTTCTGAATCACTGGAAGTAATTAACCAGAAACTCGTGGAAAACCAAAGTTTTGAACTTGTCGATTAGCATTACTCACTTACTTACTAACGCCTGTTACTCACAATGGACCTTAGGTCGCCGACCAGCATTCTACAACCCACTCTGTCCTACTCCTTCCTTTATAGTTCTATCCAATTGTTATTCATTCTTCTAATGTCTGTCTCCATTTCTCGGCATAATGTGTTCTTTGATCTTCCTCTCCTCATTTGGCCTTGAAGATTCCATGTGAGGGCTTGACCTGTGACGAAATTCGGTGCTTTCTTTAATATGTGTCCTATCCACTTCCAGCTACTCTTCCTAATTTCTTCGTCAGCTGGAATCTGGTTTGTTCTCTCTCATAGTAGGTTGTTGCTGTATCTTGTCTTTCATAGTTCTCTAGGTTTCCGCCCCATACAGTAGAACTGTTTTGACATTTGCATTGAAAATTCTGACCTTAGTGTTGGTTGACAGTTGTTTTGAGTTCCAGATGTTCCTCAGTTGTAAATATGCTGTTCTTGTTTTGTTGATCCGCGCCTTCACATCTATATCAGATCCACCGTGTTCATCAATGATACTGCCCAGATATGTAAAGGTTTTTACATGTTCCAAATCTTCTCCGTTAAGTGTGATTCGATTGTGTCGATTGTGTATTTTCGGCTTCAAAGAAAACTTATACTTTTTCCAAGTATCCTTATCGAATAGTTAATTATTCTAAAATGATTTCATAGACTGATTAAAATTGCAAACGATCAATTATTCGGCTACATTATCCAAAATCTCCAATATCCTTTCAATCTACAGTCTTGATCAGTCAATATTTCATACTATTCAAAATCAAGCTGATAAATATTCACTAATGTAGAAAGTAACGCCGTTTATCCAAATAAACATTTTCCTAATAATCTATTGTATTCTCTTCAATTTTTTTTCTTAGTCATTTACTATTACCACGTTATACCGGTATGACACAAAAACGTATTATGCTCTCTATGAAAGTCAGTATATATCAAGCTGAAGATTTGCCTCCAATGAATACAGAAATAAGCAATAAAATCAGAAAAGCATTTGTTGGAGAAAATACACCAAATCTTGATTCATATGTGGAAGTTTCTTATGCTGGACATACAGTAAGTATTGTTATCATTCTGGTTGTGTGTTTTGATTTTTTTAAAGATTATGATTTGAAATTTTTTTAATTATCTCATCATCAATAAAAATGAATGAAACCGAAGGTCCTGGGTTCGAATCCTACATTCGGGATCGTGGGTGCGCACTGCTAAGGAGACCAATATTAGGACGAAACAGCTCTCCGACGCTTCCAGGTTTTTAATATGGGTCTAACATTCATCGATTCACGATTTCAATGAAAAAATCACTGAATTGTAAACATGTATTTCGTTCATATTGTTTAATTTCGAATCTGATATAACAAGGAATAGTGTTATGTACTCGGTCATGAGTCACATCTTCTGTGTGTAAGGCTTAGTTATACTGAGCTAACATTCAAATTAAAATGAGTGGGCAAAGTTCAAATCTGTTACTTAGTGGTCAAAAGGTAAATACTTTAACCTCAATAATAAATTCACTGGAATAACACACCTGTAGTCGAGTGAAGTCAATATTTTTTTCTGGCTTCTTGAAATGTTTATGTATGACTACGTAAATCACTAACTTAGATGATCTACATCGAATGATTGGGGGATTATTCGAGTTGAACGGGAATCGTGTGACCAAAGTGACCAGAGTGAACATCAATCCTGAGGTGCAGGTGCATCCAGGCGACAAGTTCCAAATAGGACGAAACGCGCGTCCTGGATTCCACTGCTAGTCATTATCCATCATTGCTTACAAAAATTCAGGATATCTCTCTTAAATTCATTGATCATTCATTCTTAACTATTCAAAAACTGTATTCTAAAAGGATGAATAGTTATTCATATTAGATTTCTTATTTCCAATGAAATTTATTCCGTTTACTTCTTTAAATATGATAGGCTAGAACTAAAACAGAACGATATAATTATAATCCAATATGGAATGAAACAATTGAATTTTGTGATTATTTTCCAACATTTACTCGAACTATTAGAATTAATGTTAGAAATGGTGGAATAAAAGGTGAACTAATTGCTACACGTTTAATTGATATACGTGATATTATGTGCCATATTACTGGTCGTAAGTTGAATTTTATAATTACCTATTGTTTTACATTGATTTACTTGGTTAATTATTTTACAATGTATATCAATGGATAAACATCTTGGAGAAAGTCAAAGACCAGAAACAATATGAGATGTTCAATGTTTCATGATATTCAATAGTTTTTAATCTATAATGAACACGACAGAAATTAGAAAGAAAGTTTTTAATACATTTAATAAGTGGCTAGTAGTGAAATTAGCAACTGAACATAATTAGAAACAGTTATCCAGGACAGAGTTGGATGAAGAATGCTGATGAGTAGTGACCTATGCTTCTCCACGAGGGAAAACAAGCGTAAGTAAGTATGTAAGTGGTATTGGAATCGCAAATGCTCATTTTGTTCCATTAGGGATTTGTTAGCTGGATAAAAACTGCATCTGAATGTTGATGTTCACATTGTAACTTGAACCCAGTCTCTATGGATTAATACTTCAAACTGTTGTTCACTAAATTACTGAGTCTAGATAGATACTAACTTATTCATAAGGAAAAGAGAAAGGACAGTATACGATAAACATGATGAACTGTGATTTTTATTTCATGAAAATCTATTATGTACATTACGTACAAGCTATTAAAAGCAAATTATATACAATATTGAGTTAATTCATTGGGATATTACTGATATGTGAGTGAGAATGATAGTGATTGATTGTTTGCTTAGTCAGACATGCAGATAGTCTGACAGGAGTTAGATGAGTTATATATTCTGCTATCCTTATTATTATTATTGTGATTGTTGTTGGATTGTGTCGGCTTGTTGTCGGTACATTGGTGTGGAAATATACTTACGTTCTAGTCAGGCTAATCACGTGTTCTTGATCTGAGTTATGTTGAATTCCTGTAGAATAGGCACTGAGATGGAATCTAGTGTAGATATTTGTCTAAAGTAAATTGACGTCCCATTCGTGCAGACGTGGATAACCGATCGTTATAACAATTACAAAATTATAATCATTTTTATCATTGTAAAAAGAGAATAATTGAGCTGAGAAACCTTTTTACCAGTAATTTTATTTTCGAGGTAATACAAGTGTTAATGTAAATTCATTTTTGTACTGTTTATTTGAATCTTGTCATTAATGTTTAAGATTGTCATTGACCAGTCTTTTATTGGCACATGAGCATCCTGTACGAATTATCCTGATATTACCTTAAGTCACAAGCATTCTAAGCAAAGATAGATGGTAGCTTAAGGAAATATCGAGGCAATTCGTACAGGGTGTACATATGTCAATAAGAGACTGATTAATTATAGTCTTAAACATCAGTGAAAAGATTCAAATAAACAATACAAAATTAATTTAAACTTCACCCCATTGCACAAGCTAATGGCTATCAAGACTCAGTAGCTAAGTAAATAACATAGTGGTGTTTGTAGCGAACGGTACTCATTTCGAGTCTCGGAGTAAACATTAACTGTGGGATGCAAGTACATCGAGTTGACGAGTCTCAAATAAGACTCACTTCTGGATTCCACTGGTAGCCACCATCCATCTCAACTGTTAATGATGTATTTACTTTGAAAATGATTATTTATAATTTGGTCATCAGTAAAAATATTTTGAAAAAAGATGATCGGAAATTATTATTTCTGATCAAGGACTAACTACAGAGAGGTTAATAAATAGAATTGAGAATTGATCAGATTTGTAGTAAACTGTAACATGTGACTGAAATTTCCCCAACACTATCAATATTCATTTAATATGTCATATTGCCCAGCTAATGAGTAAATGTTGGATGTTGAAGTATAGTTTTCTTGACAGATGTCCTTTTAGGAGATTGAAGTTATTCAAACATGTATGTGATGAATATGTTCAGTGTGGTAAATCACAACCGTCACAAATATACAGAGCCTGAAATGATATCACTACTAATAGTGTTGTAGGGTAATTTAGACCTGAAAACTATTTATTTATTATTTTCTTTCGATACTAGTTATTCAAATTTATCAAAAACAATTCAATTGTCCATTTAATTCAAATCTTTTTGATTGCAATCATAAACCGATTGATGTTAGACCACTTTTGAAAACCTAGAAGCACTGGATGGCCGTTTCGTCCTATTATGGGACTTCTCAGCATTGCGTATCTACGATCCCGTCTCGCGAGATTCGAACCAAAGGCCTCCAGTTTCTCACGTGAACACTAAACCTCTATTCAAACTGAATGAAGCCAGAAGTGATTTCTAGTGCCCTTAAGTTAGTTTTACAATGATAAACCAAACTCATCAACTATATCAAATGATTCGAATGGTTTTGTATGGAATAGAAGAAGCTTCCACTTAACCGACTTCCATACCTAATAGCAGTGGATCACCGATACCTCCACATAAGAAATTAAATATATTATCCATGAAAGAGGACTAAACTTCTCGTTTGTAAAACGCACGTCGTAATCAATCATTCATGAAAAATATACATTTCTGTATAACTGCTTAACCTAAAAATGAGACAAATAATGAACAACAGATTCTCTAATGACAAATAATAACAACAGTACGAATAAAAATGGTCAATTATTGGTCGCTGAAATGTGCCTTCCTAGAAAAATCTCCCCATGACATAACATATATTTCATAACCTCTATTGTGTTTTATATCGTAAGAATGTCTTTGTAAATATTGTGCTATTCTATAGTTTCTCAACAGTTATTTAATTTCACAAGGGGTTTCGTGGATATTATAGCAATTTTAATAGTTGAAATCGTGAGTCAACTGAAGCTAGATCACCATAGAAAATCCGGAAGCACTGGACGGCCGTTTCGTCTTACGGTGGGACCTCTCAGCAGTGCGCATTCACGATCCCGCCTCGCGGGATTCGAACTCCAGACCTATCAGTCTCGCGTGCGAAACGGTCGTCCAGTGCCTCCAGGTTTTCCATGGTGGTCTAGCTTCAATTAACTCATGATCTCAACTATTAAAATTATTTAATTGTGAAATAAGATACTTAATTATATTTATTTCTTAGGTAATTTTCCACATTTTGGACCATCTTGGATTAATCTTTATGGAACTCCACGAATCTATACATATGCACAAATGTTACGGCCAGAAGTAGAATTAAATCAAGCACTTGGAGAAGGAGTTGCCTATCGTGGTCGACTACTTCTAGCTATACGATCAATGGAAGATGAAGATGTAGTTCGAATTGGTACTAGTAAAGTTGTTGCAAGTCCTGTTTCAGAGGTAATTTGAGGTTATCCAGGAAATGAATACATATCCTAGTCACTGTAAACAGAATGTCTCAGTCGTGTTTGATTGATAGATTAGTTGAAGAAAAGATACTTTTCGAGGTATTTATATGAAGGTATTTACAGAACACCTGAACACATGCTTATACCCTATTACACATAAGAAACAACGTGAAGGCACTAACTGAATGCATAAGTTTTATGATATGGTCCTCCATGTTTGTGTAGTGGCTGGCCCTGTGTCAAGCCCATATAGGTTATTCTGGCTTCCGGACAAGCCAGTTTATCCATTCTTCTCAAGCTACATTTTGACCTTGTCACTTATTCGCTTATCAACCTTTACTACGTTTACATGAGCGTATGTGTGTGCATTTCTTATACGACTCACTACATGTCTGTAAATTATTTTGGTCTGACTATAAATATCGATTCAAGCTTAATTGAGTTGCTTCACTTGCCTTCCCCAGTGCGCGTCATTTCCTTTTGCTTCGCTTTGCGATCAACGATTGTACGAAATATACGTATTCAAAAATCAATTATCGTATTTGACTTATTTAGTTCCGTTACCAACGCGATTTAAGTCAATAGTTATATACGAGTATTGGCGACTTGTATATTTCGAACGACCTACCTGTAGTCAGATCTCGGGCTACTAAATATACATTCGAGACGGCTTACCATAGTAGTAACAACCTTTAAGTATTTAGCTTTATTATTAAAGTACCAGTAAATTTAATACTTACGAAACTGATGATACTAATGATATGAAGCAGTCCGTTTTATGGATTGGTGGTTGGATGCAGTCAATAGGAAATTCTGAACCCAGGTTTCCTGCTATTTGGCATTCATCACCACGGTGTAAATGTAGTCTTTAGTGACTGCCGCTCCTTGTGAAGTTTATACGTGTTTCATGCAGTCTCGCATTCTAAGACATCGATTCTAAGGTATCTGGGCCGCCACTGAACTCCTGTAGGTCGGAGTTATATTTACAATTAATTGATTACCAATGTCATATCTTCCAAGCCCTTCTTAGTGCAAAACGACTTAATTTCCTGTCGACTACTTCCTTTAAAATGGTAACCACACTGCAACTAAATCTGTCAAGTTTTATCAGAACTAAGAGGGACTTGACATACATAACGTTGGTCACTACTTATTGATCTATTAACTATAGACGGCTTCTTATTGAGCTAGGAATTTGTAGAATAAAGTGGGGATTTAATCTTAAATAGAAATGATTATATGATTCAAAGACAGTTCTGAAATTCAAGCGAATTGTTTGATACAGTCATTGAAGAATTATGACAATAGCAATATTCATGGAAAAAATATTTATTGATAGGTTGCTTCGTTAATATAGTAACACAGTTGTTAAAAACAATAAACAATGTATGGTGATCTTTAATGATGTTATTCAGACTAACTGTACTAGGAACAATGTTTTGGACAATGATCATTCTTATCAATAGGCCTAATAATAATATTTAAATATATTAGTCTAGTTGACTTGTTCTCATAACTCTAAATATTCATGGGCTTCACATAAGAGGAAACCCAAGTAGAGAGTTTACTGGTGGTCTATCGAGCAACAGTTTGTATGCATTGTCATATAAGGTCTGTTAGAAGGGATTCTAAAAGCTTGACTGATAGGATCCAGTCAGCATTAAGCATTTTACCGTACGAAATTAGTATCAGTTTACAATAACAAAATAATGATCAATCACCAAATATATCACCTTTCACATAGATTATAATTCAAAATGTAGGGAAAGTAATACATAGATTCTAAATTCGAGTTTGTTTTATAGTTGCCAATTTAAAAAAATTAATGTTCAAATCTATTCATTACTAAGTGACTGGAATTTCTTCCTGTTACCCATTCATCAGGCCGGCTCTCTTTTGACCATGATTATTTTAGTGGCCTGTTATTTTGTCGCCAATTAGATTGGACGATGTTTTCGACGAACTCACCACTTTAGTGGCCTTATATCTGACTCCACTTGGATTGTTTCTGATTACTATAAAATAATTTCTATCGAAATATACATCCTGACTATTCTCGTATATAATCATCGACTTAAGTCACGTTAGTGTATAACGGAATTAAATAAGTCAAATACGAGAATGTATTTCAAATACGTGTATTTCATACAATCATTGATTCAGGAAAACAAACGAAGAAACAAAACGAAGAAAACGAAGTGAAGAGAGTGAAGCGAAATTACTCGCAGTGGTGAGTTAGCCAATTCAGTTTAATCAAGCGTTAATCAGTATTTATTACCAGACGAAAATAAGTTACCGGCATGTGATAAGTGGGAAAATCAATGTACACACATACGCTCATATAAAAAATATCAAGCTTGATAAGTGAATAATTAACAAGGTCAACATGTGACTCAACAAGAATGAGTAGGTTGGCGTATCCGGAATTCAGAATATCCTATGTGGGATTGCTTAGCACTACAATTATACTCATTTTATGAAATTCGACCATTTTAATTCTTCAATTTATGATAGTACGTCAGCCTGTTATAATTAATGTTTTATAAAGAAGTGCATTGTTTAGTCTACTGTAAATCGGTTGGAGTCTCGCGGGCGCGGGATCGTGGATGCGCACTGCTGAGGAGTCCCATATTAGGACGAAACGGCCGTCCAGTACTTCCAGGTTTTCCATGGTGATCTAGCTTCAATTGACTCATGATTTCAACTAGCGTAGTTATGTGTTGGAAGTAGTAATACAGAATAGTTACTATTTATTATAATCTTCCAGGGACAGAGTTCGATAGAAGATACTGGTGGGTGGCCTATGCTATTCCATGAATTGTTATTGTAATGAAGAGGTTACGTAAGAGATGGAAATTAAAAGACGATAAATGGTTAAAATAAATTAAAAAGATTATTTCATTTACATTCAGTTCTTATGTACAAAATGGCCAAGTACACTTTCTTTCTATATAGATTAGTCAGGTTGGAAAATTTTGATAACGATCACCTCTGTAAATCAAAATAGAACTGATGTTAATTGTCTGTTTTTAAAATCAAAATGATGACTGACAATTTCACTGATAAATAGTTTACCACCTTTTAGGTCTCTAGAATTCTAGAAACATGTTTATTAAGCCTAACAATAATCATTCTCTATGTCCTTGTTAGATAATTAATTACAATGGATAAGAAACTGTCAAATACAATGAATCAACTATGTGTTGTTCTTGTTCTATTTCAAATGAGTAGTATCGTTCTGTAAAATTAAAAAAAGATATAGGTGTATATATATAATTCAAAAGACCCCCCCTCCCGCTCTTTATTTCACTTTTATAGACTGTAGCAGGAAAAAAAAGTTTATACTTTTTATTTGCTTGTTTCTCTGAAGCAAGTGTAATTGAGAAAAAACTTGGTGTTAAGAATAAACCAATCTCTTATGAAATCAGTTTTGGTAAGATAATATTGATAGTTTTATTGATTTTATTATTGTTTTTTTATTCATATTTCTCTTGGATTATTATGAAACATCTAAATATTACAATCAGTGGAAGAGTTTCAATAAGACACTTCTTAATGTGAAGTTTTATTCTTTTAGCTAGATGGTTCTGTTGAACAATATCATCAGTATAAACTTTAGGTAGAATAAAACTTTATCAAAATCATTCAACTGAGCTAGAAATCTTCTTCATCTCCATCTTAAACTACATCTCTTTACATGTCATGTTTTCTGCATGCCAGATAATAAACTAATACTACCAGGATAGGTTTCAGATGAGAACAAACTATTTTTGAATACATGATGGGAGGGGGGATTAAAAAACAGTATACTCCCTTTAATAATTTTGTACGAAATCACAAAAGTTGAGTAAAGATCAATCTTATGATCTGTTTCAACTATACGTTTGGCAAGAGAGGATAATTGATGTTGGGACATTTGATATTAATTGTTTTTGTAACCATTTAGGTACATGTTCAAGATACCCTAATTTGGAGATCATGATTTCTCCTCCCTGTGTATGTGTGACCACACACACATTTAAATTGGTAAACACAGTGGAATGTGACGCGATCGTTTTCATGTCTTTTAGGTTTTTGGTAAATCATGGAACTGTTTTTTTTCTCTTTAATAATGACTTTTGCAGTATAGTACGGTTTGTTAACAACTGGTTTAAGCCTTTGTTTCAATAAAAGGCTATTTGACTCATCTCTGAATGACAAGGTGATGTTGAGAGGCTTTTTGTGCCAAAGATATAATAGGTCTCACTGTTCTATGACCTTTCGATTTATGAATTTTGGAGGATAACCATTTCTCAACAAACTGACTTCGTCATCAATAGCGTCGCTTATGTGAATACGATCAATCGTGTTAAATAGGCCGCGCTTGTGTTGAACTAAGCAATAACTATTATAATTAGGGTACTGACCTGCCCAAGTTGGTTTTCTAGAAATGAATAGTTCGACTGAACCATCTCTTCTACTTATGAGAAAAAAGCTAGTCGTTCTTCTCCTTTTCACATGAAAGATCGATGTGGTTTTTAAGTGTTAAGTTTATCCAATAAGCAATTCATATCCTCCTTTCTTTCACGGATAACTAAGATGTCATCCACATACCTTTTATAAAAGGACATGTTTTCGCTTAGGTCTTCAGTGAGACTTTCTTTATGTGCAATAAACACAGTTCTGATAATCTATTTCTTCTTATTGCACTATTCAAACTTAAAATATTCATCAATAGTAATAAAGGAACTCATAAGAATGAAATAACTTGTTGAACACACTGAACATCTATCGTTTAATCAAAACCTAGGCTTTTATCTTATAGATGAATAAAAATCAGTAATTGGATAGTACTAGTATGAGGTGCATAGTATTTCATAACAGGAGTAAGTCGGTTGACAAGAGTACAAGTCTGAATCAAGTAATGTAATTAGGATATGTGTTACGGATGTTTCGCCACAGCTTATCACTAGACTGAATACTGTCTGGTATAGGATTAAGTTGATTAAAAATTATGACTAGGTATATTAGTAAATGGTAACAATCCATGAAGTTATTCCCCATTGGTTTCAGACTAGTAATTTAAATGTTATCTATAATTATAATAACAGTTGAAATTATTCCTTACCGTCTCCAAATCTAAAGCTTAGCAACATTTTATACTTTCATTATATGATCTCATTTGTCGATTTGAAACTATATAGAATCTTCAGACCATATGATTAAGTGACGCATAAAATCTGGTAGACAAAAGCGTAAGATTATCTGTAATGACAGTGCTATTATCACAGGCGTTTACGGTATAGGCCATACCAATGAGTAGTCAAGGACAGATATTTCCTTAAAGGTTATTTACAATAAAATACTATAATCTCTGTGACACTCAACAGCTGTGTGAAAACTGAAAGAGTAAAATGATAATCCAATAATAAATAAATTTAATGTTACAAGTTTGTGTATGTGCTTATTAGAACTAAACTGGTTACTGAATATCAATAAGTAGTATAAAAATACACAAAAAGGAATAGAATGTGTTAATTTCTCTCTACTCTACCTCGAGGCCTATTAATTTATCCTCTTTCAATGAATGATTGGTTGAATAATTTCCAATTAGGAATTAAGAACATGAAATTTAGCAGGGGGATCCTTTTTCAACAAATTCACCATCAAGTTACGTAATCGTATATTGAGATGTGGGAGAAGATTTCTAGCTCAGATGGTTGATTTTGATGGAGTTTTATTCTCTGAGCTGGATGGTTTGGTCCATCACAATCGTATAAAAATGCAGCTTTCAGCGTAAGGACTTATAAACAGTTGGTAAACATGATGACATAATAGAAAAATCATAGTACTAAGTTACTTCAGGAGTTGCACACAAAATATTAGTGTTGTGACTTTTATCCGGGCTAATTACCATGTGACTTATTCGTCAATCGATATACGACTTATACAATCTGAACACTGTGCTAAATCAATGATGTATCAACCGGTGTGAGAAGTCTAAAGTCCTTATTAGTCCTTTTTCCTCCTAGCCCTTCCAATTGAATCCAGAACATCAATACCAGCTTCTAATATACGAACCATTTATTTCAAAGATACCTGGTTTATATACAAGCCAAACAGACCACATTACACCATAAAATAGGGAATAACATTTGTGCAAAATCAAGCCGAAAATGAGGCTGTGAATGTGGGAGGTAGTGATTGATAGATTAGGCATAACTCGAGAATGGTAAATCTTATAATATTAGTTCATGGGTCAAAATAAAGTTTATGATAAAATGAACATGAATATGAATAGTTTAGTTACTTAACAATTATACGATCAAAATATACGCATAGTAATGGTTCACAAATGGATCGCGGCAGTTACCACTCATTATTGTCGTAGGGATATAACAGTTAATAAGTTTGAACGGTTTATAACGACAATGTTAAAATCGATGTGAGGATTATTTGAGTGATGAAGACTGAATGAATACGATATATAAACACTTTTTTTGTTTGTTGTACATTTAAGTGTTAGCTCACATTGTTTCCATTATTGTTTTGAGTAAAAACCTCAAAATTTATCTTCTTTTCACAGGATTATATGGTAACCAACTGGATGGAAAACGAGGTGGAGTTGAATTACAGACAATAGAACTTGCACAACCAAGTAAATGAATTTCTTTTGAAACTGATTTGGTAAATATATACTTTAACAAAGAATCAGACAGATTTAGGTTGGCGTCCATTTGATTTTTGTGATATAGAATAGCTTGTGAGTAATCAAAATCAAAACTTACTGATATTTAGTTACTAAGACATTTAAAACTGATTACATAGGAATAGTGAAATACAGGGTCAGTAATTCATAAATGGTGAAAGAAACTTAACGGTTTAGAATAAAAAAATTAAATATCTACGTGTATATCAATGTGGCTGCAAAACATTCCCAACCATTATTCCAAAAACCCAGACAAAACCGACTGATGGTAAACTTAGACTTGAACCATAAATTCGACTCGCACGCTCACTCGCTTGTCCTCATGCCCGCCTGCTTTTCGGCACTACTCTTTCATGCTTGCTTAACATACCCGTAATTTTGGTTATCTGTGCGCGGTGCAATAATAAACTTAATATTCGCCTTTTGATTAATACACCGTTGGGGCATTATCTAGTGAAGATTATCAGAACGAACTGTATAGGAAGTTTAAAGATTGCATTGAATACCGACCACTACACTGATTAAGTTTATGTTTTTCTAAAAAATTAATTTATCAACTATTTATAACGTTCATAAGATTAATTGGATTTTATTTTATTTAAAAGTCATTTACAGTATTTTTAAGCAAAGACGGATAGTGGCTAGCAGTGGGATCCAGGACTCGCGTTCCATCCTATTTGGGAATAGTCAGCTCGATGTACCTGCATCTCAGAGTTGATGTTTACTCTGAGACTCAAATCCAGTATCGTTCTCTTCAAATGCTATCACGTTATCCACTTAGATACTGAGTCCTGATAGCCACCTGTTTGTGCAATGAGATGAAGTTTAAATTCACTTGGTGTTGTTTTACTTGTATCTTCCTATTGTTATTTAGGACTACAATTGATTAGTCTCTTGTTTGCATATGTGCATCCTGTGCGAACTGCCTAGATATTGCTTGAAGACTCAGTAGCTAAGTGGATAATGCGATGGAGTTTGAAGCGAACGGTACTGGATTCGAGTCCCAGAGTGAACATCAGCTCTGCGATGCAGGTACATCGAGCTGACGAGTCCCAAATAGGACGAAACGCGTGTCCTAGATTCCACTGCTAGTCACTATCCATCTTTTCTTAAAAACCTTGTGACTTAAGGCTATATCGAGGCAATCCGCACAGGATGCATAAATGCTGACATGAAACTGATCAATTGCAGTCCTAAATAACAATGGGAAGATACAAGTAAAACAACAAGTACATTTACAGTAATGTGCATTTGCCATAGTAAATTGTAATTACATCATATCATTCTATGACTTTATTATTATTACTATTTTATAACAGATATTACACGAGAACGAGTAGACTGGTGTTATTCAACCACAACACCACTGAATCCAACAACAGATGATAAAGAATATTATTATTTAAACTTTGGTAATAAAAAACCATGTTTATATTTAACTGGTTATTATGAAGACCATCGTTCCAGAATGTGTATACCAAACATTTTAGAGAAATTAAGTGAAGAATTGGTAAGTGGAAGTGAAATGTAAATTAAACGATTGAAATATTATGAAAATTGTTAGTTTGCCAATATTAGAAGAAAAAAACATTTAACTAATATAATACCATGTACTCACTAGTGACTAGTTTGGTGAGGTAATTCTCGGAGTTCTAGTGAGAACCTGTGACCAGTGGAGTCTAAACCGTGTCAGGTAGAGAAAGGTATCTACCTCAGATAATAGAAGATGGTCGCGGAATTTTGTGGATTAATTGAAGTTAGACATTAACAGTGTTGGATACCTTAGCAGTGGTATAGAGGTTAGGCGTTCACGTGCGAAACTGGGGCCCTGGGTTTGAATCCCGCTTGTGGGATTATGGGTGCGCAGTGCTGGGGAGTCCCATACTAGGACGAAACGGTCATCTAGTACTTTCAGGCTTTTATTGATGGTTTAGCATTGATCGATTCATGATTACAATAAAAAATGTAACCAGTAATGGAATCCAGGATGCGCATTGGAGCTCGTTAACTGGGTGTACTTGCATGCATTCGTAATGTAGTGTGAGTTACTATATTAGGCTCATACACCTTATTCTAGCTTCTGAACAAGCCAATTTATCCATTTTTTTGAGTCACATTTTGACCTTGTTAATTATTCACTTATCAGTCTTGACTGTTTTTATATGAGCGTATCGGTGTGTACATTTCTTATCTCATTCATCACATGTCTGTAACTTATTTTTGTGTGATTATAAATATTGATTAACGCTTGTTAAAATGGAGCTTGCTCATGCACCTCCATCGACGGTCGTTTCGCTTCACTCTCTTCTCTTCACTTTCCTGCCTTGTTACTCTGATTGCCTGCCCAGAACAATGAGTATACAAAATATACGCATTCAAAAATCCATTCTCCTATTCGGTTTAAGTCGAAGAAATATACAAGGATTGAAGATATGTATATCTCAATAGCAATCAGAAACGATCTAATTGGCGTCAGATATAGGGCTACTAAAGTAATATCTCAATGAATAGGAAATTGCATTTTGGATGTTTTACAACTTAATGTCAGTCAGTTCTTCAGAATAAATAACTGACTGAAATGAATTAATACAAGTTTAAATAACATTCTACTCCTATTCATTACGATTTCATAAAGAGACAATTATTAACTTTCTATCCAATCCCAAATTTGTTTGAGATCATGAACTGATTGATGTTAGAGCATCATTGAAAACCTGGAAGCACTGGACGGTCGTTTCGTCCTATTGCCGTGCATATATGTACTCAAATCATATTATTAGCTTTTGCTTTACCTTAGTATGCCCTTATGCAGTTTGACTACAAATTTGCCAGTGTAATTTGCTCGTATATACTTATTCGCCTCTCCGCTTTAAATTTGTTCGATATGGTTATAGCTTTGTAATCTGTTCTATCTGCTAAGAAACTGTAGTTGCCACTTCTCTTTGTCTTCTGATTTTAAACACCGTTGAGGTTTATATAATAACGGTTACGAAGGTGATTGGTTAACAAAGCAACTATTTATTAAATAGTATGAATAAGCTTAGAGGTAGTGATATTTTATTAGACGGTATGTGAGCACTAACATAGTTACTTCATTACCTAAACACGAGTAGATATAGATGGGCTATGAATGCTATAATTGTAGGATCTAATTCTTCTACAGATAATTTTTCTAAACGAATCCCTTAACTGTAGAGCTCAGACTTGTGGAGTAGTTAAAACTAGAATAAGTTAACTATTTGATGGGTAAATTTTAATCTATTTCTAAAATATAGATTACTACCATTAGTTCAAAAACGTAAATCAGTGAAGTCTATGGGAAAAATGGAAGTGATTAAAATGGTACATACCGAACATTAATTAGACGGTAGAGTAAATAAGACAATAGAAACTTAGTTATATTTATAAAAAGGGTATAGTTTCTTGGTTGGTAGATGAACAAAGAATCTAGTTACTTTGTGTTGAGAAAGGATTTAAGATGTGAAAATTGGTGGAATTCGGTTTGTACTTGTTACAGTCTATGAGTTCTAATTAATCAGGATTTGAGCTCTTCACAAGGCTTGACCTAATTGACTATACAAACGTGAGAAGACTAAAAATACTTAGTAGATTTCATATCTACGTCTGAATAATTATCTATCTAAATCAAGTTATTTGGTCAATCCAGCCAAAGATATGTAGATAGTGACCTTGGCTAGTTGCTAAGTTGGGTTAATCACAGCAATATCTTCACAATATCATCTTTCCCTTATCCTTGTGAAATCATATGTTTTACCTGACTTTGAAGCAACATATGATGTGTATGAACTATCAAAGCTTATCAATACAATGACGAACATTATAGCATTGTATGTTTGTTCCACTAATCTGTTCGATATCTCCGAAGATGATATAAATTTCTTCTGAATACTTTCACTAGATTAATGTTATAACTTGTGGCCCATGCGCCCTATTAATGCATAACGTAATGATACCGCCAATTAGAGAGCAGTGGCTTATCGATCGGATCAGTGACGAGTAAACCCGTACGAGCAGTCTGGAGTACTTATCGGTCCTACTTCCTGCCTAGACCATCCAGTTAAGTCCAGAACACCAATCCCAGCCTCTTCAATATGAATCATTTATTTCAAACATACTCGGTTTATATATCAACGAGGCAGACCAAAACGTACCATAAAATACGAAACAACATTTGTACAAGATTTAGCCAAATGTGGCTGTGAATGTGGGAAATGGTAATCGACAGACAGAGAATAACTCAAGAATGGTGAAACATATAATAATAGTTCATAGATCAAAATAAAGCTCATAATAAGAGGGACATGAATCTGAATAGTTTAGTTACTTAACAATTATACGATAAAAATATACGCATAGTATTGGTTCACAAATGGATCCCAAAAGTAACCATTCATTATGCTTATCAAGATATAACAATTAATCATTTCTATATTGAATTTGAGTAAGAAACCTTTTAATAACAAAAATAACAAATGTATTAAGTGGTTCAATTGACTTAATATTAAACGATACGTATGAAACCTATATACTCTTAGTTATCTTACAAACGAATGAGCACTGATTCAACAGGTAAAATAGGGAAATTCTGTAGATTACAAGTTACGCAATTTGTATATATGTATTATAGGATACTAAGATATCATGAAATTTTGATTAAAATTTAAGGTACTTCGTTTTATTCAAGCGATTGTTATGATCACTGGAGTCTTGTGAATAGTGAGATCTAGGATCTACTCATACTATGGTCCAGGTATATTCGAAATAAGTAAAAACTTACTAACGCCTGTTACCCCTCAGCACACTTCATCCAACTCTGTCATGTACAATTCTTTCCGGCTGCTGTTCATCCTTTTTATGTCTGTTTCCGATTCCCAAAGTAGTGTGGTCCTTAGTCTTCTACCTTTCCGTTTCCCTTCACAATTACAGGATAGGGCTCGCCTCGCGATACAGTTTGATGATTTCCTCAATATGTGTTCTATCCAGTCTCAACGTCTTTTCTTAATTTTCTCTTCAGTTGGAACCCAGTTTGTTCTCTCCCATAGTCGGCTGTTGCTGATGGTATCCGGCCAACAACGGACATTCAGTATCTTGCGTAGACATTTGTTCATAAATACATGTAATTCTTTGATGATGGTTGTGTTAGTTTTCCGAGTTTCAGCTCAGTACATTAGGACTGTCTTGACGTTCGTTTTGAAGATTGTGACTTTGAAATTGGTTCACAGAAAGTTCTTTTAAGTTCCATATGTTGCTCAAATTTAAGAATGTTGTCTTTGCATTAGCAATCCTCTCACTCAGGTTTGCATCGGATCCTCAACGTTCATCGAGGATAATTCCCAGGTACGTGAAAGATTCCATATATTCAGGAGTTTCTCCATCAAGTGTGATGCGGTTGGTGTTCTCTGTGTTGTATTTAAAGATGTTGCTTTTTCCTACTGCTGCAGTAGCTGCTGCTATACTAGTTATCTTCATATGCATTTTAAAGTTTACTATTAACTACAGTTGTTATAATTGAATAAATAATTTGATGAAATATTGATGTGACCAAATTGGTCAAACTGACATTAAGCAATCCAAATAGTTCTTGACTTAGATGAAATGAGTTCATGTAATATAGATGACAAGTAGGTAAGTGATTGATTGAATAAAACTATTAAGTTGTTAACTGTTTCTGTAATAAACTACTGATTATAATAACTCAGTAGTTGAAAATTAAAAGAGAAACAAATCGTTTGTTTAAATTGTTTGATATTTATTCCCATTTCCGTTCTTTTTTTCTTCTTTATCATAACAACTAGTATTATCAAATACAACGTGTTAAGCACTTGTTTATTAGAAGGAAAATAACCGAAGCTAAAAATTATCTACGTACAGTTTTTTTGACAATGGCAAAAAAATTCAGTTTAGCTCAGGAATCAATTAAATCATGTCGTGATACTGCCAGTACAACATTACTTGATCGAGAATATTCACGTAGAATACGTCGTGATTTAAGAAGAATGGCCATGTTAATGATTCATTTATCAAAACATATACACAGAAATACATTGGGTGAAAAAATTAAAGATGCCAATGCATTACACAATCGTTTATGTCATTTAAGTAATTGTGTATGTTTCTCATTTATTGATTTCATTTTGGAAATGATTTTGAATTGTTCTAGTAACACATCATGGGAACTTTGTAAAGTTCAAAGATTTTAAATCTAATTTATTATGAGATGATGGAGAAGATTTGTAGCTTAGGTAGATGATTTTGACAGAGTGTTTTTCATTAAGCTGGATGGTTTGGTTATGGAACTTTCATCGTTCTTCTGAACAATATCATCAGCACATACGTCTACTTAAAGTTTGTGCTCAGAGAAAAAAACTCCATCATAAAACTTACATCTTAAGAAAACACAGATCAAATGGTGGTTGAAAGTAGTCGACAGGAAACCTTGGAAACGGGTTTCCTGTCGACTACCTCCAACCACCATCTAATCTCAATATATAGTGCCCGCAGTGTCGAGTCACCTAGACTGGTGGCCACATTGCAACATGATCGGTAGAATTCGATCTGCACTAATAATAAGGACTAGACACGCACGACATTAATCGTCACCCAGTGATCAATCAATTGTGAAAACACAGAATATATTTTCATTGATTCTTTTGAACATGATTCGGTTGTGATAAAAGTTAAAAGAACAACTTCAAATTATACAGATAATTGACCACTGAACAGAATACTTTTACGTTTTGATCTACAGAGATACTGTAGTGAATGAGAATACAAGTGAGGACATTACAGAACATCTTAGTAAAATAAATACTTCATTTGCAAAATGTCAATAAATCGTCTCAGACTTCATTGTTCTTTCGTTTCCACATCAATCATTCACTGTTCTCGTTCTCTTTTCTTCGATCTTCTTAACCTTCTGCCTCCAGTCATTTTACTTTCGATTGATGATACATACTACTTATGTCTGTCGACATCAGTGGCACACACCACAATACATATATGACTGGTATCTAACACGACAACAGGAGACAGTGTATAAATGAAAATAAAGATGTCAACTAACAACCTAAATAGAAATTTATAGGGTTGGATGGAAAACATCTACTGTTTTAAACCAGAGAAGATATTTGTAAAACTTTTTGTCTACATTTGAAAGAATAGTTTTATCGAAGTTGGATAACAAATTTATGTAAAACATTAAGAAGGAAAATTCTAAAGCAAGATAGCTGTGACAAACTTTTTAGAAATGTCATCAGTATATTTGATAGCATCAGGTTTAGTAAAGAGATCGAATTCAGTAACTACAAATTACTTTTCCTGACTATTCAGTTGAAAGGAAGCAGAATGATTACTTAAAAATCAATATATTCCGAAATCCAATATATGCTGGGAAATATCTAGATTATAAGTCAGTACATGTCCTATCTACATAAGTGACAGTGGTTAAGAATTTGATAAATACAGTTCGGGAACTCTTCACAGAACCGAATGATTAGGAAAATGGGTTGAATTTGTCTATATTCAATGAAATGAAAAATAATTATCTAGGGGACTTTTTGAAGAAAGAATAATTCAGGAGGAAAACACAAATGGGAGAAAAAAGAAAACCTGAAGATTGGGTTAACACATTGATGGTCCCATATTGTAAAGGAACTTCGGATGATACCAGAAGGATCCTAAACCATCATAAAATAAGCGTATTTTTTTCGAAAAATACCATTCTAAACCCTAAATCATTAAGTGGTAAAGACTCAGTATCAAAGTATGAAGATTTATATAGTGTATATGTGGTCGATGTAGCGGCTCTAATGCTATATACGTAGGTAAGATATCACGGCAACTGAATGTAAGGATGGAGGAACACAAACCTTTCTTGAGGTACATTCTAAAATCCTCAGAAAACCTAAAGAAACAATTCAACGATGTTATTACGTTCAAAGGAGTTTTGACATAGAATTGATTTCAAAGACATAAAAATTCCTTCCAAAACGTTTTGATTCACACTAACAAAGTGACAGCTGAAGCCCTACACATATAGAAAAATCCAAACAATATAAACAGAAAAAATGGAATACAATTATCTGTACCATGAGAAATAGTGATTAATGAGTAAACCTGGACTTCATTTTACATTTCACTTTTTTTTAAAATATTCATGGATTGAACGTTTCACTTTGAGATCACTAAATTATAATAACTTAGATGTGATCAATAAAAATTAGATCAGATGCTCAAATAAATGATCCCATTAAATTAAATTGAAGAATAAGTGCTACTATTCAGATCAATATGTGTTATAAAAGAGTAGTGATTCTCAATAGTTGAGATCATGAGTCAATTGAAGCTAGCCCACTATGGAAAACCTGGAAGTACTGGACGACCGTTTCGTCCGAATGTGGGACTCCACAGCAGTGCGCATCCACGAGCCCATCTCACAAAATTCGAACCCAGTGTTTATCAGTCTTAACCACTAGACTACTGAGACGGCATCCATTGGTGTTAATGTCTAACTTCAACTAATCCATGAAATTCAGCGACACATCCACCATTGTCATCAATGAGTTACTATCTCACAAGTGACCCAATTGAACTCCACTGGTCACTGCTCCTCATTAGAACTGCGGGATATATCTGTTGAAGCCAGTCACTAGTGAGCATATGTTGATTCGTATCAGAAGGTGGTTTTGTGTAGATTGTAGTAATTTTAATAGTTGAGATCATGAGTCAATTGAAGCTAGGCCACTGTGATTCTCCTCTTATTGTTTTGTTTCTCAAATGGAATGTTTACTAATTCTGACCTTAGTTTACTACTGAAGATATTTTGCAAAAGATAAGCACCATTTTAAGTGATCAGATCATTTCAATGTTTCTTAATCAAATTGATTTCAATTTGATTACTGATTTGTTTTTATTGTTTGTTTTAGCCGCAAGATGGTTTACCGGATGTTTTTATTTCAATGATATTGGAACATCAAAGAGTTGGTTTTGTTAGAATTCCAGCACGAGATATATATTATTCAGCTGTAGATTGTGAAAGAGGCAAATGGAGTGGACAAATGGCAACTTTATACTTACGTGTATGTAATATTAAAATGTAAATAGGAAATCAATTTTTTTTCTCTCTCCATTTTCTATTAGTGAATAGATTAAGAGTTCATATGAAAATCATCCAAACATTAAATCAAAGTCCTAATGAGTTCAAATATTCACTTGTTTGTACAAAGTTAATCCAGAAACATGGTTTACTGTAAACCGTATCGAACTACTTATATTCATCGAAAGTAATCATACTCTGTTTCTTAATAATAATAATAATAATAGTAGTATTAATTAGAGCACACACATGTTTTTACCCTTTTCACTTCAAACTATGGTTCATTTAACAAGTTGGACTTTCTTTTTTCAGTATTGCTCATCATTTACTGACTTCACATAATGACATACTAAACATAATAATGAAGGATTTAAAAAATATTGCTGATTTGACTATGTCAACTTTCAGATCTACTTATATATAATGATAAGTAGCATACATTTTAAGTAAGAACTGTCAATGTTTAAAACAACTAGTCCTTTTAATAGTTGAATTCATGAGTCAATTAAGGCTAGACCATCATGAGAAATCTGGAAGTAGTAGACAGCCAGTTCAGTGTTCTAGAGGTTAGACGTTCGCACGCAAGACAGGTACGTCCTGGGTTCGAATCGCGCGAGCGACTTGTGGGTGAGCATTACCAAGGAGTTCCTTACTAAAACAAAACATCCGTCCAGTGCTTCCAGATTTCGCATGGTGGTCTAGCTTTAATTGGCTCATGAATTCAACTATTAAATAACTAAAATCTCCACAAAACCCCCTTCTTATAATTAGTCCCTCTGACAAATTTCAATAATGCAGTGAGAAGACGAAGGTTATTGAAACTGTGTGATACATTTGCGCAATACATTTCGAACAATCTGATCACACGTATACATGTTAAGAACACTTATATATAAAGAAATAGAAGGTCAACTAGACAGATTAAAAGTAGGCCTTAACAAAGAAAAATAATAATAAAGTACACAAAATAATGTGATAACTACTCTGGAAAATAAACCAATATTACCAGGGTAGGTTAAAAGTATGAACAGATTGTTTTTGAACACATAATGAGGGTTTCAGTTTCCGTATAGTCAAGGCTTCAATAAACCTTAGTATACACCCTTGATGGCTTTTGTACAACACTACATATACTAACATGAGATCAACCTTAGGACCAGCCTAACCAAATGTTTCTCAATGGAGGTAGATGTCTGTCTATTTTATGATCTTATTTGACCATTGCAATTTATTTGTTTCTGCAGCCATTTGGGTATGTGTTCCACCACCTTTTAATCTGTTTAGTTGACCTATTTCTTTATATATAAGTGTTCTTAACATGTAATATCCTTTCAAAATCTTATAGATAGCCAATAACTATTTATCAGAATAATAAAGTTCAATTAACAGGTGAACTATACAGTATAACTCTAGAAAGGTAACTCTCAACCATTCAACATGTAAAGAATTAAAATACAAATGTTATTTTACTATGTACATAGTTTTTTCTTCTTTTTAAATATTTGAAGAACCACTCAAGGTAACGGCTATAAATATAGTAATAAAAAACAAATACAAAGCTTACATAGTAACAAACTAACTCATAACCTAATGTTAATTACAAGTGAAAGATCTAAGATGACAACAGACTCTTAGGATGATTATATTGATTTATAGATGAGGACAATAGGTATTTGAATAATTTTCGGGTTAGCATTCTTTTTAGCGATTAAGTTTTTTATAGGATGTGGTCGCTAACCACATGCCCAACCCTCCTCCTTTATCTGGGCTTGGGGTCGGCAGTAGCCCTAGATAGGCTCCAGGCGGATTAGTAGCCTCAACAGCAGTAGGTCTCAACATACACAAAGGGAAAAGCAAGACTCTCCGATACAACACAGTATGCAACAATCCGATTTGGAACATGTAAAAACCTTTACATATATGGCCAGCATCGTTGATAAACACGGTGGATCTGATACAGATGTGAAGGCGCGGATCGGCAAAGCAGGAGCAACTATCAACCAACACTAAGGTCAGAATTTTCAATACAAATGTCAAAACAGTTCTACTGTATGTGGCGGAAACTTTGAGAACTACGAAAACCATCATCCAGAAGATATAGGTGTTCATTAACAATTGTCTACGCAAAACACTTGGGATCCGTTGGTCAGACAGTATTAGCAACAACCTACTGTAAGAGAGAACAAACCAGATTCCAGCTGACAAAGAAATTAGGAAGAGTGGCTGGAAGTGGATAGGACACACATTGAGGAAAGCACCGAATTTCATCACAAGCCAAGCCCTCACATGTGATCTTCAAGGCCGAATGAAGAGAGGACGACCAAAGAACACATTACGCCGAGAAATGGAGATGGACGTGAGAAAAATGAATAACAATTGGATAGAACTAGAAAGGAAGGAGTAGGACAGAGTGGGTTGTAGAATGCTGGTCGGCAACCTATTCTCCATTGTGAGTAACAGGCGTAAGTAAGTAAGTACACTAGGTATTTAATAAAATTTTATCTTTACTTATATTAGTTAATATTTCATTCGTTTTAGAAACAAGGTCGTGAGGGTGTTGGACCTAAAGGATGGAAAATTCAAAGTCAAATACGTGTGTATTTATGGCTTGGTTTAATTAAAGATTTTACCGCTTACACATTTGGTTTACCTGGTGGATATGATAAGAATATATTTAAAACACCAAAACCACCAAATGAATTAATTTATCTGGGTAAAAATAACAAATTATGTATATTATATTTAATGGTATAAGTTTCCTCATTGTTGTGATTAATCTTTGCTTCTAACCAGTATCTAATGACATATTTCCATCCTGAGAAGATTGTGTCTGTATATCATCTTAATAAGGCTAGATTGTAGCTGACAGCGGAATCCAAGATGTGGATTTCACCCCACTTGATATTTTTCAGTAGGATACGTTTGTATTCTAATGTTGATGTTCCCTATAGAGAATTGGAACCTAGCATCTTTCTCTTCAAAACCTAACATATTATTCACTGAGCTATTGAATTAAGATATCTGCTTACTCGTTCAATCAGTATGGTGTTTCTTTACGGGATTGTTTAACTTCATCACTTTAGATGAAGCTGAATTTATCAACTTAATTAAAGTATCAGTTGATATCATTTAAAGAAGGCTCCCAAATGCCCTGATACGGTCGAGAGTGGGGAGAGTCATATCTCTTTCTCAAAATACTCTCATATAGCCATGTACATACAACCACTGCCAGCGAAGTCCTACTCACTACCTTCTCACGGCATCACTGTTGTTTACGAAATTAAGAGGACAAAACGCGAGTGTCCAGCTCTTTAGCCGGCTTGGTGGATATGGAGAATCCACCTAAGGGAGTTGAAAAACCCTGATTCCAAACCAATGGTGCACATGGACTCCAGCATCCTGAAGGAACAAATGGCGTATGAACCTATTGTTGGTGACCGGCTCCCATAGGACTGCATCTCCTCACGATGCTCCACTGCCTTGTGGATCAGATATTTAGGTCAAAGGCTCCGGGTGTGGCCCCCTCAGAAAACCACATGCTTCGGGTTGGGCACCTGGACAGTGAATGAAAAATATTCTTCCATTAATCTATTGTATTTAATAAGCAAGATATATTTGTATAAATATGACGGAACTTTATCTGAAACAACCATAATAACTTCGAAATTAGACTATTCAAGTCAAAGAATGTAGGAATTCAAAATGTCATCTACTAGACGTTCAAATTTTTCTCAATTATTACTATAATTGTAAAGAGACTATCCATCTGAAAGCTTTCATCTATTAATTTGTATAATGAATAAAACTGAAAGATTAATGGTTATTATATGATCAGAATGATCGTATGATTGTTTTTTCATAAGTCGTTATTCGACTTATTAATTTAATACATGATTATAAGCTTTACTTATTACTCGTTATGGAAACGTGTTTTAAATGATGATAGTGATGAAGAAGTTCAGTGAAATGTCAAGATAAAAGTGATAACATCACATTTGGATCACAACTTCGTAAGTATAAGAAATCTATATTGAGCATATTTTGTCTTAGTTACTTGAAAGTAGCTCTCAGACAATTGATACTTCTGTGGTGCGGGCTACTTATATTGATATAAGCAGTATATCACTCAAGTCAGGATTGTAATGTCTAGCGGCAGAAGATGGGGAAGAAGAAGCGGGAAGGAAGAGCGGGAATAGAAAGCAATTAGTATGGAAATGCAAGAGCAATGAAGTTCGAGACAATTATTGAACATTTTGCAAATTAAGTATCATAGTATGGTTTTTCTATTTTACCAAGTAACTCTGTAATTTTGTGCTAAATATAATCCGATTGTTCCCACCCGTGTTCAGTTCACCACACTTCTACCATCTTAGTACTAGTAACCTATGAAGGTGCTTTTACAAATGTTCAGTTGTAACATGTTTTGATGAAGACACGCTTTCTACGAACTGGGTAGTTAGGATTATTACAACTGATGAGAAAATCACTAGAAATAGGATGTATAGTAGTGGAATAAATGGTCAATTGAAATGGATAAGTGGAAAGCTTTTTAGTTAAACGGACAAATTTTCTTCTTTTTCAGCCAGTAACAATTGTTGGAATGTATGTATGTTTTAATCTCATTTGTTTCCCATTATTTTCTATCAATAAATAAGTAGAGAGTTTCATTACACTTTCTTTGATTCGTTAAAAATATGATTTAATTTGTAAAGTTCCTTTTCAAAGTCACTCAATTTCCTTCATGTATTCTAGTCTTACGTTGAAATTGTAGTAATTCATACAAATGAGATGATGAAGAATTGTAGCTCAGGTGGATGATTTTGATGAAGTTTTATTCTCTGAGCTAGATGATTCGGTCGTGGTAGGAGGCTTCTACCTGAAGTTTCTACTGATGATATCGTTCAAAAGAACAATGAAAGCCCTACGACAAAATCATCCAGCTCAAAGAAAAAACCTCCATCAAAACTCGTACAAATATCATATGTCAACTAATCTTATATCTTAACTTTCAACATCGAATATTCAAAGTCTGTCACAGAAAATCAAAACGATCTGTATTTAACTTAATCTAATCATCAAGGTTCTATACTTGCCAATACTCATTAACATAACTTAGCCAAAATTTTCAAGAAACTTATTCTATTTTTAACGTTTCGATCCATATATTGTATTTTCATAAGCGATTGATATAGAACACAGCTATTCATATATTCATTTAGCTGTGATCAATAAAAATTAGATCAGACACTCAAATAAATGATCCCATTAAATTAAATTGAAGAATAAGTGCTACTATTCAGATCAATATGTGTTATAAAAGAGTAGTGATTCTCAATAGTTGAGATCATGAGTCAATTGAAGCTAGCCCACTATGGAAAACCTGGAAGTACTGGACGACCGTTTCGTCCGAATGTGGGACTCCACAGCAGTGCGCATCCACGAGCCCATCTCACAAAATTCGAACCCAGTGTTTATCAGTCTTAACCACTAGACTACTGAGACGGCATCCATTGGTGTTAATGTCTAACTTCAACTAATCCATGAAATTCAGCGACACATCCACCATTGTCATCAATGAGTTACTATCTCACAAGTGACCCAATTGAACTCCACTGGTCACTGCTCCTCATTAGAACTGCGGGATATATCTGTTGAAGCCAGTCACTAGTGAGCATATGTTGATTCGTATCAGAAGGTGGTTTTGTGTAGATTGTAGTAATTTCAATAGTTGAGATCATGAGTCAATTGAAGCTAGGCCACTGTGATTCTCCTCTTATTGTTTCGGTTCTCAAATGGAATGTTTACTAATTCTGACCTTAGTTTACTACTGAAGATATTTTGACTCATCATCATTATAATAAATTTTGTTACCAGGTATCATTTGAAAAGTAACTAGATACATCATTCCAGTTGATCACTTATTGGATTTCTTTTATTTGATCATTATTTTTTTCCTACAGAAAGTAGTCGTTTCCAGTTCAGATGTTATATATTCATTGCACGTGATCTAATAGCCTCTGATTCATCTGGTATGTCAGATCCAATGGCAAGAGTTCTTATTGGACCACATGTTCTTCAAACACAAGCATTATATCAAACTATGAGTCCAATGTGGGATGTTGTCTTATATAAACAAGTAACATTTTATCAAAATGCTCAATCAGTAAAACAAAATCTTCAAGAGGTTATTGTAGAAATATTTGATATTGATCCAGGCGTAAGCTTAAATGGCTTAAAACAATTTCGTTTTGAAGTTTTCTTTAACTACTAACATGATTATGTAATTCAATATATAAGATACAAGTATATTTTGAAATGATGAATCGTATATTCGAATCTTAATATAGAGCTTGATCGTAGGATGGATGGTGATCCTACTGATAGATCTCTAGTGGGACAAAATGAGCCTCTTCAATTTCATTGCCACCTATTCGACTGTAACATTAATAGAATTATGATTCGATCGTTTACGTGAAAATTGTTGATCACAGTCATAATAAAGTCGGTCTTTTTAAGAAAACATCTAACTTCTATTGTGAATATTCTATTCTTTACTATTTTCCTTATAAAAAAATACTTGGTAAGCTAACTGAAGTGACATAATACATAGAATGATGCATCTTAATAACAGCAATCGCTAACAGACTTAGAAAAGAACTAGAATGAAAACAAAAGTGTCCACAAAAGCATAAGTGTGTTGTATCGGGGAAATTGTTAGGATGAGGAATGGTAATATAAACAACAATAAATGTGTGTATCTATTTATTGACTGGTTTTTACATTTTTTATGAATTGTTTACTAGACAATTGTTTTATGAGCAGAGATGGGTGGTAGCTAGCAGTGGAATCGAGGACGCAAGTTTCATCCTATTTAGGACTCACCAACTGGATGTGCCTGCATCCCAGAGTTGACGTTCCGTCTAGGACAACGTAATAGCTTTTGAAGTGAACGGTACTAAATCCGGTCCCAGACTGAACATAAACTCTGGGATGTAGGTACATCCAACTGACGAGTTCCAAGTACAACAAAATATTCATTCTTCCGCTAACCATCACCCATCTCTGCTTATAATGCTTGTAATTTGATACCACTATTGAGGTGATCCACTCAAGATGCACATTTACAGTCCTAAACATCAATGGGAAAATTCAAACAACCAATACAAGTGAGTTGTTTTATGATATTATTATATTAGTCCTAATTGTAAATTATCTTTCCACTCTGAATTGTTACGATATATAGTTACAGTTCATAAATTACACTCAATAACCTTTATATATATGAATTAGTTTCATCAAAAGCGTCAAAGTTATATAATCACTTAGAAAACAAACATGTCGTGCACTGAGTCCTTGGATTCTACTTTTGCTAGGGTTGAAGCTATCACGAGTTGACTTAATCTGCGAACGAGAACAAGACTCGGTGACCAAAGACCAGTAAGCTAGCTATTGATGCGTCCCAGCCCCGCTAACTAGAGGAAGAAGTCCAAGCTTGGAAATGGGAAGTATATTCTGCAAACATCTAGAAACAAGCGAGCACAACAAACATAATTCAAAACGTATATGTATAGTACAAAACCGTCCTTAGGAAGAGTTATCAAATAGCATACTAAAATACGCAACGGACCAATAGCATTTAAGATATTTCCCAGTGGGAAATACGACATGAAGGTGACAAGAGCGCCTTTGTCGCGAAAACAAAGAAATTCAAATTTTCTCAATTAAATGACAAAATTAGATCCTTTCCGAAATGAGTTCTGGGGATCTAACGTCCCCAACAACTTCATTAATTATGTAGATCATGACTCAAAAATCAAACATTTTAAGACCTGATAATATGGCTTTAGGGTTCTAATCGGACATTGTTTGGGGAAGGGAGAATTTACGGAAACAAGTGATCATAAGTTGAATCTAGTATAATGGTTGGTAGATTGATTGTTTCTCCGGATCGATTACGAATAAAAAATCCTTAAATACATAAGTTTCTTGATTATCCTCAAGTTAACGAATACACAGTAAGCTACTTGAATACTTGGTCTTAGTTAATTATACCTCAAGTCTCGTTTTTATATCATAGGTGATATAAACTACTCACTCAAAAAATTATAAGTAGCATGTTATTTTTCAAATCTTTTTATTTTTCATTCATTTTATAAGAATGATTTAGAATTTATGGGACGTTGTTTTTGTGAAGTAAATGTTACTTTGGATGGTGAAAAGTATAAACCACCACGTTTACAATGGTGGCCAATATTTCGAGGACAAACTCCTGGTGGAGAATTACTTGCTGCTTTTGATCTAATTCAGGTAATTTTGTAGACTTTTTGACGAGACCTTAATTTATGGACGAGTCAATCAGAAGCATTTAAGAGATTTCAAGTTCACGGCGCCAACTTCAGTGCTTAATGCTTTTTTCATTTTGAACAATAAACAAAAATTTACTTTTCTTAATGACTGTCTGTTATATCTAGAAGGTTATTCTTGATATACCGCGTATAACGTGAGCACTAGAACGCCAGAACCCTTCCAAGTCACAATGAGAAGACAGAAGACTAATGAAAGGAATATTATTCCCAGACAGTGTCAATTATAGTACAAAATTGTCAGGTGTTTATAGCTTTTAGTAAGAACGAAATCATAATTACAGTCCTCCAATCCTCACACAGAGAGTTATTAGCATTGTCCAATCGGGGAGCTACACGTAGGAATTCTAGAATAATTTTCCAAAAGGTGATTGGATGGAATATCTTCGGCTCCTTCTGAGCCTCCTACAACTTCTTCGCGTTCACCTGTGATCCGTCGTCACACTGTCCAGTGAAACTTGGTGTTACCTAACTGTCAGAAAGTCAAGAAGTCTACATTATTTTATCTATACAATTTGATGTAACAGATTACTTTTTAAGTAAATTATACGAATTCCTAAAATAACGGCAAAACTAAACATTTTCCGTTTATCATGATGTTATATCATAAAACAATAATACGACTTGAGGTATGGGATTATACAATCACTAAACTACATACTTGTACTATACACTATTAATAGATTGAAGTCACGTTGTGTTAGATATAGCATATGTGCCTAAAGGTATAGAACCAGATTATAAATCAAACAATAGTTTATTTGACACAACATTAGGTGTGGATACAAAGTGAATCCAGAGTAGAAATTACAAACGAGATCATTCAAGTAAATTGATACAACACTTGTGGAACAACTAGAAAGATCACTTCTACATGAGTTAGCCACTGAAAAAATTATTCGAAAATGGCAATGAAAACTTCGCGATTAAACCAGTTCATCCATAAAAATGGTGTGATTTCTTAACGTACAGTTAAAAAAGGAATGGTCGGTTTGAGATTAAACTGAATCTGATTGATAGGAGTTTATCTCAAGTGTTATTGGTTGGTCCGTTCTAATCGATCTGGATTAATGCCTCCAAAGATCATGGATCATGCGTCGTCATGACATACTAATACTACCACATAGAATCTAATCTAGAAAATTATAATCAACTCACTCAATTAGTTTGAAATCGGCTGATATTGGATTATCCATGGCATCTTGATTTTAAGTCACGAACCTAATAGCATTGTGCTCAACATGAAACCAAGAAGGTCTTGTATTAGACTCCCAGTGTGTGACTATGGTTGAATATTTCTAAGTTATTCAACTCTTTACAAAAAGTTTGTCTCATATCCCTCGGTTTTCAATGTTTCGTTTAGATGTGGTGAGTTCACGGTGAAAATATTTTGTAATAGGATAACTATTAATTCCAAATTACTCCTCACCACTTTGTTCCTACTTTAGTTCCTTCTGGTTTACTAAATCTATTACTTACTAATATTCAGTAACTACTGTCAATCCCGATCATTTTCAAGACCTCAGTTCATCTCTCTATTTGATCTTTGAAAAGATTCATGACATTTTTTCCCAGTTATTATTGCAACTGTACTCTAATAAGGTTTCAAAAGGTCATATTTATATCTGTTCTATTCATTTAACCCTTGTTGACTTGTAACACTCTCCATATTCCATATGCAGACTTCTTGTTCCAATTTGTCGGATACCGCGTTGTTAAATTGACATAACTACTGGCTATTCTTAGTATACATGGTATGCTTTTGTACATCATTCGTACATAATTATTCCAGGAAGCATGTGTTCTTCGATCGTAATCTTGATGCATCTTAACGTATAACATTTCTAAAGAATCAAGGTTTACAAACTGTAATAGTTAGTTCTTGATTGAGATCATGAACCGATTGATGTTAGACCACCATTGAAAACCTGGAAGCACTGGATGGCCGTTTCGTCCTATTGTGGCACTCCTCAGTAGTGCGCATCCACGATCCCGCTCGCGGGATTTGAGGGAATTTTCGGAGTTCTAGTGAGAAGTCGTGACCAGTGGAGCTAATCCATGTCGGGTAGAGACAGGTATCTACCTCAGTACAATGGAAGATGGTCGCGCAATTTCGTGGAATAGTTGATGTTCGACACTATCACCATTGGATGCCGGCTCAATGGTCCAGTAGGTTAAGCGTTCGCGCGCAAGACTGAAGGACCTGGGTTCGAATCCAGCGAGCAGGATCGTGGATGAGCACTGCTGAGGAGTCCCATAACGAGACGAAACGGCTGTCCAGTGCTTCCAGGTTTCTAAAGGTGGCCTAACATCAATCGGTTCATGATCTCAATCAAAAAATTAATAATCTCCACAACCCCTATACTTGTAACAGTTAGATTGTCGTTAATAGTAGTACCGTATTGTAAATAATTTCCATGTTTTGATTTCAAAATTTTACGTGTCACTCAATCATTTAATTTGTATCCCGGAACAGATTGATTAATAGTATTTGAAATACCAAACCTATGCTTATTGTTAATTTCTCTTTCATTATCATTTTTATAACTTTCATTCTTTTTTTTGGTACATAAATGTATATATTCAAGGAGGATCCTCAAGTGCCATATGAAAATTTACCTACATTTGAAGAATTAGCTGCATACACAAAAGAATTTGATGATCGTGTTATATTAAAAAGTATTCCAGGAATGTACTTAGATGATGAAGATGATTTGAATAAAGATTCAGATGATGATGATAATGATAATGAATTGGATACAGTTGATGAATTTGATGATTTAATATTTGATGCTGATTCTGTCTTATTATTAGATAATTCTAATGATATTCAAATAAATAATACAAGAAGAAAACAAATCAAAATTGGTATGGCACCACCAAAACTTGTTTTAGTTAGACGAAAAGGGGATTATCGAATACCAGATAATATTAGACCACCTTTACAACGATTTAGAATGGAAGTTGTATGTTAACACTTTCTTTAATTATTTTATATCTATTTACATGATTCACTTGGTAGTATTTAACTTGTATCTTCCCATTCAGGTTTAAGACTGCAATTGATAAGTCTGTTATTGGCATATTTGCATACTGTGCGTATTCCTCGATATTGCCTTAATTCATAAGCTTTTTGTATGCAATGATGGACTCAGTAGCTAATTGGATAACGTGATGGCGTTTAAAGCGGATGGTACTGGGTTCGAGTGCCAGAGTGAACATCAACTCTGAGATGCAGGTACATCGAGCTGACGAGTCCCAAATAGGACGAAACGCGCGTCAAACTGGATTCCACTGCTAGCCACAATCCATCATTGCTTATTTACATGATTGTTAGTAAAGATTTAAATTATTCCATTGTAAATAATCAGGACTGAATCATAATCAATTTTTATTGATATATGTGGATTCTCTATAGATTGCTTAGATACAGCCTCAGTATCCAAGATAAGTGTTAATTGGATGATGTGTTGACATTTGCAGTGAAAGTTACAGAGTTTAAGTTCATCTGTAGACGTGATCACTAGTATGTAATTACATCCAGTTGATGATTTGAAATATAATCAAGTCTATGTACTAGATTCTACTACTAGTTCAGATAGATCATTTTGATGGAATTTTGTTCTCTGAGCTGAACATCAAGATCTACAAAACAAGCTGTGAATCACTTGTAGAAAAATTCGAACACTTCACTTCTATCTAATGTTTGTGTTGATGATGTCGTTCAGAAGAATAATGAAAGTTCCACAACCAAACCATCCAGCTCAGAGAACAAAACTTCATCAAGAATAAGTGATGAAATTTGTTTTGCTTTTCAAAAGCTTTTGCTATCAAAAGTTTTGAGCTCTCATTTATGATATAGAGAATTTTTAATTCATCATCTTGATCGGCAGGGTCCTACAGATTTAGATTTTGTGTTGATCAGGACTAATCAGAAAGATGTATTTAAATGTGATCCATAAGATATAAAATCGTATATTATCATATATCACAGTGACAGTGTTTGTTTGGATAATACAATGGTAACATATTTGATTGTAAAACGACCTACTTACCAATTTACGCTTGTTATCCCTCGTCGAGGAGTATAGATTGACCACCAGTACTCTTCATCCAACTCTGTCCTGGGCAATCTTTTCAAGTTGCTATTCGTTCTCTTCATGTCTGCTTCCAATTCCTGACATAGTGTGTTCTTTGGCCATCCTCTTTTCCGTTCCCTTTCAGGATCCCAAGTTAGCACTTGTCTCGTGATGAAGTCTGATGATTTCCGTAATGTATGTTCTATCCACTTCTGATATCTTTTCCTAATTTCCTCTTCACTTGAAAGCTGGTTTATCTTCTCCTACAGAAGGCTTTTACTGATGGTATTTTGAGTATCTTTCGTAGACAACTATCTATAAATACATTTTGATGATGGTTATGGTCGTTCTCCACGTTCCAGCTCCGTATTGAGAGAATGGACTAGATACAGTTTCATAAAATATCTCAGTTAGTAAAACTATTAATTTGGGCATGCTTTATAAGTTGGTTAAGTTAAAATAGTGATTTGAACACATGTCTATTTTGAAAATTTGATCTATTCCATTGTCAATAAGTGTGCGAACATTTAAAAAAAATAGAGAAAAGGAATTCACTTACCTATTGATATCTTCATACGAAACTATTCTACTTGGAATTATGTTGGGCAAGATTTTATTTTCATTCATTTATTTGAACACATAAATATTGGTACAAAGTTGAACCGAATACACATGCGCTACACAAGTCATTTGATTTGTGTGTGGGCTGTGATAATGTTCGGGTGTCTAAACTGAAGCAGTTGGTTTTCTTAGGGGGCCACAACAGGAGCCTTCGACCTACGGGTCTGATCCATAAGGCAGTAGAGCAACGTAAGGAGGTGCAGTCCCATGGTAGTCTGTGACCGACGATTGGTTCACACGCCATTCGTTCCTTCAGGATACTGGAGCTCATGTGCACCACTGGTTTGAAATCGTGGCTTTACAACTCCCCCAGGTGTACTCTCCATGTTCACCAACCCGGTTAACGCTCCAGTCATTCGCTTTCTGTCCTCTTAATTACATAAACAACACCCCAACCCCTTTGAGAAGGCAGTGAGTAGGGCAAGATGTCAGGTTCGCTTATTAATCTTATGTCATGATAATGATATGATTTAATTTACTTATTTATGAATAATTGATTAATCTTATCCGAATAATGTATATCATCTTATTTTGTTTTCATTTAGATGTTTTGGAGTGTATGGGGTATGGTGCGTCAACATTTATTACCAGTGAAAAGACCACGTGTAGTCGTTGAAATTGGTGGACATAAATTAGAATCTGAAGTCATCAATGATTTATCTAAAATGCCACTTTTTGAGACCCCATTGAAAGCAATGGATATTGTAAGTTTAAAATATACAGATTTCATTCAAACATTTATGTATTTTTTTGGAAAATATATAGCGAGACTATAATTTATGAACGAACCAATCAGATATAAGATAAAAGGTCTCCGATTTTGGCGCGAAATTCATTCACCCATTTGGCTTAATAGAGTCAAGGCATTATAGCTGATGTCAGTTCATGATGAAACACCCAAAAATCTAATTTGTAACCTCAACCATCAACTGTAAATCCTAATTGTAATTCCTCACCACACAGGTTTCTAATCCTTATTTGGTTCTAGTTATTAGGTGAATACTCTCAAGGTCAGTCTGGCGTCGCTCAAAGATCATCCATAAATTATAGTCTCACCAAAATATTTGTTACATATTATTTTACTTGAGTTTTATTGCCTTTTTTCTTAATCAATCTCTTCTCTTAGTATTTACCCGTTGATGAACGTTATTGGCCACCTTTAGTTTTTACATGTTTTGATAATCGTATACTTGGTACAAAGATCACAATTGGAAGTCATACAATTTCTAATGCACGTGATTATTTAGTGTTTGATAATGATAGTAAGTTATAGTATATAAACTTGTAATTTATGTTAGTAACTGTTCATTGTTACTTGTATTAGTTTTTAATTCCATAGTTCCTTTATTACCTCTAAAATTATCACACAATTTATCTTATCTATCTTTGAACTTTACTCGACTATTACACCACCCATCCTTAATTGTTTCCTTGATTCTAACACCAAATAACCTCTGACCTGTTTTTGCATATATATATATAGTTATTATTGATAACCTTGGTCATTCCAATTCTTTACATCCAATTATGTCAATTGCTTCATACGATTTATTACCTCAATGTTAAATTCTAATACATATCAATAGTTGTAAGCAGCTGACGAGGAACCACGATATACAATGAATTCATATTATTCTGCTTCAATATTTGTTTTGGCTTTATTTAAATTGCACTGGTTGAAATCATGAGTCAGTTGAAGCTAGACCATCATGGAAAACCCGGAAGCACTGGATGGCCGTTTCTTCCTAGTACGGGACTCCTCAACAGTGAGCACCAACGACCTCGCCCCCTGCGAGGTTCGAACCCAGGGCCTACTGGTTTTGCGCGCGAGCACTTAACCACCAGACCACTGAGCCGGCATTCAACGGTGTTAATGTCTAACTTCAACCAATCCACGAAGTTGCACCACCGTACACTATTGTCTTCAATGAGTTGATATGTCACGACCGACCTGGTTAACACCGTCGGATGCCGGCTCAGTGGTCTGGTGGTTAAGTGCTCGCGCGCAAAACCAGTAGGTCCTGGGTTCGAACCTCGCAGGGGGCGAGGTCGTTGGTGCTCACTGTTGAGGAGTCCCGTACTAGGAAGAAACGGCCATCCAGTGCTTCCGGGTTTTCCATGATGGTCTAGCTTCAACTGACTCATGATTTCAACCACTGGAATTTCCAAAAATCTCCACAAAACCCGTTCTGTTTATTTAAATTGCATGAAAAATATATCTATTGAAAGTTAAGTTCGTCACACATAGTATCCGATTTGTTTCTATGCTGTACTTTTAAAAAGAGATTTCAAAGTAACAAAGGAATGTAATCTGTTAGACTGGTTAGATTTTGCAAATTCAATATTTCATAAACAGTGGAATTTACTGTAAATAGAACTTATGATAAGTATTTCATCTATGCTTCAACTTGGAAACCAAATGCCCATTAGTTAGGAACAGGTAGTAAATCCTAAAAAGTGCGATAATATATTCATTAGACAAACCTAGATCTAAGCTCTTTGTAAGTATATATTATAGTCGTAAATGAAAAAGTTGCATCTCGTGTGGATAAAATCATCTTACGTCACATTGTAAACTTGTATTTTATAAATAAGCCATTTGTATTGATTTTGGTAAGTTATCATAAGAAATGGCAAACATGTGTAGCGTGGAGTCGAGTCGCGATTGACTATAAACACCACTACAAGAAGACTACGTGCCAGTTAACCGATAAAATCCCCCGTAAGCCAAATATCAGAAGGCGGTTGATGGCTGTAGTCGAGATGTATTTGTTGGCGATCTCGTGGTATCGAAAGGATACCGAGATCGTGCCAAAGGAGTACAAGCGTGGTTACCGAGCGTAACCGAACCCGTGCAAGGTCACAATCAATGGAAGGATAATGGAGCAGTAATATGGCTGTCTTTAGCACAGTTAAACAAACGAGCACAGTAAAACAATCACTGGTACAATTGGTTGTAATAATGATTGTTTCCATTAAACCCATCGCGTTCTTTTGATAAAAGTAGGTTACTACACATGTATCGATTGCTACGTTAAACGCACATAGCTAATTCTAGCTTCCAGACAAGCCAATTTAGTCATTCTTCTTGACTCACGTTTTGACATTGTTAATCATTTACTTATCAACCTTGACTGTTTTTTAGGTGTGTGTGTGCTTCTTATCCTTTTCATCAAATATATGTAACTTCTTTTATCTGACTATAAATGTCGATTTACGCTTGGTTAAATTGAGTCGGCTTACTTGCCTTCTTCATTGCACCTCATTTCGCTTTGTTTCTTCGATCGTTTGTCTAGATCAACGACTGTACAAAATATACGCATTGAGAAATCCATTCTCGTATTTGACTTATTTAGTTCCGTTATTCACTAACGCCATTTAACCTGATGATTATAGACGAGGTTTGGCGACATGTATATTTCAGTAACAAACATTTTGGTAGCAATCAACATACAATCGAATTGGAGTCAGATTTAGAGCCACTAAAAACAATATTCTACGTTATTTCAACCATTGTTTATTATGAATGTCTATTTTGCCAATCAGTAACAAAATAGATTTTCTTGCCTAATCACACTAATTACTCAACTTATCTTAATATTTCAACTATAATAATGAATAACATTCGACTTTATTAAGAATTCTGATTTTGCCTATTTGAAAACTCCCAGATATTTTGGGTTACGTCAAAAAATTATTCGATAACAATTACGAGAAATCTATTACATTTGTTGTTGCTTACTTAATTACGCCTGTTACCCCTCATCGAGAAGCATAGGCCTCCCACCAGCACTCTACATCCAACTCTGTCCTGAGTAATCCTTTCCAGTTGTATTCAGTTGCTATTTATCCCTTTCAGGTCTGCCTCCGATTCCCGAAGCAGTGTGTTCTTTGCAGATTTGTGGTTAGGGTCATAAATTATAATAAAATATCAGTATAGGGTTATAGAGATTATTATGTTTTTGATTGAGATCATGAACCGGTTGATGTTAGACCACCACTGAAAAACTGGAAGCACTGGATGGCCGTTTCGTTCTATTGTGGGACTCCTTAGCAGTGTGCACCTGCCATCCTGCCCGCGGGATTCGAACTCAGTCCTTTCAGTCCTGCATGCGAACACTTAACCTCTAGATCACTGAGTGGGCATCCAGCGGTGTTAATGTATAACTTCAACCATTGTACTGAGGTAGATACCTGTTTCTACCCGATTCAAATCAAGCTCCATTGATCACAGTTTCTCAAGCACATAATATTATAGATTTAAACAAAAAATCTCGTTCCATTTAAATGATACTTGTTTTAATGTTTAACAATAGAATTATAATAAAACAACTTATGGTTATTTTCTCTTCATTAAACATCGTTTTATAGATCAATCATCCGATAGTGCAAGTACAATATATATGGATAGTGAATCAGATAGTCCAAGGAAATTAAATTTTAATTTTGATAAAACTGATTATTTTAATGAAAATGGACCAAGTCTAGAAATGTTAACAAACCCTTCCATGGCAGCAGCAGCAGCAACAACAACAACAACAATGGGACCAACTTCAATGAAATTAAATGATAATGATTTAGAAAGTAAAAAATCAATGGAAACTGGTTTATCATCAGTAGAATTATTAGCTGATATGAATCCAAATTTTCAAAAATATAATTTACATTATAAACTTCCAGATAATGCTGGGGATTTAGATTTAGTATCTATGGATGGTGATAATTTTGGTCAAATTAATATTGATAAAAAGCCAACAGATGCATTACCTGGAAAGGTATAACATTTTAATTCAAAGCAATAATAATGGTATTAATTCCTCTGTTCCTTCCTTCCTTCCTTCCTTCCTTCCTTCCTTCCTTACCTACTTACCTATCCACTTACTTACCTACTTAGTTACTTACTTACTTACTTACTTACTTACTTACTTACTTACTTACTTACTTACTTACTTACTTACTTACTTACTTACTTACTTACTTACTTACTTACTTACTTACTTACTTACTTACTTACTTACTTACTTACTTACTTACTTACTTACTTACTTACTTACTTACTTACTTACTTACTTACTTACTTACTTACTTACTTACTTACTTACTTACTTACTTACTTACTTACTTACTTACTTACTTACTTACTTACTTACTTACTTACTTACTTACTTACTTACTTACTTACTTACTTACTTACTTACTTACTTACTTACTTACTTACTTACTTACTTACTTACTTACTTACTTACTTACTTACTTACTTACTTACTTACTTACTTACTTACTTACTTACTTACTTACTTAGAGATAGTTAACCTAGAGCTGATATACAAAAAGCCATTATTACTATATGATTATGTATATATCAAATAGGGTTATATTCATTTTTATATTGCTTACCAATAGTTCGTATCAGCGTCTTTCACTTATTAATTTTAATCGATTCATATTCTAGGCTCATCTTGTTACAACACACTCTGGACCGACACCTGAACAATTAGCTACAGCTGACTGGTGGACCCGATTCTATGTTACTATACGAAGTGGTGAAACAAATTTCGATGATTCTCGATATAAGGTGAGTTTCATCTCAGTTTAATCTCTACGGACTATTTTCTGTGACATAATTATCAATATACTACAATGCCTAGTGTTAAAGAATGAAATAATTTTAATAAAACTTGGTGGATAAATTTAAAAGCGGTATGGTAACTACTTATAGCTCTTCTCTAACCACTGCTCAACCATAAAATCGAAGATAAACTTACCTAGTAGTATATACAGTACAATTAGCTCCATGTATTATTACAAACTATGTAAGGAATGATTAACATTGTTCTTATATGCTTACATTGTCTGAATAGTAGGAACAATCAAAGCTAAGTTCTGTGACATTCGTTTCAGTCGATAAATGTAGTTAAAACAAAGATGTCACTTTTTTTGATTAATTGTAATATATAATAATAATAATGATAATGTTAATAATCATAGAAATGAGGCTCATTTGGCTTTTGCTATTATTGATCCATATTTATTGTTGCTAAGGTCACAAGTTACCCAGTTTTGCTAAAGAACTTTAATCTTATTTCTTGTAACGATTAACGCAATAACATTTTTTTCTAATTTATATTTTCTTATTACCTTACTGTCTTTTTTATTTGATTAGTTATTATCACTTCTATCTTGATAATTTACTTGTGCCCCAAAGTCATATTTTGCTACTATATATACAGTGCTATCCTACGTCAATTATAACTTTAATATCGAGATTGTTCTTTACCCCTATCTTCTTCTTGTGTCTCATTAAGGATATAATTACTAAAGCATCATAGTTGCCTGTTCTCGAACTATTAGCTTTGTAATAATTCCTGTTCGTTTTAGAAGAGTCATAATATTTCATAATTAAGAATTACCGTTAGGGTTCAATGGTAATTAGTTCCAGAAACTTAATATAGTTTGCTTGTATGTTCCCATTGTTGTGTAGGACTACAACGGATCAGTCTCTTGTTGGTATATGTGCATCCTGTGCGGAGTGTCACAAGATTTATAAGCAAAGGTGGTTGGTGGATAGTAGTAGAATCCAAAACGCGTCCTATTTGAGACTCGTTAGTTGGATGTGAACATCAACTCTGGAATACAGGTACATCCAGTTGACGAGTCCTAAATAGGACAAAACGTACATCCTGGATTCCACTGCTAGCCATCATCTATCTTTGTTTATGTCATGTCGTATAACTAATAGTAATTATCAGTTTAGGGGCTGTGGAGATTGTTAAGTTTTGATTGAGATCATGAACCGATTGATGTTAGACCACCATTGAAAACCTAGAAACACTAGATGGCCGTTTCGTCCTATTGTGGGACTCTTTAGCAGTGCACATCCATGATTCCACTCGGGAGATATTTATTAATTCATAGAAAATAACCTTTCTATATCCAATGATATCTTAATTCCATGTTAACAATTTCTATCACTTTGATTGATATAAAACATAAATACATGACTTATTCAATGTAATTAGAATTCTTTATTGATTTATTCTAGGGTGAAGTTAATCCATTAACTGAATCAGAAGATAGTGATATTGAAGAGAAACTAGAGAAAGTTGATGTAAAATCAGAGAAAGACTCAGAAGGTTTGTTACCAATTTATGATTATTGTAGAATAGCTTTTTAATTTATTTGACTATCTGAGTGAAAGATAAAAGTTTTACTTTATTATTATTATTATTATGATTTGTATTAAAGTGAAAATATTCTATCGGAAATTAAAAGAATCAAATCAATTATACATATCTCAATAAGAAAACTCTTAGCATACTTACTCACTTACTTACGCCTGTTACTCCCAATGGAGCATAGGCCGCCGACCAGCATTCTCCAACCCACTCTGTCCTGGCCCTTCTTCTCTAATTCCAACCAATTCTTGCTCGTTTTTCTCATGTCTATCTCCAGTTCTCGGCGTAATGTGTTCTTTGGTCGTCCTCTCTTCATTCGGCCTTGAAGATCACATGTGAGGGCTTGGCTTGTGATGAAATTCGGTGCTTTCCTCAATGTGTGTCCTATCCACTTCCAGCCACTCTTCCTAATTTCTTCGTCAGCTGGAATCTGGTTTGTTCTCTCTTACAGTAGGTTGTTGCTAATACTGTCTGACCAACGGATCCCAAGTGTTTTGCGTAGACAACTGTTAATAAACACCTATATCTTCTGGATGATGGCTTTCGTATTTCTCCACGTTTACGCCCTATGCAGTAGAACTGTCTTGACATTTGTATTGAAAATCCTGACCTTGATTTTGGCTGGTCAGGATTTTCAATTGAAATGTCGCTAAAATAACGCTAACCAGAAAAAAATATTATTCTTAGCATAGCATCAGGGTATTTTTTGATCGGTAAACTTTTGTTGGGTGGATCCAGGAAACTTCTTGCAGAAGACAAAAAGGCTCAGGAAACACTAAGAAGTATTTTATTCAATCAGCGTTCACTTGAAGTTTAGCCAAGAAACATCAAGAAAGTGAAAAGTCATATGTAAAGTTTCTGATTGGCAGATCACTATACTGATACTATGTTTAGTAGCATTCCAGAATCTTTGGGAAACCCAAAGATATCTAAAATACTATGAAAACCCTTTATTTTCTGTACTAGAACGAACCTTTGGAGTACAGTGTTTCTCGTTTATTTTGCGCTTTTTCTCTCGTGTTCAGGTCGCTGTTTAATTTTAGCTTAGGGGTTACTAGAATAGTTCAGGAACCGAACATAGCTTTCAATTAGCAAGACTAATCAACTTTTGAAAAGGATTTTTGTCATTTGAATATAGTTTAGGCTAGGCTTTTAAGATATTTTTTTACTGTTCACTACTGAACTGGTTCAAGAAACTTGAAGTTCAGTAACTTATCGAATCGGTAATAGCCATTATTCTCTTAATAGACAGTAAAACAATTCATTGAATATCATACAGAACAGAACAACTGGTTAATATTAATTACAGACGCTTTAGTAGTACCCTATAGTTCTCAATTAACTTTCAATTAAAGTCAATTATGTTTAAAATTAAATAATCGTCTCAAACTTCTCATGTACATTATCTGAAAATTTAGTGTGTGTTTATGTATTCAGCTATAAACCACAGCATTTATTCAAATCAAGTAAGTTTTCATCCATCTAGCTATAATAATGAAAGCATATAGCATATACAAATCACATCGTATCAATAAAATAGGAAACAACATTTTTACAAGAATTAGCCAAATGTGGTTGTGAATGAGGGAGATAGTAATTGATAGACAAAGAAGAACTCAAGAACGGTAAAACGTATAATAATAGTTCACAGGTCAAAATAAAGCTCATAATAAGACGGATATGAATATGAATAGTTTAATTACTTAACAACTATACGATAAAAGTATACTCATAGTATTGGTCCATAAATGAATCCCAAAATTCACCATACACTATTCTTGTGGTGCGTGCTGCTTGTATTTATATAAGTAGTATATGATGCGAGTCAGGAATGTAATGTCTGGCAGCAGAAGATGGGAAAGATCAAGAAAGGAAGAGCGGGAATAGAAAGCAATTAGTATGGAAATGCAAGAACAATGAAGTTCGAGACAATTATTGAACATTTTGCAAATTAAGTATCATAGTATGGTTTTTCTATTTTACCAAGTAACTCTGTAATTTTGTGCTAAATATAATCCGATTGTCCTCACCTGTGTACTCCTTCACTACATTCTTATCGGGATATAATAGTAACCTGTTAATAAATCCTAACAACCGTTTAGTAAATGCTCAATTTGCAAAATGTCCATCACTTGTCTCAAAATGAATCAAACTTTAGTGTTCTTGTATTTTCATACAAATTACATTCTGTTGCCATTTTATTACTGATCGATCCTCTTGTCTTTCTATTGCCAGACATTCTGATCCTGACTAACGTTATATACTACTCATGTCGATATAAGTAGCACACACTCACACCATAGATCCTAATACATGTCAACAGATATTTTTAAAAAAAAAGTATTTCTTATCAATCTAATTCATTTCCTTCTCTTTTCTTTTTCTCTTCTATTAAACATTTCATAGATGAAATTGATATGACAACTGGTACTGGTACAAAATTAAATCATTTAAATTATAAATTAAAAAAGAAATGTTGGCAACGAACTCATAAAGCTGAAAAGAAAAAATTAACCGCTTTAGAAAAACGTCAATTGGAGATTGCAAAACGTAGAGCTAGAATTGAAAAAAGAAAAAAAAACAAAAAAAATTTAAAAGCTAAAATTAAAGCAAGATTTGTAAGGGATAGTTTTTTTTTTTTTTCTGTAAAACAAAACAGTTTTAAATGCCGTTTTTGTTTGTTTGTTTGTTTCTATGTTATATAACTTTATGATCCATGTTGAATAATCGATAATATTTCTTATGATGTCAGGAATGTAAACAGATACTTGATTATATTGTGTCTCAGGTGTAATCAGGCAACAAGGATAGGAAAATAAATGTATGATCATTTTAGTCTGACTATTTGATTAGTTTGATTATAGTGTTAGTAGGACCAATTAGTTATTAACCGAACGACATAGCAACCAATCGATAATAATAATAATAAAGACGTGAGCACATATTACTCTTCGAGATACTTTTAACTCAGTCTCTAGTCCAAAGACAAACATAGAAAGTAGATTAGTTCTCTAATATATTATACTCAATTATAATTCAAGACTCATACAATAATATACTTCAAACGTCTTACCATACAGGAATACTATTTGAGAATTACAGTGTGTGCATAACTTAATCATAATTAATAAAAGCCGGAGTAATAAAAAAATAATTAATGATAAATCTCGTAGAATAAAAACTCGGCCTGGAGCCTCTCTGGGGCTACTGCCGGTTTCAAACCCGGGTGAAGGAGGAGGGTTGACCATGGGGTTAGCGACCCCATCCTGTAGAAAACTAACTCGCTCAAAAAACGCTAACCAGAAAAAATTATTCAAACCAGTTAAACTCTGCACTGGAAGTCAGAAGGTCTTCATTTAGAAGAGTTATGATGCCTCATGATGAAAGACGAGTTCCTTCAGAAGCCACGAGGCTGATGCTTTTTTGACAACCAGAGCAACCGTTTACTTAGATACATGGAATGCTCGTACAATGTAGGAGACCGTGAGAGTCTCTCAAATTGCTGCAGAAATGATGAGATACAACCTGAAGGTGCTTGAGACCAGTGAAACACATTGGATGCAAGTTGAACATCAACGACTATCTTCGAAGGAGCTTCTGTTATACTCTGGCCATGAAGAAGAAAATGCCGCACATACACAAGGAGTTGCATTGATGCTATCAAAACAAGCACAAAATGCACTCGTAGAATAAAACAACGATTTATGGGCCAAATGGATGCTTAGAAGTAGGAGAATATAAAAATACAATATCCTAAGAGTATACTAATAATAATTTATATAACAGTTTCAAAGTTATGCTTCGGCACTATTCATTCCATTATTATCATTTCTGTTCAGTACATTCTTTTCTAATCAATTCCAACATAGTTTTTCTTTTAAAATGGTGTCTATATGATAAAATTGCAAACTATTTTAAATGACTTTTTGACATGCTTCTCAAAGTTGGACAGAACATATACTTTCTTAAGAACATACATTTAGTGTGTCTTAATCTTAAATGGGCTATTATTCATTCCCATGGTCAGGCCTCACATAATTGTGTCAACTTGGTTTCGTTCATTAACTCAAACTTGATTGTTTGGGTTTTAGGCAAGAGTCATTTCTGTCAATTCTTGATCTTGATAGTTGGTCAAGTGTTATGCCATTTTTGTCTTATCCTTAGTACAGATAAAACTGTATCGATCAAGTTTCAGTATGCCCACTAGTCTATGTAATTAGGCTAACTAACTTAAACAGCTTTGTATGTAAATAAATAAGCGTATTCTCTAAAAATTCAAAACTTGTTTACCTACCAAAAATATCCCTAAATTCATCCATTAAGTAATATAGTAAATGACTGTGATATACTTTCCACAATTCATTCCACATTTTTTGTGTAAACACCGTAGTTCAAATGTTCAGATCATCAGAAATTCGTCAGTATAGGGCTAAGGGGCTTGCTGAGCTTCACCGAAATCTTGAACCAATATAAGTTAGACCACCACTGAAAATCTGGAAGCATTGGATGGCCGTTTTGTCCAACTATATGGGACTCCTTCACAGTAAGGATTCATGACTCAACACGTAGGAATCGAATATGTGATCTTCGGTTTCGTACACGAACACTTGGACTCTTAAACACTGAGACGACATGCAACGGAGTTAGCGTCTAACGATATTGTGTGACCATCTTCTTCTTCAGCAAGTATGGAACTCCTCAATAGTGCCCATCAACAATCCTACACTGAAGGATAAGATATTTTAATTAGTAAAAAATAGTTACTTATAAGTAGTTCAATTTTCGTATGCAATTTACAAATTATGTCAGATCTTGATGCTTGGTGTACTTAACTACTTTACACAGTTGGATGTACATGTATTTGAACTAGTTTATTGTTTTCTATTCTTAGATCGATTCGAAAGGATTATTTTTAAAAGAATTTATTGATTTAAACTATGATGTTGAAACTCATGAAGATCAAAGTTGGGTAGAAACAATACTGGTAAGTTTTTTTTTTAATATCGATAAGATTATGATGAAAATGTACTCAAATACGTTCTTTATATTTAAAATAATGAAAAATGCATGTAGTCCAGGATATAGAACTGAAATAAGTTTCTGACTTAACTTTGGACGATTAACAGATTTCGCATCAATGATACATTCATAAGTGACATGAATTGAGAAGAGATTACTTTCTTATGAACTTAGTAGTATGATGAATTAAAACTGTTGCATATCATCATAATACTCATAAAAGACTTAAGCTGACAAAAATCAATACGTTCGTTGCCAAATGTAAAGTGACAGCAGTACTGAAGTCGAAGTGCAATTTATTGAAGTATAAAAATGGAGATTGTGTACGATTGTCTCTATAACACTGTAGTGTGGCGTCTAGTCATGGTTGACTATGATCACCACTACAAGAAGGTTGCATACCAGATATAATAAGGCGATTGGAGGTTGTAGCGAGATATATTTGTTGACGATCTCGTGTTATCGAAAGAATACCGAGATCGTGCCAAAGGGGTACAGGTGTGGTTACTGAGCGTATGTATTTTGGTACAGTTAAACAAACAAGCACGGTAAAACAATCACTGGTACAATTTGTTATAATAATAATTGTTTCCATTAAACCAATCGTGTTCTGTTAGTAAAAGTAGGTCACTACAACACTGTTGTTAATTATGAAACGTAACACTCAATCAAAGATGGATAGTGGCTAGCAGTGGAATGCAGGACGCGCGTTTCATTTTATTTGGGACTCGCCGGCTGGATGTACTTGCGCCTTAGAGTTAATGTTCACTCCCCGGTGCACAAGCAGGTAGCTATCAGGACTCAGTAGCTAAGTGGATAATGCGATGGGGTTTGGAGCTGAACGGTACTGAGTTCGAGTCGCGGGGTGAGCACCAACTCTGTTATGCAGGTACATCCAGCTGACTAGTCCCAAATATGACGAAGTGTGCGTTCTGGATCCCACTGCTAGCCACTACCCATCTTTCACAATTGATTGATCACTGGGTGGTGATCAATGTCATGCTTGTCTAGTCCTTATTAGTGCAGATCGAATGCTATCGATCATGTTGCAATGTGGCCACCAGTCTAGGTGACTCGACACTGCGGGCACTATGTATTGAGATTAGATGGTGGTTGGAGGTAGTCAACAGGAAACCCTGGACCCGGGTTTCGTGCTACTTGGCACTCGTCAGCAAGGTGTACCTGTAATCTAGAGGGAACTGGTGATCCCTGGCGGATTCGATCTCGTGTCACCCAGCTTCACAGTCAGAGACGTTACCACTGAGCTATCCGAGCCGTGACTAACCTCCTGTAGGACTGAGATGTAATCACAATTGATTAATCACTAGGTGGTGATCAATCTCATGCTTGTTTAGTCCTTATTAGTGCAGATCGAATGCTATCGATCATGTTGCAATCTCAGTCCTACAGGAGGTTAGTCACGGCTCGGATAGCTCAGTGGTAACGTCTCTGACTGTGAAGCTGGGTGACACGAGATCGAATCCGCCAGGGAGCACCAGTTCCCTCAAGATTACAGGTACACCTTGCTGACGAGTGCCAAGTAGCATGAAACCCGGGTCCAGGGTTTCCTGTTGACTACCTCCAACCACCATCTAATCTCACTACCCAACTTTGCTTAAAAAGCTTGTTAATTAAGGCTATGTCAAGACAATCCGTACAGGATGTATGTATGCCAACGTGAGACTGATCATTTGCAGTCCTAAATGACAGTGGGAAGATGCAAGTGAAATAACACCAGGTGAACATAACACTCAATGTCTTTAGGACTAGATAATGGTTATTATACTGATAACATCTCGAATAGCCGCATTTCAGAAAACACTTTAAACAAATATATATTTCCAGACACCATAGTTTATCGGAATAGGCAATGAATGAGAAAGCGTGACAAACCCGAGCTATCTTATTAGACGGAAATTTCTAGTTTCATCAGTGGATTTATCATTCTTGCTTAGTATTTCATGTCTAACTTCAACATTACTCATCGAACCAGTGTTTTGAAGAGATTTATAACCTTACAATAGCACCATATCCAAACATCTTACCGGTTTGATAGATGCTATAAACTTTCAGTATTATTGACCAGGATTTGATAATTTTTCTGGCGTTACACTCATTGGACTGAATGGATTACCTACGAACCTTTCGTTATGATTCTCGATAAATTCTTTAGAAATGTGGTTTACTAAACCACTTTACAATCTACATGTTGTATTCACCACACATCGGTCTCAGATGGGGTACTACCGGAAACCATGTAATGCTGGACAGCTGTTTCGTCCTGGTATGGAACACCTTTACATAGAACACCCGCTATCCCTTCAGAGGTCAAACGCAATAGGCAGTTATCATAAAATCATCTAGCTAACAAGACCTGACCAACCGAAAAGTATTCACTTGCTTCAAAATTAAATTCCTATTCCGTTTTCAAACAAAAATTAATATTCTGATAATTAAATGAAAGATGGAAATTTTTTCATTCTCTTATTTTTTACTTTAAAAATAAGGTGTATCCAGTGGCACTTGAAGAAGTTCCAGATTTCAACGGTTTTAATTCACCTTTTCTAAATCTTCCGTTTTACAAAGGAAAACAATTGGAAGATCATGCATCTGAAAGTCGTATTACAGGATTTTTCAAGGTAACATTTTTAGTGCGAGTAAACTATAAGTCAGGATTACTTAATTACTTATTTACTTTCTTACGTCTGTTACCCTTCATGGAGGAGTATTGACCAAATACCAGCATTCTCCATCGGAACCTGTTCTCGACAATCATTTCCAGTTGCTACTGATCCTATTCGTGTCTGTTTTCGATTCCCAAGCAGTGTGTTCTTTGGCGTTCCTCGTTTCCGTTTCCCTTTATGATTCCAAGTTAGCGCTTGCTTCGTGATCCAGTTTGGTAATTTCTTCAATGTGTGTCCCATCTTGCAAAGATAATTGTTTAGATATACTTGTACTTCTTTGATGATGAATGTGGTAGTTTTCCAAGTTTCAGCCCCATACAGTAGGATTGTCATGACGTTCGTATTGAAGATTCTGAACCCGATATTGGTTGATAGACAATTGTTTTGAGTCCCATATGTTTTTCAACTGCAGGAATGCTGTCCTTGCAATGGTAATCCTTGATTTTATGTCTGTATCAGATCCTCTTCGTTCATCGATGATTCTGCTGTCCAGGTACATGAAAGTTTGGTGTTCTGTGTTGAGTTTGATGATGTTGCTTTTTCCTTTGTGTGTGTTGGGGCCTACTTCTGTAAAGGCTGTTGCTGCTACACTGTTTATCTTGACCTGCATTTGTTAGAGTATGTATGTTGAATAGAAGAGCTAGGTGATCTGCGAAGTCCAAATAGTCTAGTTGCATACAACCTTTCAATTGTATTCCGTGCTTCCCGTCAAATATAGAGGTCTTCCTAATCCAATCAACCATCCTAAGAATGAGAAAGAGGGAGAGCAGGTAGCCTTGTTGTGAGTCCGGTTCTCACTTAGAATTGAATTTCATAACCCGTTTTCATCAATTTATGGTTTACATGCTATAAAGCAAGTAAGTTTTAGTGGATAACAAACTGTCGATCTGTCATTCCTCAGAATTGTGAGTAGAATAAGTGTTTTAATTTGAAAAAGCTTGTTTGTATATTTATAACATTTTGGGAAATTAAAATTATTTAAGGCTTACATAGTCTGTCCAATAAATAAACAAATCCAATTACTAAGAATGTTACATATGTAAATGACTAAATTGACCATTACCTATACTAATTATATCAACTTATTCAGCAACACTTGAAGCCCTTCAAGACCTTTAAAGATCCTAAGTAGGTGACCTTAAGGTGATTTTCTTTCATGGTGTTGTTAAGACCGATGAAAATATGGAGCATATATTCACTGGTTCGTACTAAAACGTTCTAAAAGTTCACATACTGTTGGGTAATCAAACCATAGTTAATAACATTGATAAACGGAAGATATATTACTTAAAGAGTTTATGTTATATTCAACAAAATATTACTGTGAGGATAGTCCACGGGCGAACTCGAGTAAGCTCTAAGAAGCTCAGAAAGAGCCGAAGACATTCCGTCTAATCGTCTTTTGGAAGAATACCTCAGAATCCCTGCGTGTAGCTTCCCTATTAGACGAATGCTAATAACCCCTTGTGTGTGAATTGGATAACTATAATGCTGGTTTCGTTTTTACTAAAAACTATAAATACCTAACAGCTTTGTACTATAATTGACATTGTCTGGAATAACATTCCTTTCACTTGTCTTCTATCTCCTAATTTGTGACTTGCGAGGGTTCTAGCATTTGAGTTCTCAAGTTATACTTGGCACATCAAGAAATTTAGAGTAGTAATTCTCGGATTTCTCGTGAGAAGTCTTGACCAGTGTAGTTCACTAGTGTCCAGTTTAAGTTAGTCACTAACCAATATTATCGGATAATGACTGAACACTAACACAAATTAACTGACGTTCAAAATGTAAAAAACCATCTGATTCGAAATCATTGCTCTAACCATCAAACACTCATTGCAAGACTTGAGTTGCCAAGGTTTACTTTTGAGAGTGATCGTGGATGTTTACTTCTGAGGTGTCTCATACTAGGACCAAATAGTTATCCAATACTTTCACATTCTCAATCACTATTTAGTCATGGCCTGTTTGTGATGTAGACTAACTATCAGAACTAGTAAAACTGTATAAACAATAATTCTACTTATATAAATTGATAAATGAAGTTGTACAGGGTTAAGTTCAAGATATTTCATTGATCATTGTTTATGTATTGTATGGATTTCTTATTCGTAATGTTTACATTTATTTGATTTCTAATGTTTAGGGTAATTTAGTCATATATCCGGTGAATGATGATGAACCTTTACCAACTGAAATGTCACAATTAAAGTTATATAAGACATTGCCAATTAAAGCAAAGTTCAAATTAACTGTACGATTATATGTTATAAGAGTAAGTGTGAAAAATCATTGAAACATATCATTTTAAATTCTTAACATCATCATAGTATTATAATATATACAGTAATATTGTGTGTATGCTACTTATATCTGTCGATATAAGTAGTATGTAACACTAGTCAGAAGTGGAACGCTTGTCAACAGAATGTTAAGGAGATCGAATTGAAGAGAATGGGAACAAACAGTAATTGTAATGCCAACGATGAAGATTGAGACAATTGATGGAGGATTTGCAAATGAAGTATTCAGTGTATGATTTCCACAATCCGTTGATTACAATATATCTTAACCTTTTTAAAAGAAGTTTCAATTTCATTAAAACAAAAATATGAGGAGTCCCATACTAGGACGAAACGGCCTTCCAGTGCTTCCAGGTTTCTCATGGTAATCGAGCTTCAATTGACTCATGATTTCAACTATTGAGAACTATGTAGATTGAATGAAAAAAAATTTTGTAAAAATAAATTCCTATCCAGTTTTACAGTGTTGTAAACACAAACTAATATTCCATAAAGGAATTCAAGTTTAAGGTGGATAAATCATTTAAAATCACAACATATAAATACAGGATTCTAAGCAAAGATGGATAAGGGCTAGCAGTGGAATCCAGGACACGCGTCCCATCCTATTTGGGACTTGCTAGCTGTACGAACCTGTATCTTAGAGTTGATGTTCACTCTGGGACTCGAACTCAGCACCGTTCACTCCAAACGTTATCGCGTTATCCACTTATTTACTTGGCTACAGGACTGTTAGCACAAGTGAATAAAATTATCAATTATGACTTGTTTAGTATGAAATAGTAAATGGAATAAATTATGAGAGATATCATCAAACTAAATATAGAGATACCATAGGTTAAGAGACAGACATGAGAAAAATGAACAAAAATTGGATAGAATTGGAAAGGAAAGCCCAGGACGGAGTGGGTTAGAGAATGCTGGTCGGTGGCCTATGCTCCATTGTGGGTAACAGGCATAAGTAAGTAAGTAAGCATAGGTTAAGAGAAATAATAATGGAATCATACATCATATCAGATATTGGCGGCCTCCTTGAATATCTGGGCTATACCTGTTTCTGTCATCTAGATATGTGAATAAGTTATGTTTCGTTTGTTTGTTTTAACACATCATTATGTTTATTAATCGCATAACCTATTCAAGGCGCGTTTGGGAATAGTTTATGACCTTCTTTTGTACAAGTTACTAAAGAGGTACAATCAGGGACATCGTGATTACTGGCAATATGCATTGAAAGAATGAACATTATTCAGATGTCATTTCCTGAACTGCTAACATCTAGCTGGTGGTCATTCTATGTTTATCGTCAGGATAGATGAAAAATTAAGGAAAGGAAACTTGTCGAAATACTTTGCGCTGAGAATTCTATATTGTACCAAAAGTATAATTTTGAATAAAGCCACTAATAATAATAATAATAATAATAATAATAATAATAATAATAATAATAATAATAATAATAATAATAATAATGAACAGATAGGTGAATAATAATGACCATAATACGTGAATAAAAAGGAACAAATTTATGAAAATATGAAGAAGAAGGAAGTTGCATGTATATTAATCAAATCAGGTTTTCTTATAAATAAAATGACTATTTTAATAGTTGAATTCATATGTCATTTGAAGCTAGACCACGACAGAAAACCCGGGATCATTGGATGGCCGTTCTATCCTGGTACGAGACTCCTCTCACCCCGCGAGATCCAAACCCAGGACCTATCATTCTCTCGCGCGAGCACTTAAACACTAGATCACTGAGCTGCCATTCAACGGTGTTATTGTCTAACTCCAACTAACCCACGAAATTGAGTGACACATCCACCATTATCACCAGTGAGTTATTATTTCACAAGAGACCCAGATGAACTCCACTGGACACTGTTTCTCACTATAACTCCAGGAAATACCTCTTGAAGACCGTGACTAGTGAGCATATGATAACTATTGGTATATTAAATGTAAAGCTGATCACGGTATTAGAAGCAACTATACAAATTTCTTTTGAAAAGAAAACTCCACTTCTCTAAAATCCGAATACTTATTACTACTGCAATTATTTATTATTAACGTGGATTATCTACTTCAATTTCTTTTTTGATAATATATTATTTGAGCAATTTATATATTTCAGCGCAATAATAGGTATATATATTTTATCCCGAAATAGTGGATGAAATCCTGTTGATAGTTAGGGATATCACTACTTGATCTATTACAGTCATGATTGATCTGCTGTAGGATAAATGATCCATTGGTGTCAGTAATAACATCTCTAACTGTCACTGAGTGATGTGGATTCAATTCCTTCTATATGCATCATTTTCTTCTCTCGTTTACTAAATATAACTAGTTCATTTATCTTTCAAATAGGATTAAATTTATTAATATTGTCATCATTTCAACGCTAATATCCTTTGTTTGATAACAACCAACCTTCATAGTCTAGAATGTACTTTTGATTCCCAATATCAACTAAAATGTTATATCCTCAGCATTGATCTTCGTAAAAGTTTGTCTAGCCAACAACTATCCACTCTTACTTTCCACACTAGCTACAATTACATAAAATATACTTATCTAGAAGATATATGGTTGTTTGGACTGTAGCTTCATCATACAATATCAATGCTCATCACTAATATAATTCAATAACCTAAATATCAAATAGTAGTTAAATTTAAGCTAATCGTAAGATTTCCAACTTGAATATAACACTATTTGATTATATACGTATATATTCTCTCTTGTTTAAAAGAATTAATTATACTAATTTCAGTGGTTGAGATCATGAGTCAATTGAAGTTAAACCACTATAGAAAACCTGAAGGCACTGGACAGTCATTTCTTCCTATTGTGGGACTCCTCAGCAGTGTGCATCCACGATTACGCCTCGCCAGATTCGAACCCAGAACCTAACGGTCTAGCGCACGAGCACTTAACCTCTAGATCATTGATTATACATTTAAATATTTCTATTTAAATCCTATTGTTTTCAAAGAAATTTTTCTAAAAAATTTATTTTAATAAGGCAATCAAATTACATCCAACCGATCCAAATGGCAAATCTGATCCATATTTGATTGTATCATTGGGTAAATGTGTTATTAATGATCGTGATGATTATAAACCGAAAACATTGAATCCGGTATTTGGAAAATATTATGAATTTGTAGCACATTTACCAATGGATTCTTTACTTAGTATACAGGTGAATTGATGTGAATTATTCATTATTATTATTGTTATTTACATTTGTGTTCTATGGTTATTGTTTATAAGTCTTGCTACTGATATACATAAACTGTGGCTCTAGCCAACTTCGATCATTCCAACTACTTCTACACTCTAGCTGGAACATTAGAAAAGGGGCATGAATTTCAAGTAAAAGCTTTACTTCAAGGTTAGTTGATGTATAGAAGAACGAGGGTATTTATAAAGTTACACACGATCTTAAGCTTCTGATAATTTCTAGGACCATACTTGATATGGTAGTATAAAGGGTAAATAACCAATCGAAATCGTGGCATGTGATCCTGTATTTCCTAGAGATTTCTGAGAAGATTCTATTCAACATTGATTGAATAAACCATTCCCTGGCGTTTTTCTTCCTCTAAAGATTTGAACAAAAGGATATTTTGGGACACCCCCAACAACCACGATTATTGATTATAATACTCTGTATAACAAGTTTAGATTGTTAAGTTGCTATGAAGCATTTATTGTTTCCTGTTTTAGTGAAAATGCCCTCTGTGAGCTAGGTAGTTTAATCTTAGAGCTTCCATTGTCTTTCTAGACAGCATTATCAACTCAAAAGTTTGCTCCAAATGATCAGCATCTTATTCGCTTGAGATATGTTTCCTTTTTTTAGGATATACTTTAATAAGAGATCATTTTAAAATAAGATCCACCTTTCTTTCTACTTCAATTCATTCAATCTATAATTCATGTTGATGAGAAATGAAGTAGTTTACTACTGATCGAATAATAAAATCGAAACTTATGACAAATGTTTTCTTTTTGTTCTTGACTAAGATGATGGATCATGAAAGAGTTGGAGCAGATACATTGATTGGAGAAACACATATTGATATTGAAAATCGTTTCCATAGTGCTCATCGTGCTACTTGTGGATTAATGCCTAAATATTATGCGTAAGTTCTCTTTCTTTTATAAATATTAGTTTTCATTTATGCTGTGATATAAACTTATTATTAGTTTAACAATGATTTATTATCAGAAAGGAGGTTTTATGGAGAGTGTAGTAATTTAATATTTGAATTTATGAGTCGATTAAAGCTAGACCGCCATGGAAGTACTGTAAGGTCGTTTCGTCCTTAGTATGGGACTCTTCAACGAGACCAAGGGTCCTGGGTACGAATTCCGCGAGTAGGATCGTGAATGTTTACTGATGAAGTGTTCTATAGTAGGACGAAACGGCTGTCCGGTACTTCCACGTTTTCCATGATGGTCTGGCTTTAATCGACTCATGAATTCAGGTATTAAATAATTAATTAATCTTTAACTTTCTACAATTAATTAAAATAACCCATTTTGTCATTGAGTAAAAATGGATAGAATTCAGCAAAGAAAACTCTCATTTTGATGAAATCATTTAGTTAAGCTGTACATTAGTATTTATTGTTGTAGGGTTAATATATGAGTCTATAAAAGGATAGAAAAGATTGCATCATAAGTTAGTTCGAGACTCCATTATCAAGTGAGGTTACGTAATGATCAAGGGGTTAGAGAAGAATGGAAGGATGAAAATAATTTACGGGTCAGAATTATGTAAGATAATTGTCCACTTGACAGATTTGGAGAAAAATGCAGAACATAAAGTCATAATAATAATTAAATTTTGTTTAAGGTTACAAAACAATAATTTAAAATAAAGCAAGACCAAGGCATATTACAGAAGAGAATTAGGGCCAAGGAAGTATGAGAGGTTGCAAAGAATTCGGGCTTGAATTGGTGGATCGCCAACGCCTCAGCAGTGCATAAGTTTTTGATTCGACCTTCATTCTATCTAGTTCCTTTGATTGCGTAGATTATTTTGAAGGAAGACTCCTTTGGAATGATGTATTCAGAGTTGATTAGATGCTCTTGTACTGAACTGCTAACTGTTTTGTATTCTCCTTTAAAAAGCCATGCGAGGCAGTGTTTGAAGATGCGTTTAGGTGATGAATAAATAGCTGATATCACTACTTCTCAAACAAAATTATAGATCAAAAGCGGATAACACGAAATAGTAATCTGTTACTGAACTCCATACATTTATTAACTACAATAACTGTAACAATAAAAACATTGATAAGAACAATAATAGTAACAACAATCGCTCCATTCAGTATTTTATCTCTAGTACAATGTGGAATTCTCAGCATAATTACATTATAACATGCACATAGTGAAGATTTATTTCTAAATGGGAGTTGGGAAAACACAACAATGGTCGCCATTTAGTGATTTCTGGTTAGCGTTTTTTAGAGAGTTAGTTTTCTACGGGATGGGGTTGTTAACCCCAAGACCAACCTTCCTCTTTCATCCGAGTTTAGGACCGGTAGTAGCCTCCGGAGGGGCTCCAGGCGGAGTTCATTTAGTGATTAGTCAAATGTAAATATTTTATTTTAACGGAAGGCTAATTACTTCCGGAATAGCTGGGTGATGAAATTTCAGATTGAAAAGTTGGGTAATATGAGTTCGAATCTCACGTGTACTTACTGGCGAATATCGACTAGCACGAAACCCACTTCCAGGATTTCCTACAGACTACCTCCAAACACTGAACATCATTCACATCAAATACGCTGTCTAATATGTATAAATACTCTCACCCAATTCATACTTATGAGACTCAAGATTCCTAGAAAATACAGTATTATTATGAAAATAAAATGCCAAGAATTTACCGATTTCGACCGCTAGTGTTTCTCACTGACATTAACGCTTCAAAAAACACAATGAAGACGTAGGTACGTAATTCACTTGATTATTAAAGAGTAACACATCAAGTTAGACTGATGTTATATGGTTGTGTTAAGTTGTCGGGGTTACATTTTGAAATTATAAATATCAGTGATGACAGACAACGCCTCCACGTGAACCACACATTGAAAAACCAATAGACGCAAACCACAGACTTCCTCTATCTTTAGATCATTTACTGTTTCCGACAACTTCGGACGAAACTACTGATCTTTTTCAGTCGTTAATACATCAGACCTAGTCTATTAGTGAGGTTTAAATCGAAAATCAGTGTTTCTCAATAAACTCTTCAATTTTTTTGTGATACCTTACTTTATACTATTCCTTGAAAATTTCAGTCATGGCTATTGTCAGTGGAAAGACAGTCAACAACCGACGGAAATATTAGCTAAGCTATGTGAAAAATATGGTATTGAGCAGCCTGTTTATAATATATTGGAGAATAAAATCACCATAGGCAATGAGTCGTTTTTTGCTAATACAGAAATCCGAAATGAAACTGGTAGGTTGGAAATTATTTTAGCTTTAAATTTTATGTTACTAACAAGTAGTGTTAAGTTAATCGTAACTACTTAGAAATGAATAATCCGTGTTCAATGATTAAAATGGCGAAAATAATTGAGAAAACGGTTATGGTCTACAAGTGTGTTTTTAAACTAGTTACTGATAAACCCATAATTACAATAAAATCATTTAGTAAAGTGAATATTGGCAATAACATGGTTCCCATCCTATCCCATTACAAAATACAGTCTATCAACCAACTAATGAATGACATAGTGCAATTACCTCAACGAGAAATTAGAAACGTTTACTTAAGTAACTTCAAATTTTCATTCGAAATCTTTACATGAATGCTGACGGTTGACTAGTGTTGGCCTTGAGGCTTAGAAAAATCTGAGTAGTGGTCAATGTTATTTCACTGACCTAACAGTAAACATTGAAATTGGTGGAAATAATTATGAGAAAAGAAAACAGAGACAGAGACCACAAAACAATAACAGCGATTATTACTATGATAAGTTTATCGTTATACATGTACCAGGTTGTGTTGTATGTTCGACTGTTTTTAGTTCATCGGGAACGGTGTCAGCGTTAAATATCTCCTGGAAAGGAAATTGAATGACGAGGCTCAGGAATAATGATGACTAAACACTTAACATTCCTATAATTTCATTGGTGGAATGAGATATATTAAAAGGCGTACAGACGTTTAAGATAGTTTTAGATCCTACGTAGTATACTTCTGTTTGTCAATATATATATTACGTTGATCATTGTAAAATAACATTAATAGGGTTTTAATTGTTTAGTCTATGACGACCCCTTTTTACGTAAAAATTCCTCGTGGATTCTCGTTAACACCTGGAACCTCGCATATAACTCATCCACGTTATTTATGAATTACGGCCATAACTACATACTAAGTGTGTTAATTTCTGACTCCATTCATGTGATGTTTAAATACTAAAAAACTCATGATGTAAATGAATACTAAGGGGGAGAAAGCCATTTTATTGTTTAGTACTTTGGTTAAATGTGAAAACCCTACATTAAATATTTTATTCGCACATCTTCCATCAATTGTGTTTTACATCTTTCATAATTCTTCCAATTTCCACTTTCTTCATGTTTTCCTTACTGTTTTCTTCAGTTCAATCTCCTCAACCTTCTTTTGACAGGCATTTCATATATGGTTAGTGTTACATACTGCTTATGTATGTCGATATAAGTAGTACATACCACAATGATAATGACTAGAGAAATTTTTAAACTGCAAATACTTTTAATTAACTGATGAGAAAATGGAAACACTAAGTTATATATTCACACTAATTACAATACACAAACCGAGCTTTATAAAAAATTGTCAATTTTTATCAAAATTTGACGGACAGTTATCAAAATTCATCATAATTTATGGGTCTTTTCAAAATGCTCAAAGAAGACAGTTAATACACTGACTATTGGAATTTACTGAAACTTATTAAGCAAAAATGGATATTAGCTAGCAGTGGAATCCATGACTTGCATTTCATTCTATTTTGGACTAGTCAACTGGATGTACCTGCATACCACAGTTGATATTCACCCCGCGGCTCGAACCCAGTACCACTCGCTTCAAATGCCATCACGTTATCCACATAGCTACAGAGTTCTGATACCCACATGCCAAAAAGAGACTGATCAATTGCAATCTTAAATAACATTGGGAAGGTACAAGTAAAACAACACCAAGTCAACTTTTTACAGAAAAACGTTTAGTCAGATCAAAAATGAATACTTACTTACGCCTGTTACTCCCAATGGAGCATAGGCCGCTGACCAGCATTCTACAACCCACTCTGTTCTACGCCTTCCTTTCTAGTTTTATCCAATTGTTGTACATTCTTCTCATGCCTGTCTCCATTTCTCGGCGTAATGTGTTTTTTGATCTTCCTCTTTTCCTTTGGCCTTGAGGATTCCATGTGAGGGCTTGTCTTGTGACGCAGTTCGGTGCTTTCCTCAATGTGTGTCCTACCCACTTCCAGCCACTCTTCCTGATTTCTTCATCCACTGGGACCTGGTTTGTTATCTCCCACAGTACGTTGTTGCTAATAGTGTCCGGCCAATGGATCCGAAGTATTTTGCGTAGACAATTGTTAATAAACACCTGTATTTTCTGGTTGATGGCTTTCGTAGTTCTCCAGGTTTCCGCCACATACAGTAGAACTGTTTTGACGTTTGTATTGAAAATTCTGACTTTGGTGTTGGTTGACAGTTGTTTTGAGTTCCAGATGTTATTCATTTGTAAATTTACTGCTCTTGCTTTACCGATCCGCGCTTTCACATCTGCATCAGACCCACCATGTTCATCAATGATGTTGCCCAAATATGTAGAGGTTTTTACATCTTCCAAATCTTCTCCATCAATTGTCACTGGATTGGTGCATGCTGTATAATATCGGAGAATCTTACGTTTCCCTTTGTTTATATTGAGACCTACTGCTGCTGAGGCTGCTGCTACACTGGTCGTTTTCTCCTGCATTTGTTGTTGAATAACTAGACAGAAATTTTGTCAAGTTTCATGTATGGATTAATCTCTTTTTCTTAATGCAGTTGAAGAACACTTAAATTATATCTGTCTATTTAACTTTATTTATAAAAGAATCCAACTACTGCGTATCATTTAGACTAACGATTTATTTTTTTCATTTTACTAAAAACATTACGTAATTTAATAGTTTGCAACTGTAGTGTACTCTATACTACTTATCACCTTTGATAATTCTCTAACTATTAAGTCTATTTTCTTGAATTTTATAGGTATAACAGTTAAATCAGTAGAACCATTGGCCTTAGAAGCATTACATAATTGGTCATTGATTACAAACAAAGATGTGAAATTAGTTAGTGAACATGTGGAAACACGTTCTTTAAAACATCCCGATAATCCAGGTTTAATTCAAGGTCGACTACAAATGTGGATTGATATGTTTGAAAGAGAAGTTGCTGTTCCACCACCGGCTATAAATATTTCACCACGTGTACCAGCTGGATATGAATTACGTGTTATTGTGTGGAATACAGCTGATGTAAATTATTTTATATTAGTTAATCAAACTAAGATAATCTTTATTAATATCGTTTTAAATAGTTACACTGATGTTTAATGACAACATGGCCTATGACTATAGTAGCATGTTTCGTAATGAAATGATTTAGAGTATGGCACATTTATTGGTAATAAACACTCTGACATCATGTCCAGTATCGAAAAGTTATGATAGATAGAGACTATGGATGAGATGAATTGATTATTTCATTGTTTTTTTCTCATATATGTGGACGTAAACAAAACAGACATAAATGAACATAAACAAAGTTTCATGGTGGTGAAGAAGATTTGTAGCTCAGGTGGGTGATTTTGATGGAGTTTTGTTCTCTGAGCTGGATGGTTTGTTCGTGGAGCTTTCATCATTATTCTAATTGATTAACTAATCAGGATCGAGGTCTACAGGACAAGGTGTGAGCCATATGTGGAGAAATTCGAACATTTCACTTCTACCTGAAGTTTGTGCTGATGATGTCGTTCAGAAGCTCGACGACCAAACCATCCAGCTCAGAGAATAAAACTCCATCAAAAAGTTTCATAGTTTACTTCACAAAATGACCTTAGACAGCCATTAGAAACCGTTCCGTTCTAATATTAGACACCTCCGTGGTAACCATTCATTCATGGAGTCGCCGGGTCTCCAGGTCTGACCGTGAGCACTTACCCACCAAATTATTGAGCCTGCACTCAATAGTTCACAGGTGTAAATTCAAGCAGCTTGAGATATTTCAAAACTAAATCCCAATACCTTAAGTGGGTAAATGAGTGATGCCTGATAAACTTTAATCACATAATTATTATTAGTGCCATATGTTTATCGAGACAGGTGAGTTTCGTAGTTTGCAACGTTTGCCACGAATGACCGCTATTTTAATTTTCAGATTTTGAACTACTTGTTATGTTGTAACATCGACTCAAATTTCAATTCGATTTGAGATGGATTGTATTATCTCGTTGTTGATATTTGAACTGGAAGTAGATGAGTCTTGTACAGATTGCCTGAATATAGTCATTTTTAACTGCAGGTACATCCAGCTGAAAAGTCTCAAATAGGATGAAACGCATATTCTAGTTCCCACTGCTAACCACATTTCATGTATTATGCCTGTTGAAATTGTTTTGCTACAATTACTATTGTTATATTTGTCATGTTAATATCGATTTGTACCTTCCACTTTTTGTGGTATAATAATTACTGTACGGTTTGCAACAATTACTGTACTTCATCGTTTGTATTATAGACTGATTTGGTTGTTTGAGGCTAGACATTAATACTATTGGATGCCGGCTCAGTGGTCCAGTAGGTTAAGCATTCGCGCGCGAGACTGAAGGCCCTGGGTTCGAAGGCCGCGAGCGGAATCGTGGATGCGCACTGCTGAGGAGTCCCATAGTAGGACGAAACGGTCGTCCAGGGCTTTCAGGTTTTCAATGGTGGTCTACCACCCATCGGTTCATGATTTCAATCAAAGACTGATTTTAGTAAGATAATCACTAAAAACGAAGAAACACACTGAATAGCCATTTCATCCTAGTATGGAACTCATCAACAATACTTACTGATGACCGCATCTGAGATCGGACTCGGGACTTTAAGGTCTCTTTTCTAGCGCCTCATATTTAAATCACTGAATCAACATGATTAGTTATACAACGTCTCATTATTATCATAAATTAATAAATTGACTTTATTGCTTTATATTGCTGTCATATTATGCATAGAGATACTTCTAAATGTAAGCCTGATGAAAATTCAATTCAAAACAATATTTCTCATTTGTGTGTTCATCTCATATTCACTAAGTTAAGAATGGAATTTTTCCTCAAATTTTATTGCATCTTTGCTTTGGTTTTTTTCTTCAAAACTTCCAGGTAAAACTCACTGACACTTCATTATTCTCTTCTGAAAGAAGTTCTGATATTTATGTTAAAGGATGGGTAAAAGGTGTTGGAATTGATGATCAAAAAACTGATGTTCATTATAGGTTAGTGAAATATTTATAGATAGTTGAGTATTCTTATGTTGCCTGTATCACTACTTGGTACTTGGGGTTTTTACATTCTCGATATGTTAAGAGATTTCAATTCTCTAAACAGTCAAACTCAGAAAAATAGCAGAAGTGCAATGTTATTGATTATAAATTCTTTTATGATTTCATTTCATAACTCAGTGAGACTAGAATTTATAGACGACTTTTGAGCGACACTGAAATAATCTTGAGAGTGGACATTAACTGATTAAGACTAAATGAGAGTTAAAAATTAAATTTAGGATTTACACCACGAACTGACATCGACTATAATGCCAAAACTCTATTTAGCTAAATGTATAGATGAATTTCGCGCGAAAATTCATGACTCGTTATCTTATATCTGATTGGTTCGTTCATAAATTATAATCTCGCCCATAACTCGATCTGTACAAGTAAAATATGAACTAAGATCATTATATCTAACATTTCAGCATAAATGTTTGTGACAATCTTTGATTGAAAAGTATGTTAGACATTTATAGTTGATTGTCAGTATCTGGAAAAAATAACCAAAGATAGTGAACTTAAAGAAAGCTTCGAATTTAGAGTACACAATGCTACCATGGAAGAACTGTTTGATAAGTGCCCTATTGATGAAAATGTAAGGTTATGACCTTCTGTGTTCGATTGAGCTACACTATTCACTCACCTCCTATACTCTTGCTCAACTAGTAACTCAAGAGAAAGGACTCATAATTGATTAGAATGAAAAACTGAACGAATAATGTACAGGAATCACAGCTATTCACTCATTTATTCACTTGTAACTGTTTAACGTATACATGGTCTGTGATCATGACTAAATGTATAATCGATTTTCTCAAATGATCTACCACCTTGTTTGTGATATCTCACCTACCATTTGACCTTGAGGCCGGATATGAGGTGTTTGGTTTTACACATACATATAATATGTTTAGAATCTTTCAGCCTATCGTACAAAACTTGATTGACGAAATGGTAACAGGGACAGTTTGTATATTTTACAGTTACTTTACTTTATGATTTGATTGGAAATAATATTGTTATATGTTGTGAGACAGTTGGACTTTAGACTTAAATATATAAACAAATTTAGATTCTTGTGAGAAATAATGCTCCCCGTAAGTCAGTAACCGACCTTAGAATATTAAACATTGAATTAAATATTCAACCAAGACATATCATTTAATTGGTTAAGATTATGAATCAGTTGAAGCTGAACCACCATGGAAAACCTGAAGGAACTGGACAGCCGTCTCGTCCTATTGTGGGACTCCTCAGCAGTACGACCTCGCCCCCTGCAGGGTTCGGACCCAGGACCTACTGGCTTCGCGTGCAAACACTTAACCACTGGACCATTCAGCCGGCATCCAACGATGTTAATGTCTAACTTCAACTAATCCACGAAGTTCAGCGACACATCCACCATAGTCATCAGTGAGTTACTATCTCACAACTGACCCAGTTGAACTCCACTGGTCACTCCTCCTCACTAGAGCTCCAGGACACGCATCTTGAAGCCAGTCACTAGTGAGCATATGTTGATTAGTATCAGAAGAGGGTGTTTTATGGAGATTGTAGTAATTTCAATAGTTGAGATCATGAATCAGTTGAAGCTAAACCACCATGGAAAACCTTGGAGCACTGGACGGCCGTTTCGTCCCATTGCGGGACTCCTTAACAATGCGCATCCACAACCTCGACCCCTGCGAGATTCGAACCCAGGACCTACTGATTTCGCGCGCGAGCAATTAACATATCATTTAGATTAGAGTACTCTATTATCAACACTAAGGACTAGACATGATACTTGTTACTACTACGTAACCTAATATTATTATGTGTTATTCTTAGCTTATTTAATTCAAATTATTATTATGAACTAAAATTAGTTATATGACTATTGACCAGTGAGAAATGGTGTAAGACTATTTCATTCCCGTTTTAAACCTTTTTGGCCAGACTATAATTTATGGACAGTCCAATCAGGTATAAGGTAACAGGTCTTGGATTTTGGTGTGAAATTCATTCATTCAATTGACTAAATAGCGTCTTGACATTTCAGCTGATGTCAGTTCGTGATAAAAACCCGAAATCTAATTTTATTAACCCTAATTATCAACTGTAAATTATAATTCTAATCCATCGCACTTGTTTATAACCCTTACTTAATTCTCGTTACTGGGTGAACATTCTCAAGGTCAAAGATAGTCCATAAACTATAGTCTAACCGCTTTTTGGGTAAATAAAAAGATTTAAAAACGTAACTAGCATTATTATTATTGTTATTAGTGATGACGATGATGATACTGTTGAGTAATTATCATTATATAAATGTCAATTGAAGAAAAAAATAAACAGTACGATTTTCAAAGTCGAATTCACTAGCCAATCTAAGTTAGACCACCATTGAGAACCTGGAAACAAAAGAATGCCGTTTCTCCGTAGTATGGAACTCCTCAGCAGTGGGCACCGATGATCTTACACACGGGACAGGCGAATTCAATTTTGAAAATACTACAATCTCCACAAATCCCCATACTCAAATAGTACAGAATAAAATAATACCACTGTTGTTGTTTTCTTCAGAACCTTAAAATTACTTCACTTCCATCCTAAGTAACATCTATACATTATTTGTGACTAGCGAACCATGACGCAATGAATATCAAGCGCTTCCTATTTTTCAATAGTTTCTCATTGATTTCATTTAGTGAATAAAACTATCGTAAATTTTAAGTTCACAATGAACCATGTAAGTATAAGCCTTAAGAGCATCAGTACCATTTATGTCAAAATAGTTTGGTCCATCCAGCTCAGAGAACAAAACTCCATCAAAATCATCCACCTGAGCTACAAATCTTCTCCACCATCTCAAATGTCAGAATATGTTTGGAGGATATGAATGAATCAATCTCAGCTTACATTTTAATTCACTCCTAACACATTCCTTTTCAAAAATCAAGGCATTAATCTGCTATATATTGTTTGACAGTTGATTACTTCAAAAACTCAACTATAAATCTTCTATTCATTTCTTATCATCGACTTTGATTTTAGATCATTATCTGGTGAAGGAAATTTCAATTGGCGTTTTATATTTCCATTTGATTACATTAAAGCAGAAGATAGAATAATTTATCCAATTAAAGGAACATTCGATATTGAACCACATATGATTAAAGCTAATTGTGAATTGACATTACAAGTATGGGATGCTGATATTATCACAAGAGATAATTTTATTGGTAAGTTATTTCACAATGGATTTAATTTCATTTGCATTAGATCAAGTTTTGTAATGATAAAAGTATATTGGTAATCTAATGTAGTAAGAATCAGTAGTATGTACTACAGGTACTTCAGGTGTCCTGACTTGCATATTACTTTTGAGCCAATAAATGGAAACTCATGGTTTCACATCACCAATTACGGTTGATTTAGAAAATAGTGAAATTCGCATCGAATGTTATCACTGAATTTCTGTCTCATATTCAACTTAGTATATTTTATTCGACAAGGCCTTCAGCAGAAAGTTTAAGATATTCATATCAAATTTTGTCACTAGTAAGGACAATTTTATGGGATTGTTCTATGACGAATTATAAACTAAGATAAACTGTATACCAGTTCATTCAACGGTCATCTTTACCTCAATTAAGTGTAGACCATTCAAACTGTCTGACAACGAGGGTAATATTTTTATATGTTAGGGTATCCTGCCGACCAAGTCCATTTTGATATATAGTCATACATGGCAATGAATGAAATCTTATTCTTACCACTTGGTGTTGTTTCACTTGTATTTTCCCATTTAGAACTGCAATTCATCAGTCTCTTGTTAGCATACGTGCATCCTGTGTGGATTGCCTCGATATTACCTTAAGTCACAAGCTTTTTAGTGGCTAGTAGTGGGATCCAGGACGCGCGTTTTGTCCTATTTCGGTCTCGTCAGCTAGATGTACCTGCATACCAGAGTTGACGTTCACCAATGGACTCGAACCCAGTACTGTTCTGTTTAAACGCCATCGCATTATCCACATAGCTACTGAGTTCTGGTAGCCACCTGCTTGTGCAACTGTAGATATTTCTGACTTATGGAGTACTGTAATCCACTAAACATGGCAGGATGCTTCATAATTCCTCATATTTATTGTGATAGAAGTACGAAAATCCAGAGGATTCGTTTCATAGATATTAAAGTTTTTGAAGAATTCCAACAATGAAATACTGAACAAATTTTTCCGTTCGGATATAACTATTGTCGGGAAACTAACTTTAACTTTAAAACCTTTGAAAAAATGTGGAAGCATTCAATAACTTTTCATTTTATTTAGAGACATTTCAGTAGCTTACTCTCATAAAAGCTTAAACTCAAGACCATCATAATTTCATAGTGACTATAACGTCTATGAGCTAATAAGTCAATGTTTTATGGCAAACTTCCACTAATTTAGATCATTCATGAACACGACTCAAGAGTTCCAAACTATTTAATTCTTGGTATTGAAAAGAACTATCATTATTCACTTCACAATGCTTATTCTATTGTGTCATATCAAGCATGTAGAACAGTTATTGGTTAACTTAATGAACAAACAACGTCATCATTTTGTTCAGACAATTAAAGACACTATCAAAATGGGTTTTGTAGAGATTTTAGAAACTTCACTGGTTGAAATCATGAGTCAAGTGAAGCTAGACCACCATGGGATACCTGGAAGCAGTGGACAGTCGTTTCGACCTAGTATGGGACTCCTCAGCAGTGCGCATCCACGACCCCGCTCCCCGCGAGATTCGAACCCAGAACCTATCAGTCTCGCGCCAGGCACGAGAATCTTTTCTCAATGAGTTCATTTTAGAAGATTATATCATTTACTCAATCTGAAAGATCGTATTTACAGTTAATTTACAAATAAAATAATCCATTGAAAGATAGAAGAAACATTACATCATATTATGTGTCAAAGAAAGTTACGTAATATAAAAGAGAATTAAAGAGAGATAATAAGATGAAATCAAATGTGAGAAGATTAATTGTTCACTTGACAAGTATGAGAAAGGTTAACATTCAGTTAAAAACGTGAAAGTGATAATGACAAATAATTAACATTAAGAAGATTGAAAACATCAGGAAGATGTATTAAAATCAAATTACCGTTTAGGAAAATTAACTGATAGTGTCATGGATGAATGACTGGAAGCATATATCTGCTTTGTATATACGGTTCAGGTTTAAAAAGATGGATTGTTAGGGCCCCATTTTACATTCATATAATTCAAAAGTATTGTCATATATACCGGTTCAGTGGTCTAGAGGTTAATCGTTAGTGCGCGAAACCGAAGGTCCTGAATTTGAGTCCTGTATGCTGGGTTGTGGACGTTCACTGCCGATAACTCATGTGCTAGGACGAAACGGCCATCCAGTGCTGCATGTTTTCAATGGTGATCTAACTTAGATCGATTCATGATTTCAGTGAAAATTAGACAATATCCACACCCATATATTAAATATTATCAAATAATTTAGTTTCTAGTGGTTCGGATTATTTGTTTGTTAATATTTTGACTGAAGTTCGATCAGCCTTGGTTGGTATATTTGCATCATATGCGGATTTCCAACCGAGAATGATCATCATTCAAAATATCAACAACGAGACAATTCAAACCATTGTAAATTAAATCAAAATTCATAGTCTTCGCACAACTGAGTATTTATGTGGATCTAATACTTGAATGTACGAAGTGTTAGCGTTTGTAACGAACAGTACTGGTTTCGGATCTCAGTGTGAATATTAACTCTGGTATGCTGGTATATCCAGCTGACGAGTCCTATGCAGGACAAAATGCGTGTCCTAGATTCCACCTATTCTGTATTGTTGAATATTTTTAAATAACTAATTGTTGGAGGTGGATATTCTTAAAACAATATCGCAGAGTAATAAAGTGAACAATGGAAACGAAAGTGAATATAATATAATTGATAAGAAATAATTCCAAACAAAGGAGATATCTAGCCAGAATAAATTGTAGAGACGTGAAAATTAGATATCAATAAATGATTTCAATACCATGGAGCACAATACAAGTACGTATATTTGACTGTCTACAGTATCTAAATGAAGCAAGAACAAATGTTGATGTAGAATAGGGTGAATTCATAATACTTCGAGGTTTCTCGTCAGCTGCTTACAACCACTGAAATGTAATAGAATTTTACATTGAGATAAGAAATAGTATGGAATAATTGATATAGGTGAATGTAAAAGATTGGAATGACCAAGGTTTACAATAATAACTATATATATGTGCAAGAACAGGTCAGAGGTTAATTGGTGTTAGAATTAAGGAAACAATTCAGGATGGGTGGTGTAGTGGTTGAGTGGGATTCACAAATTGTGTGATAATTTTAGAGGTAGTGAAGGTTTCATGGAATTAAAACCATGATAAGATAGGTTATGTAATAATTGAATAGAGTTTGAAAAGTTAACATGAATTAAGAGGGTAAGTGGGCGGAAATGTGTGGATGAAAAGTTGGTTTAAGAATTCGGTAATGGGGGAGGAATATAACACAAAATGAATATTTTAAAAATAAATGAATAAAATAAAAATGGATTACCAGGGTAATAATAAGTTTACTACTGTCTCTTTTTGAATACATAAATCCAGTTTAAGTTTTTTTATCGCGATCGCTTCAGCAAAAAAGGAGAGCAGTCGTATTTCTTTGTTTGCTGATAATTCTAAAAGCGTGCGGAATATCGATGGTATGCCCGGTGTCAAGTAAATGCCAGGCTATTGTACTGTTGAGAGCCCTAGTTCCTCACAGCATCAAGTTTTTTGGAACATGCTCAGAAATGCGGACATGTACTCTTCTCTCAGTTCTCCCAATGTATGTGCTATGGCACGTACATATGAATTGGTAAATGCAGTTGGAACTACAGTATGTTTGCTGAGTTCGATGATGTACCAATAATGTGCTTGTAAAGAATGAGATTGTCCTATGAAATCATTATATACGATTTTGAAGCAAAACCCTTGCTAGTTGATGTTTAGGTTTGAGGTTAGAATTTAGATTTTAGGTCTATGGTCAGTGTCAAGGTTAGAAGTTAGAAATAAGATAAATTTATGTGAATAAAGTTAATGGATTATATGGGTACGATTGAGAACTTCTTTTAAACAGAAGATGATCTGTAGTCATACGGGTGGAAATTTCACTGAAGTCTGTCCTTATTTTTAATTCAATAACGAGCTACAGAATAACCTGTGTAAATCTATCACATAAAAGCAAATAATTCATAAACCTAGAACTATCATAAATAATAACAGTTACGATAAATATAACCTTGATTTAAAGTTATGAACACCTAAAGATTAAGTCGTTTAAGTGACTTCTTTCAAAAGATTTTTTGGTATTCTTTTACTAGGATCACTGACAGTGCGTCTTTCATCCTTGCCACGATGTGCGAAAACTGCAAAAAGTTGTGGATTACATCAATTAGAACCAGATTGTCCAAGATTTTCAATGTTTAAGAATAGAACTGCACGTGGTTGGTGGCCAGTTACTGATGAAGAAGATGAAGAAATTGTCGTTCAAGTAAGTGATTATAATTTGTGTTTTGATTTATTCCTTAAGTTGTCACGTTTAGTAGAGTTGTATAAAAGAAATGTTGAATTTGTATGACAGTTTCTATCCCATATCAATTTACCAATGAGCTAGTTAGTTGACTCGTCTAATCTATAACTTAAAACAAGTACAAGGTACGATATTAAATAAGGATAAATTATAAGTGCCTGAGCACCACTTAGACCTATTTTAAACTATACTACCTAAGATCTTCAATTACAAATAACGAACATTTCTCAGAATTAAATCAATATGTTAGCATCTATTAAGACGGTTGAAAATAATAGTTAGTGGCATCAAGTTTTACGTTTTTTTCTTCGTTTATATGAGAGATTTTGACCCTGTAGGGATGGGAGATGTTTAGAATAGTTTGAATACGGAAAAATCTACACTTTTCCTTGAAAACATTAAAATCATGCATTTTTAAATTAAAACAAAATTCTTATAAGCAAAGATGGATAGTGACTAGCAGTGGAACCCAGGACGCTCGTTTCGTCCTATTTGGGACTCGTCAGCTGGATGTGCCTGTATCCCTTTAAACATTCGTCTTCTATTAATAAATCACTGGAATACGTTCATTGTTTACCTGAAACAATAGTTTGCCACTCATCTTAATATACTTGATAATCTCAATAACATACCTTTTTGATAAAACAGTTTGTTTGCAAGGGTTTGAGTTTCTCTGTTATTAATGTTAAGGACTGAAACTGACCACTCTCTACTGGTTTATATGCATCCTTAGAGGATTGTCTCGGTATAGTTAGTCATCCAGTCATAAGTTCTAGTTGAAGTTAGATAGTGCTTAAAAGTAGAATTTAGAATGCGCAGTTCGTCATACTGGGGACTCGTCAGCTGGATCCACCTGCATCTAAGTGTTTATATTCATGCTGGGACTTTAACCTATTGCTTTTTACTTTGAACATTAATATGTTATCTAAATAGCTACCGAGTCCAAGTAGCCACCAGCTTCTACAACGAGTATGGGTTTTATCTGTAAATCTTCTTACTATCCGGTTGTCGATATTGCTGGTACCGTTTTAATCAAACACCTTTCAATTTTTCCCAATGTATTACTTCAGGGTAAAGTTGAATGTCAGTTGGAAATGTTGAATAGTGCTGAAGCCGAAAGTAATCCTGCTGGCTTAGGTCGTGAAGAACCCAATGGACTGCCAAAACCAGAGTATGTTGAATAATTTATTACAATTGTTCGCTTGCTTTCAATTGTCTGTTGTCATTATTATGGATATATGTTTGTGTACGTGTGTGCAAGCCTTATCTATGATTTTTTGGTCAGTGATTAAGACTGGCTCACTTTCCTGATTAAGTTACAACAATAAGCAAATGAACAAAATGAAACTATGTCGAATGATTATTGACAAAACTATTTATCAACTTGTAAATACTGATCTACGTCATGTCAGTCTAGTCCTTTACTGCTGATTGAATTCTATCGACCAATTTCTAGTGAGTTGATGGTTGGAGGCAGTGGTCAGGAAATCTTGGATCTAGGCTTCATGCTAGTTGGTACTCGTCTGCAACGCATGTAATATATCACCCGTTGAAAAAGTGATTTATGGTGATCCAGTTGTCTATTATATAACGACATTATTGTTTCCCAGGCAGTAAACATTAGGTTTGATTCCTAATGAGTATATTTTTCTTGGTACTGGTATAGAATTTATCCGGTAACGGTTTAGAGGTTGATTGATTGGAAATGAAGAAAAATGACAAATAACAAATGATAAGTAGTCCTATGTATGGAAGCCTATTAGGTTTATGACAATAAATATGGATAAAACGTTTTCTTCATTTACCTTTAATCATTAATTATGTTACTTAACACCACCAAGATGTAGGTTTTCCGATCTCTTCAACCATCTCCTGATATCATTCATTTTTCAGTCATCTCAACTGGTAAATAATGTAGCATTTTGCTGAAACTATAATGAAACTTTCTGTATTATCTATCTACTTCGTTCGATACTTTATTTCAATGTAGGTAGTGACAGAGATTTCATAGTATATTTTGATTGTCTACTAACTAGGTATATTTTGACAACAAAATCTAGGGACTGACTCTCTAATCTATAGTACCATTATATATAACTAGCTATTTTAGGCCAAATAAAAATGGATTCATTTTAATGGTATTTTGATTCTCATTAACTAGTTCATAAGCACACATAAAATGTTAATTGGATCGAAGGTAATTAACAAAAAACCCTAAATCTAGATTTCATGTTAGTTGGCACTTATCAAGATGGTATTTGTACGATCTTTAAGTAGTTGATCTTTAAAATCAGGTTCATTGCCCCCAAATGCCCTGGTATGGCCGAGAGTGGGGTGGGTCCGTCCTCCTTCACGAAATGCTCTCACACGGCCACACGTATAAAGCCTCTGTCAGGGAAGTCCTACTCACTGCCTACTCGTGGCATTGCTGTTGTTTACGAAAATGAGAGGACGAAAAGAGAATGTCCAGCGCTTTAACCGGATCCCAAACCAATGGTGCACATGGACTCCAGTATCCTGAGGGAACAAATGGCGTATGAACCAATCGTTGGTCACCGGCTACCATGGAACTGCATCTCCTCATGATGCTCCACTGCCTTGTGGATCAGATCTTTAGGTCAAAGGCTCGGAGTGTGGCTTCCTAAAAAAACCACCTGCTTCGTTCTGGGCACCCGGGCAGTGTCACAGCCCACACACACAAATATGGTGTGGCGCACATATATTTGGTGGTCTCTTGTACCAATATTTATGTGTTCAAATAAATAAATAAATAAAATAATCAAACTCATTATGATATTTAAAGAGATCATAAATCGTAGACGACTAACACAATAAAGTAATATTCATGGTTATTTCTTTATTAATATTCGAATGGTTATTTTTGTCTGCTTTTTCTACAAGATTAAGAAACAATTCAACTACTATCAGAATAGGGTTTTGTAGAGATTTTAGTAATTATAATAGTTGAATTCATGAGTCACTTAAAGCTAGACAACCATGGAAAAACTGGCGGCCGTTTTACTCTAGAATGAGACTTGTTGAGGCGGCAGCTAACCAATATGTTAAGGGTAAGGTCCTTAATATCTGACTCCAAATAATAATATTCCGTAACTGAGTATTTAAGGTAGGCTTAATCTCCTAGTAGAATTACGGATTCACTCGAGATTATTAAGAAGCCTGAACACCAGTTATGGAGATAGTTTATTATTAATGAATAATGATAATCCACAAGCGTATTGTGAGCAAGCACACGATGGGAACAGAGAGAGTGAGTTTGTTAAAAATCCATATATATTTGAGGGTTAATCGGGTGTGTATAAATTATCGATTATCTGCACGTTGAAACCAATAGGAAAATAGTTTAAGAGTTAATGTACAGACATGCATTCGATCATACACACCGAAATTAACATAGTGAATTAAGAGTCTAAGTTACAATGAATAAACAAATGATACAGTGGCCAAATGGGCTTGCCACATAAGCTCCCATCCAGAACATTGATGTTTTTATGTACCAAAAAAAAATTGGATTAACATCTATGTTCGACAAAGAGATAAAGAACGGATCTGTTTTTAAAATGAAAGTACAACTCAATATGATGAGTAAGCGTAAAATTGTAATAACAGCTTGTGTGTTGAAACGTTTCATATCATGTATATACAAGTGTATATTTAACATTAATGAATTGTATAAAGTTAAAATGTAAGCATAATGATGATCCGTGGGGCCAATAAAAAAAATAGTAATCAAAATAAAGTAGGATTTTTATGTGTTATGAGTAGTCTCAGGATTTGGTCTAGATAAATATGGTGGTTGCTACATACCTATCTGGCCAATGTACTCTTCTTCCTGATCTTGTTGTAGTTTGTGCTGCTGCTGAATTTCGATTTGAAGTGTTGCTTGTTGCAGGTAGTTTGAATGGTGCTTGCTCTGCTGCAGGTTTAGACGGTTTTACAGTTGTCTGTTTTTTTTCAAAAATATTTCGTCTCATACCGAAAGGTACAAAAGGGCGAGTTTTACCTGTTGAGGTATCACAAGTTAAGGTGTCCTTGTTGTTTATGGGGATGTTTTGGAATAATAATTTCGTTTCCTTAGACTGCAAAAGCTTTTGTAGCTCCGTATCGACCTTTTGATGCTTTGCCATTTCTTGATAGTCTATATCAGGGATCGAGAAGGTATTGATATTTAATCTCGATAGTGCATCTGCTGCCTCATTTGCATTGCCTTTAATATAGCGTATATCAGCTGCAAATTGTGAAATGAATTCTAGTTGACGAATTTCGCGCGGACTATATTTATCATGATTGTGCATCAAGGACTTAGTTAGGGGTTTGTGATCAGTATATATCGTGAAAGAATTGCCTTCTAACATGTAGCGAAAGTGTTTGATGGCTAAGTAGATAGCCAACAGTTCTCTACCGAATGTGCTATATTTCGTTTGCGTTGCGTTTAGCTTTTTTGAGAAAAATGCAAGGGGTTGCCATTGTTCATTGACACGTTGCTGAAGTACAGCACCTACTGCTACGTTAGAAGCGTCGGTCGTTATTGCTAAGGGTGCATCAACCTTTCGTCGTGCGAGTAATGCCTCTGTGCTTAAAGCGCTTTTCAACTGATCAAATGCTTGAATTGATTGCGGTGTCATTGCTAATGATTTAGCTCGTCCCCTTAATAAATCAGTTAGTGGTTTTGCTAAGTCTGCACATTTAGGGATAAAGCGTCTGTAAAAGTTTATCATCCCAAGGAAACGTCGTAGTTTCTTGAATGAATCAGGCAAAGGATAATTTTTGATAGCTTGTGTTTCCTCAGGAACTGGTTTAATGCCTTGCTTATCAAGTACGTGACCTAAAAAGGTGAGGGATTGTTTTCCGAACTCACATTTGTCAGGATTGACCGCTAACCCATACTCGTTTAGCTTCTCAAAAAGCATTTTCAGATGAGTTAGATGTTCATTTTCATCTTTGCTTGCTATAAGTAGGTCATCTATGTAAGCATACACAAACGGTAAGCCCCGTACCACTTGGTCAATAAAACGCTGGAAACTTTGTGCAGCATTCCTTAATCCGAAAGGCATACGGACGAATTCGTATAGTCCAAAGGGGGTAGTAATGGCTGTTTTAGGAACATCGTCCGGATGAATTGGAATGTGATGGTAAGCACGGACGAGATCAATTTTTGAAAAGATCGACACGTCAGATAGGCTATGAGTGAATTCATGCAGATGTGGGAGAGGATATCTATCTGGTATGGTCCGGCTGTTGAGAGCTCTATAGTCACCGCACGGTCTAACTTCGGAAGAGTTTTTCTTAGGTACCATATGAAGCGGTGATGCCCACGAACTATCGGAGGGGCGTATGATGCCCAACTCAATCATTTTGTTGAATTCGTTCTTTGCGATAGCCAGACGAGAGGGATCAAGGCGTCTTGGACGTGCGAACACAGGTGGACCCTCTGTCTTTATGTGGTGTACGACGGTATGCGTCGGTTTGTCGTGTTTGAAACTCGGTCGTAATAAATCTGGAAACTGATTAAGTAAATTGACGTATTTGTCGTTCTCATCTTGAGGTTTAACTAATAAATGTATGGAAGTCTCATTTGATATAATTCCTCTAATTTCCTTACTCTGTTCGGCAAGGACAAGTTTCCTATTTCTGACATCTACCAGTATTTTGTGGAATTGCAGAAAATCAATGCCGATTATAGGAACGAGGACGTCCGCTATGATGAAACTCCAGGAAAAATTAGATTTAGGACCGAAATTTAATTGCAACCGCCTTTTGCCGTACGTCTTGATGTCAGACCTGTTTGCAGCTTGTAGTTTTAGTTTGGGGTCAGGTGTGTTTTTCTCGAGTGCAGTAGGTGGTACTACACTAACCTCTGCCCCAGTGTCGACTAAAAACTGTGTGCCGGTTCTTTTGTCTGTAACATATAATAGACGACTGTCTTGAGAGTTGTGGTCAGTGAGTGCAGTCGTCATTAACCTGCGGTCTTGACGTCCCTTTTTCTGTGTGCTTGCAAAGTTACAAGGCGGAGTACATTTTCTAGCTTGTTTGCCATATGTTCTATGGTACCAGCAAATGTTGTGTCTAGTAGTGCTTGGACTACGTCGTCTACGGCTTGTGGATGTTCCTCTACGCTTGCTGTGGGATGCATTCAATAATTGGATCTGAGCT